TATGTATAAAAATATTGATTTACTTTTTTTGTCCACCTACATGTACCGAACAATCCAATGTACCCTTGGAACCAATGTACCCTAAGAACTCGATGTACCCTTTTTCGATGTACCCTTGGATACTGGGCCACGAAATCTCTTTGACTACATTTATCTCTTTGACTACACTTGTCTCTTTGACTACAAAGTCTCTTTGACTACACTTTTTTGTTTTATAGTACTTTTTGACTGAATTTATTGGAGTTTCCGATTTTTGTCTCAAATTGTAGGCTTAGGCTAAAACACCAGTTTTCCGGTAACCGTTTCAGCCTAAGCCTTTGATTTGTACAGAAAATAATAAAATTTTGGAAATCTCAGCAAAAAAAAGTGAGAATTTTGCTGATTTTCGCGAATTTCAGTACTTTTTTCACTGTGATGTATTTTTGGAATTGTCAGTTTTTTGTTTAAAATTATAGGCTTAGGCTCAAATTCTTCTTATATTCTGTGAGAACGCCCACAAAAACTGCAGAAAATTTTAAAATTTTAAAAAGTGTAGTCAAAGAGATAAATGTAGTCAAAGAGACTTTGTAGTCAAAGAGAATGTGGAGTCAAAGAGTAGGTGTAGTCAAAGAGTGGTGTAGTCAAAGAGTAATTGCCACAAGTGCAGTCATTGGAAAATAGAAGAGATTTAGAAAAAAAAGAAACGGCAAAGGTGAGACGGAAAGTATTGTCTCTCTTTTTATTGATTCGCAAAGGAAAAAATGAGTTTTCTTATGCTACCTTTGTACCATATAATGTGAGTTTTACCACTTGAATGACCAAAAAAAAACGAAAAAAACGAAAAAAGGTTTCAGTGAAAATTCGGAACAGGGCTCTAGTTCGGTTTCGGAATCTAGTATCAATTCTGATAATTTGAAAAAGGTATGTGAAAAAAGTGAAAATCGATAAATTAAGAACGAGCATTTTTTTTTCAGCCGTACCAACTTCTAGCCAAAAATCAATTTCCGAAAAAATGTGCAGTTTGCAGAGGATCTGCCATTGGTTATCATTATAGCGTAAGTAGGCTTATTCAGGTTAAATCAAAGAATACTGTATTCCAGGTTCCTTCCTGCAATGGTTGCAAAACTTTCTTCCGAAGAACAATTGTGAATGGGAAGCGATTTATCTGCATGAACTCGAAAAATTGTTTGGAAAGCGCTGAAACTGAAGGTATGCTTAGTTTTTCGTATTGTCACCATACTTAGAAACCAGGTCCAGGTCGGAGATTTTCAGGGCCCGGGTTTCCCATCTCTGAAAATTTGTTTGAAGTTCTAGAAATTGTTTAAAAAAGTTTTTGTGAAAAATATTATAAAATGACACTTCGACAAGCTTTTTTTTTGGCAGAAAACTATTTTTTTAATTGAAACCGGAATTTTTTTGAAAAAAAAAACTGAAAGAAAAATTACTGAAAAACTGAAAAAAAATTACTGAAAACCTGGTTCGAAAAAGGCGGGGCCGGACCTTGAAAATTTCGAAAAAAAAGCCGGACCCGGTCCGGCCCTTTAAAAATACGCTATTAACATTCAATGAACTTCTCAGAAGACACAAAACAAATGTGCAAGGCATGCAGATTTAAAAGATGCATTGAAGTTGGAATGGATCCAACAGCAATCAGAGCAGCGGTGAAAACAGAAGAAGGAAGATATTTACTGGATGAAATATCTAGACGACAGAGGAGTCGTAGTTCTGTGGTATGTTTAGAATTTAGGCCTTCATAAGTCATTTGAAAATTTTGAGGTGAAGTCAAACGAAGACTTTCTATCAAAAATCATAAAGCAGTTAACTTATTTGGAAAAGAAGTCTGACGAACTGCACTTCACTGCTATTCCGTTGGGATATGAAGATTTACGAACGCTCTCCGAAATTCTTCAATTTGGACCAGAATTTGACTCGTACAAAATTCAAAATCTCACACCTATTATAGACAAGTGAGTTCTAAATTTAATTTAGTTTGTAACCCAAATTTTTTATCATTTCAGAAAGCCGCAAGTTATATGTATGACATACATGCACAGTGCGCTTCTAGCAGCAGTGGAATCTTCCAAAACTTTTGGATTATACTCCAAAGTCAGCCATGAGACGAAAATGATTTTTGTGAAGCACGTGGCTTTAATTGGCTCAATTATGATGAGTGCCTCCTTCTCGATGCATCAAAAGAAGTCAGATGAATTGCTGTATCCTGATGGAAGTGTCTATGGAAAAACTGTTGGATGCATGCCATCAGATTGGGTTGCAGAGTATAAAAGACAATTACAAAAAACGCTGAGAGCATTTCTAAGAAATAATGTGGACCGTGTGGAATATATGCTTTTGAAAGCTATTCTGATGAGAAACGCAGGTGGGAAGATTCAAATTTACAATTTTGGGAGACTGAAGGAAATTGATTTCAGCTGTGGCAGGTCTTTCATCCAAGGATCGTGAAATAATTGAGGAAGAGAGGAATGTTTATGGTAAAGCACTTCTGGAATATAACATTCTTCAATATGGGATTCTCAATGGTCCAGCTCGTTTTGGTGCATTGATTGCTATCAATCCAATCATCGAAGCGCAATCGAAGATACAAAAAGATGTGTATGTAATGATAAAAGCTTCAAGTGACAAGAGAAATTGCTCTCATCCACCCCAATATCTGTTCGATGAAGTTATGGATTCTTAAAATTTGTTGATCTCCTCATAAAATGTATAATACTAAATCCCAAAATAAAATATTTCATGCAAGCCTGTTCCTCAAACAATCCCTTTTGGCTAATTAGATCAGTCCCTAAGACCCCCAATTCAGGTAAACGTGAAAATTCGCAGTTCAGCCGAAACTAGCACCAAAGATCACAAGCATTGAATACACAAAGATGGAAAAGAGACGCAGACGAAGCAAGCAGATTGTCTCTACTTCTGCATCTCTCTCGTTTCCATCAGCACACTACTGCACTTTTTATTTCGCAATTGCCCTAGTTAGAAGATTAAGTTCAGATTTGTAAAACTTCATAATCATATGTGTGAAGTGGGATAAGTATATTGATTGAGAATTAAACAAAATATTCCTAATTTTTTTGGTTTAGCAGACTTTGATTATAAAAATTTTACCGAGATCCTAAATCAAGACCATTCAGAAACCTTCTAGAACATTTGCAACATTTGTTTTCAAAATACTCATGGTCGTTGGTGTCATTTTGCGTTTTTGTTAATCCCTATTCGCGAATATTCTAAACTTTATGAAACATGAATACTTGTCACCTCTTCAAAAACTAGCTTCAATTATACTCTCATACTTAAAAACCAATTGTTTTATTTCAGAAAAAAAACATGACAACATTTGAAGATTTTGAACTTCCTTCCACTTCTTTCAATGGAATTAACTACAATGGGTTTGTGATTAAATAATCGAATCCCTTCTATTTCCATATCTTTCCAGGTACAATTCATCGTTCAAGACGCATGATTTCCCACATGAACAATCCATGATCCTTCCTGATCAAGAGCTTTATACTTCTCCACAACAAATCGAGATTTCTACTAGTCCCCCAGAGCTTTCTGTGAGTTTATTTGAAAACTTGAAATGTCTCACGAGATGTTTCGTTGAACTCTGCTTCGACCAACAAAACAAAACAAGCAGAACATTTTCTATTCTCTTGTTGAACTTGAAGCCAAATAATTGTTCTACGGCCTACATATAATAATAATAACAAAGAACAATTTGTACTTTTCAGTCTCCGTTCTCCGATGAAAAAGTTTACAAGAGTTTGCCAAGGAACAAGTGTCCATCGAAGTGTTTGGTCTGCCGAAATCCCGCGATCGGATACCACTATGACGTAAGGATAAGGAAAGATGAGCAATAACGTTTGAACTTTCTTTTAGGTACCATCCTGTAATGGATGTAAAACTTTTTTCCGTCGAACTATCATCACTGGACGGAAATTTGAATGCACAAAGAATAGGGTTTGTATGGAAGGGACAGAGCCAGTTGGTAAGTGTTCAAACTTTTTTTTTGGATCATTCAATACACAATTTTTAGATATGTCAAAGAGACTTTGTCGTGCTTGTCGATTTGCGAAATGTGTGGAAGTTGGAATGAATCCAATGGCAATCCAAGCAGAAGTGAAGACTGAAGAAGGAAAAGTTCTGAGAAGCGAAGTTTTGAGTCAAAGAGAATCTATGGGAGTGGTTTCATCTGTAAGTTTACAACTTTATGATCATTCGAAACAATTATTAATTTTTGCAGTTGATGGTAACAGAAGAAGATTTATTGAGTAGAATGATTGAGAAATTGACATTGGTGGAGAGTAAGATTGAACCATTACACCGTTCAGGAGTTCCACCCGGATATAGAGTGAGTTTTGAATCTTGTTTTAAAGGAGGCGAGACAGCAAAAATTTCGGGGGACAGTTCGGGGGACGAAATCGCGCCCCGCTTATATAGACCATCGGTCGTCAGGCGCCTTCGCGCCCCCGTAACTCAGCCGGTAGCGGCGCTGTACCCCTGAGCTGCCTGTCATGAGTTCAACCCCTCATGGGGGTTCTCTAGGAGAAATATCAAGAAAACTTTTTTTTGGTGTCTGGCCTCCTTTAATGATTTATGAAGGCTCTTATAGGACATTCGAAAGCTGGAAGAAATTTTGGACTCTAAACCAGTTTTTATTATTTCTGAAATTCCGAACTTGAAATTTTGCCCAATGCCTTGCCCGAAAGAAACTAAAGAAAAACCACAGTAAGTTCGTAGTTATCTCAACTTGAATTACAGTTCCTTGTATTTCAGCCTTCGTCGAAGATGCACAAACTATGTGCACAGCAGTTTCTTGGCATCAATCGAGTCTTCGAAAATGTTTGATTTCTCGTCGCAGATCAATCTGGAATCCAGAATGCTTCTGATGAAACATGCTACTGTTGTATGCTCCAATATGATGAATGCGTTCTTTTCAATGAATGAAATGAAATCAGATGTGCTCCTCCATCCCGATGGATCTATTAGTGGACCAATGCACAAGAAGGATAGAGAAACCAATACAATCTCTGACCATGTTAGAACACTTCAGAAGACGTTGATATCCTTCTTGAACAATAAAATCGATAAGATTGAATATCTATTATTCAAGGCAATAATGCTCTGTAACCCTGGTAAATTTCATTATTTTGCTCTTGTACATAATCAATCCATTTCTCTCTTTTCAGCTGTACCAGGACTATCCGTTATTGATCAGCAAATCATTGAAAAAGAACGAAATCAGTACGTGAAATCTCTCCTCAACTACTGTCTTCTCCAACATGGAAAACTACACGGACCAGCTCGATTCGGTGCGATTTTGGCACTTGCGCCAACTATTGAAAACCAGTCAAAACTGCAAAAAGATTTCCATGTTTATCTGAAAGCCCGACACTTTCAAAAACACAAAGAAATGGGACATACTGGCCGGAAATGCGTTAGTTCCATGTTCGATCAAGTTATGGAATCTTAATTCTTGTTATTTTGTCTCAACCGCTTTTTAATTTGTATATATTTTCTACCTCCTAAATACAGTGCGTTTCAATATTATACGTCCACTCTTGTTTTTGGCCGTAACTTGAGAACCGGTTGAGAATCAATCTAATTTTATTAAAATTGAATTCAGAGCAACAAATTACATCTAGAAAACCATTTTTGAGAAAAAATATTGAAAACTACTCGAGATACAGAGAAAAATCTGAAAATGTGACATTTGCAACCGTTTCAAAATTATACGTCCACTTCAAAGGTATGTCGATCTTGACCTTTGGCGGAGCCGGAAAAGCTTGAATTTAGTTTTGTTTTTTGCTGCCAATGTGAGAAACTTTTTTCATTATGCTTTTCCTTGTTTTTCTCCACTTTTCAACATGTCTCGTGGCCATTTGCTCACTGATGCTGAAAAAGCCTTCATCGACGCGTTCAAAACCTCTGGTTGGACCAACAGGGCTATCGCGAAACATCTAAATCGTTCCCACGATTGCATTAATCGTTTTGTATCGAACCGGACCCGCAACAATCAACCCAACAAGGCTGGACGTCCTCCAAAACTCAATTCAAGAGCCAAACGATCAATCGTTCGTGTGGCTTCAAACACCATGAAGTCTTGTAATGATATCAAAAAAGAGCTGAATCTTGGAGTGAGCAAGTGTACAATCTGGAGGGCTCTTAAGGATGATCCAAACATCAAAAGAGCAGTCATGCGCCCTGCTCCGAAGCTCACTGACAATCACAAAACTCGCCGTCTAGACTTCGCTCGAAAAAACATGGGAACCAACTGGGATAAGGTATTAAATTTAAAATTATCTATCCAAATTATCTTATATTTTACAGGTAATTTTTTCGGACGAGAAAAAATTCAATCTTGATGGACCCGACGGATTCAAATCGTACTGGCACGACTTGCGGAAGGATCCAGCCGTTTTTGCCAAAAGGAATTTCGGGGGAGGCAGTTTGATGGTATGGGGAGCATTTGCTTCGGCTGGATACTTGGAGCTCGCTTTCACCACTTGTCGAATGAACTCCACAGACTACCAAGACGTTCTCCAGAACCACCTTATCCCGTTTCGTCGTCGATTCAGTCGCCGCCAGTTCATTTTTCAGCAAGATAATGCTGCAATCCATGTCAGCCGCTCCACTTTGGACTGGTTCCAATCGAAAAACATCGATGTCTTGCCATGGCCAGCTTGCTCTCCAGATCTGAATCCGATGGAAAATGTTTGGGGCGAGCTGGTTCGTCGTCTTTACCGCCATGGAAAGAAGTATGCTAGTATTGGAGAGCTTCGGGATGCGCTGATTGCTGAGTGGAGTCTGCTGGAGCAGGAGTTCAAGACTAAGAGCACCCAATACATCCAAAACCTTATCAAATCGATGCCAAATCGTCTCTTCGATGTCATTGCTGGTAAAGGTTCATCCACAAAGTATTGAAATATTTTTTATTCTCTATTTTAGCATTGATTCTGAGAGTGGACGTATAATTTTGAAACGGTTGCAAATGTCACATTTTCAGATTTTTCTCTGTATCTCGAGTAGTTTTCAATATTTTTTCTCAAAAATGGTTTTCTAGATGTAATTTGTTGCTCTGAATTCAATTTTAATAAAATTAGATTGATATCTCAACCGGTTCTCAAGTTACGGCCAAAAAAAAGAGTGGACGTATAATATTGAAACGCACTGTATATTAAACATTTCATAATGTATTTATTAATCCATCTTCATATCTCAATAAATTTTATGTAGAGCTTTTTGTACAAGTACAACATAAATCCACCAAAATTGGCTCCAATGAAAATATTAGTTTTTTTTCTTCTATTGCAGTATCTAGACTGCCAATAAAGTGAAAGTTTATCTTTCCCTTAATATGTTTACACAGAATGATCAATAGGAGTCCACCGGTATTCATTTATCATCATAAATTTTTGAGGGACTCTAATTAAGAGTTCATATAACATGTTTGTTTACTGAATCTTTAGCAGTCTATCTATGGACGAAAAATGAGCAATCTAATTTTTCCGGTCAGCACCAATGGTGCTAGTATTCAAATACACAATTTGGTCAGACAGTTTGAAAACGTTCCAGTCCCAGTTTGGATAAACTACTAGAATCATGACGTCTTCTGAAAAAAATTTTTCTCTGTGATTTTTGACTGAAAATTTTGTTTTTTAATTTGATACAAACTTCACACATTCAATGTTTATTTTTACGATAAAAATTATTTGAAATCATGTTTCAGCCAACTTCCTGATTGTGAGTGAAACCATAAGTAATGGATTTTCTGGAATTTTTGGCTTCTCACGTATCAGTGGGCAGTTCAAACTTCAAAATGGAGCACAACACAGTAAGGACTAAATATTTCCACAAAACTGTTTTCTAGAAATGACCAAATGGAGGCCAAATTTACGCATACCCATTCATCTGACCATCATCTCAACCAACACATTTCGATCATTGTGACGTAGACAATAGGCTTACGATTTTCAATCAACAATCCCTCCCACACATGAAGTTGTTATAAATAAAAGTATCCGAGAGACAGTGTTTTTTCCATCTCTGCACAACTTTTCATTTGAGACAGAAACAGTACGGCAAAGAACAAATATCATAATATAGAGAGGCGGAAAAGATACGCCTCCCTCACCTGGTCGCCATTTTCACCATCGTTGTCAGTCATTCACTAAATCAATTCACAAGTTATTTTTCTAGTTCGTATAAATATGGACTCATCTTCGATTCTCAGGTATTTAATCAATTGTTCTCTTGAATTAAGTTCATTATCACAGGGGCTCTACCATAGATAGCGTCGAATTGTGTCTTACGGAACCGGAATTTGAAGGAGAACAACATAACATTTCTCGGGATGTGAAGTCAAAACCAAAAAGGAATAGACGATCGAAAACTTACAAAAATTTACCACAAAATCAATGTCCATCAGTATGTAAAATCTGTCGAAACCCGGCAATTGGTTATCATTATGAGGTGAGGTCTTTTTGGGGAAAATTTTTTTCTGTTCACTACTTTTTTTGTCATATTTTAGGAATAGTTGATTGCTAGAAACCTGTTTTAGAAAACCCGGTTATTTTATCGTTCCAAGGTACCTAGGGAGGACTTTTGTGTTACAATGGCACTTCCCATTTTTCTTTCATCAGGAATTTCTGTAAATTTTGTTATAATTTATGAATTTCACCAAAATTGAGCAAGTTTTTTTAAACGACAAATAAGAGTGTAAAAAAGAACTTCTGTGACATTTTGAAGTTTCCCGAGTATTTTTTTTTACTGAAAACGTACGGAATTTTCTAGTTCCAAAAACACCTTTAGAAGGGACCGTTCTATTACAAGGGGATCTTCTGTTGATTGCAGGATTAAAGAAAAGATTGTTGAATTCATGTTTTATTGGGAAAGTCTTGTCTTTTAGGTACCATCTTGTAATGGATGTAAAACGTTCTTCCGTCGGACCATTGTAACTGGACGGAAATTCAAATGTCCTAAGATTGGCAATTGTTTCGAAGGAGCAGACGTCATTGGTGAGTTCAATAAGAGTCTTACGAAAAATTAGAACGATCCGATTATTTGCCTTTTTGATTTTCGAATTTTTGATTGTTTCATCTTTGTAGACACATCGAAACGAGTGTGTCGAGCATGTCGATTTGAGAAATGTATACAGGCTGGAATGAATCCACTGGCAATTCAAGCCGAAGCGAAAACTGAGGAGGGTCATGAACTCAAAAAGATAATAGCTCAGAAAATGCTCAATGGTGAAAAGTTTGACAGTATAACTGTATTCTTCAATGTAGAAGACAAATTGAATCAAGTAGTTAAAAAGCTAACCTCAATCGAAGCAAAGTTGGAAGGTGTACATAACAATGGCATGCCAATGGGATTCACGGATATTAGAGATTTGAGTACTGTCGTTTCATCGAAAGTGATTTATAATAATGTAGATATTCCGTCGATGAGTTATGCACCTGTGAAAATTTCTAAAAATACTGGACTGTGAGTTCTTTTAACAGAAGATTAAACCTTGATATCATTCTGAAAACGTTTAGACCAAAAAGACGTAGTCGAAACTTTGTCCACTCAAGTTGCTTGGCGTCAATTGAATACTCGAAGGCGTTTGATTTCACCAGTGCAATTGACCTCTCCAGTAAGGTGCGAATACTGATCTGAATCGTTTCTGATTTAGGATCGGGATCAGATTCATCTTTGAGATTATGACATAGGACACACTAATTTTGTGTCTTCTAATGAAAAACAAGTTCAGATAACTCTGCTTCAACACACTGCTTTATCCTGTGCCAACCTTACAAATGCATTTATTACTTTTTCGAAACTGAAATCAGACACTCTTTTGTATCCAGATGGAAGTATTTATGGACCACCGAAAAGAAAGAAGGGGCCACTGATTGAAAAACAGAGATCGTTTTTACAAAAGACATTAGTTGCTTTTATGTCGAATAATGTGGATCGAACCGAATATATGCTACTCAAAGCAATAGTCCTTTGTAACCCTGGTAAGAGAAAAAACCTAATTCAGCATCCAAAAAAGCAAGTTTTCAGCAGTAACTGACATTCTAAAAGAGGATACAAAACCTATCCAAGAGAACGTGAAGTGTATGCTCAATGCCTATTCCGTTACTGTCTACTTCAACATGGGACACTGAACGGTCCTGGCAGATTTTCGTTGCTTCTTGCCATATGCAATGTTCTCGAAAACCAACAAAAATACCAGAAGGATTACTATTTGTACATTAAAGTTATTCACAGTCAAAAACACAAGGATCCAGAAGTTTTGAAGAAGAAATGTATCAGTGTTGTGTATGATCAGATAATGGACCCGTGAATAGTTATGAGCAAATAAAAGTGATCATGTTTTTAGTTGTTGTTGTGAAAATTGAAACAATATCATGTGATAAACATGCGAATATAAAATTATACAACTGGGAGCGTGCTCTCGTTGGTTTTTGTTTCAATGGTTTCTCGGGAAGCAGAGCAGAAACTTCAAAACAAGTCATATAAGTTTGTGACTACTAGATATCTGCCTAGGATTTCTAGCAAACTATTCTACATCTGTTTTTGAGCAGTGCAAAGCTTGAATTTCCGTGAAACCTATAATATAGTGCGTTTCAATATTATACGTCCACTCTTGTTTTTGGCCGTAACTTGAGAACCGGTTGAGATATCAATCTAATTTTATTAAAATTAAATTCAGAGCAACAAATTACATCTAGAAAACCATTTTTGAGAAAAAATATTGAAAACTACTCGAGATACAGAGAAAAATCTGAAAATGTGACATTTGCAACCGTTTCAAAATTATACGTCCACTTCAAAGGTATGTCGATCTTGACCTTTGGCGGAGCCGGAAAAGCTTGAATTTAGTTTTGTTTTTTGCTGCCAATGTGAGAAACTTTTTTCATTATGCTTTTCCTTGTTTTTCTCCACTTTTCAACATGTCTCGTGGCCATTTGCTCACTGATGCTGAAAAAGCCTTCATCGACGCGTTCAAAACCTCTGGTTGGACCAACAGGGCTATCGCGAAACATCTAAATCGTTCCCACGATTGCATTAATCGTTTTGTATCGAACCGGACCCGCAACAATCAACCCAACAAGGCTGGACGTCCTCCAAAACTCAATTCAAGAGCCAAACGATCAATCGTTCGTGTGGCTTCAAACACCATGAAGTCTTGTAATGATATCAAAAAAGAGCTGAATCTTGGAGTGAGCAAGTGTACAATCTGGAGGGCTCTTAAGGATGATCCAAACATCAAAAGAGCAGTCATGCGCCCTGCTCCGAAGCTCACTGACAATCACAAAACTCGCCGTCTAGACTTCGCTCGAAAAAACATGGGAACCAACTGGGATAAGGTATTAAATTTAAAATTATCTATCCAAATTATCTTATATTTTACAGGTAATTTTTTCGGACGAGAAAAAATTCAATCTTGATGGACCCGACGGATTCAAATCGTACTGGCACGACTTGCGGAAGGATCCAGCCGTTTTTGCCAAAAGGAATTTCGGGGGAGGCAGTTTGATGGTATGGGGAGCATTTGCTTCGGCTGGATACTTGGAGCTCGCTTTCACCACTTGTCGAATGAACTCCACAGACTACCAAGACGTTCTCCAGAACCACCTTATCCCGTTTCGTCGTCGATTCAGTCGCCGCCAGTTCATTTTTCAGCAAGATAATGCTGCAATCCATGTCAGCCGCTCCACTTTGGACTGGTTCCAATCGAAAAACATCGATGTCTTGCCATGGCCAGCTTGCTCTCCAGATCTGAATCCGATGGAAAATGTTTGGGGCGAGCTGGTTCGTCGTCTTTACCGCCATGGAAAGAAGTATGCTAGTATTGGAGAGCTTCGGGATGCGCTGATTGCTGAGTGGAGTCTGCTGGAGCAGGAGTTCAAGACTAAGAGCACCCAATACATCCAAAACCTTATCAAATCGATGCCAAATCGTCTCTTCGATGTCATTGCTGGTAAAGGTTCATCCACAAAGTATTGAAATATTTTTTATTCTCTATTTTAGCATTGATTCTGAGAGTGGACGTATAATTTTGAAACGGTTGCAAATGTCACATTTTCAGATTTTTCTCTGTATCTCGAGTAGTTTTCAATATTTTTTCTCAAAAATGGTTTTCTAGATGTAATTTGTTGCTCTGAATTTAATTTTAATAAAATTAGATTGATATCTCAACCGGTTCTCAAGTTACGGCCAAAAACAAGAGTGGACGTATAATATTGAAACGCACTGTAGAAGAGACACGCACTGTCAAGTTTGTGCTCAATTATCTGAATTCTATGCAATGTACAAAATATATGTTAACTGACGAAACACTTATAATAATATGATTAACAATTTATCCGTTGACCATTTTCAAAAATCTTGAGCAGGAAGCGAGAAAAGTTGGCTCAATGTTGAAATTTAGGGTGCCCTTCTATTTTTCTGTTTCGCGGTAACAAAAAAAACGTTTGAATGCTTTTGTGGATCAGTTTTCAATCGAAACATTTCCATAGCATTCAGAATCGAGCATTTTCAAAGAATCAAATCCAAAAAATAAAATGTTCAAAGATTTTTTACGCATTTCAATTCGCAGCCCAGCTGAATAGAAGATCGATTTTTTCCCAATTTTCGCAAAAATGTACCACCAATTCGATTTTGCAAATCCTGGGCAAAATTTAAAACTTATTTTATTTGGCTCAATATTTTAAAGTTACTTTGCCTATTATTTCTATTTTTTACATTTTTTCTTTCCAAGTCTGTCTTAAATAACAATAAGTCTCATTTTCAGATTTTCAGAATTCGACACCAAAAAATTAAAACTGTAAGGAACGAGATAACATAACGTTTCTTGTTAGAATCTCTCTGAAAACGATTATTCCCTGTTCTAGACCGTAAAACCTGTAAGGGCTTTTCAACTTTTAACTTTGAGACGAATTTTCTAGGTTCCTGTCAAAGGTATAAAAAAGTTGTCAACTGATAAATTGTTCATCATAATACCAAAAGTATTTTGTCTGTCGACACATTTTTGATATGTTGCATAGAAATTGAGATAATTGAGTTCAAACTTAAGCCCCTTCTTTTACAGGTTTTACGGTAATCCTAAAATTTTCAAGCAGAACCACAAGGTTACGCAGAAACCAGTCTGTTTCTTGATTCACATCACTTCCCATCCTATTGAACTTGAACACTTTTTGGTATTCGACTGATCTTTCGTGTGGTTTTCTATCTCTATGTATGTACTACATAATTGAACCCGTACCAACAGAAAATTGATTTATTTACTCCAAGTTCAGCTGTATTAGTTTATGCAACGGATCTAACGCCGACGCGATGTATGTCTGCCTGCCGCGCGAGAGCTTCGTACTGAGTGCAGAAATACATCGCGGTCAGAAAATATTCGCTCCCGTTTTTCCTTTCTCTACTTTTTCCACCATTTATACACAAAAGCAACGTGGTTGTATAGGGTGATGGAGGAAAACGAGAGAACTGGAGACGCAGTCAAATAGCAGACTCCAAAGAAACAAAGATGCGCTGATCGGTGGTGTCGCCCAGTCATTCAGTTCTTCTTCTTCTCTCGTTTTTCTCTGATGGTTTCACCGATATAATTATTACCTTTCTCGTTGTCCTTATTTGCACTTCCTACTCAACTTTTCGGAAATAGGAAGGATCAAAATATGCTTCCCGACATCATAAGTGTTCCGTCTACCAGCGTAAAGTGAGTTGAACCTATTTAATGTTTGCATAGAAAGAAAATCAATATTCATGTGATGTATGATATCATGTTTCTTGTTCCTTTTTCAGATGTCTCTCTTCTGAAGTACTGCTTCCTGAAGACGTGGGAGAATGTGAAGAGTTGGAATATAAAGTGAGTTCGGCTTCATTCACTGTCTCGAAACCTGGAACTTTGATTTCAAATGTTCTTGTTTACTTGGATTTCTGGTTTTCAACCAAAAACTTCTAGAATATTGACCATTGTTTTTGTCATCTGATTTGCTAGTAATTATTTTTTCATTGTTTTTAAAACCAATAATATTGAATTTTGTAATTCCAGATAACGAAAACCCAGAAGCCAATGATGAATCGAGGAGCATGTCCATCGATGTGCAAAGTCTGTAGACATCCAGCTACTGGATATCATTATGATGTTCCATCCTGTAACGGATGTAAAACATTTTTTCGGCGGTCAATTCTGGATGGAAGAAAATATACATGTCTGAAAATGAAAAAGTGTTTGAGTGGAAATGAACCAGTGGGTATGTGTCTTTTCGAGAAATTCTCAAAAGAGATCTTGTTTCCAGATTTGACCAAAAGAATGTGTAGATCTTGCCGATTTGAACAGTGTGTGGAGGCTGGAATGAATCCGTCAGCGATTCAAGCAGATGTAAAAAGTTCAGACGGCGAGATTTTGAAAAATGAGATTATGCGAAAACAGAAAGGGTCGGTGGATGGTTTGAGCACTCCACATGTATGAGCTAACTATAAGAAGTTTTGAATACGTTACTATAAGATTTTGTTTCAGGTACTTTTAAGTTTCGAGGATAAAGTCAACGAGATAATTGAGAAATTGACATCGATGGAAGTGAAAATTGAACCGCTGTATACGGAAGGATTGCCACCCGGATACAAAGTGAGTTTTGATTTCTTTTTTCCAAATTATCTTCAAAATTTCAAATATTCCTTTTTCGAAACTTATGTGTTAAGATTTTTAAAATATTTGAAAAAAGAAATCATCAATATTTTAACGTACATTCATAATTTCAGGATAATCGAAAACTAGAAGACGTGATAAATTCCCCAATGATACTCCGATACGACGAAATTCCAAACCTAGAATACTGCCCTGTTATAGACGAATCCACCGGACAGTGAGTCTTTTAAATTTGTAATTATCTGACAATTCCTAACTTTCCAGAATCAAAAGCAGTGGTGCATGTTATATTCACTGTTGTTATCTTGCCAGTATCGAATATTCCAAAATGTTCGATTTCGTGAATAAAATTGATGCGGCCAATAAAATAATACTTGTTAAACATGCTACCGTGATGTGTGCGGATATTATGACTTCATTCTTCTCCTATGACCGACTGAAATCCGACAAACTGATTCATCCAAACGGACTGTTCGCAGGTCCACCTAGACCGAGGTGAACTTTGAATTTGTTTTAACAGTTCTTTAGAAAAATTTTGTTTTAGGTACGGTGAAGTTGGAGCTAAACATCAAGCTGGCATGCAGAGAACATTGGTTACTGTACTCCGAAATGAACTTAACAGAGTCGAATACTTGCTTCTCAAGGCAATAGTTCTGTGCAATCCAGGTAAACTTTGAACTTGACGAAACCCAATATTCTTTACTATTAGTAAAGTCTTTACGTCACCACCCACACATAAAAATTTTTATTATTTTCAGCGGTTTCCGGTTTAACGGAAACGGTTCAAGAAGTTATCGGAAAAGAAAGAGAGCAATACGTTCGAACACTTTTGACATACTGTCTTCTAAATTATGGATCTGTTCATGGCCCATCTCGATTCTCAGCTCTTCTTGCAATTATGTCAGTTCTCGAATCACAACAAAGGAATGCGAAAGATTTTCATTTATTAGCAAAAGCCACCGTTTTGAAAGATTTAGTACGGTATACCCGTGTTAGTCAGCTGTATGAGCAGATTATGGAATCTTGAATGTCGTGTTAAAAGAAAAAAAAGAAACAAACAACAATTCTGGGTAGTCGAAAACTTTATAATAATACTGTTATGTTTTTGGTTGTGATTGATTATTTACATTTACAAAAAAAGAAAATCAAATTGTGAATTGTTGCTTCTAGCGGGTATTCGTAAATAAATTATTGTTTCAAAAGATGTGTTGGGATTTTTCTAGAAGCATTCAAACACATACACATCTACACATAATAAAACTTGGAGTTTCTTCTGCACATAATAATCTGAGCAATTTGTCATTTTACAATCGAAATCCGTTATCCGCAATCAGTTTCACCGCATCATAAAGGCAATCGGCAGTCAGGTCCGGAGTGACTGGCAACTTTTCAAAATCTGGTCTCCATTTGCCGGTTCTGACCTGAATTCCCCGCATTCCACATGCTTGAGCACCACCCACGTCCGACATCAAATCATCGCCAACCATCACAATCTGAAATTTTTATTAAATTGAAAATTTTGTCAAAAATAGGATTGGACTTTGTACTGATAGTGAGTTATTGGGTCTTGTTGAGCAAGAATCGTTAAGCAAGAACTTAATTGAAAAATCGTTCAGGTTTTTAAAATCAAATTTATATATCTATTTTTCAGATAACAGTTTCTGTACTCTGAATGGAAAAAAACTGTACTACAAAGTAGACATGTAAACTGATCTGGAATATAATAGCATACTCTTTAATGCATATTTGCAACGGACGGAGCTTGGTTTTATTTCAGACTTTTCCAGGTCCGGCCCGAGTTTTCAGAATTTATTTTTCCTCTCTTTCCGAAAAAAAACTTCGAGGTCAATAGGAAAAAACAAAAGAATTATGAGTCGAATGATTAGCTTGCCAAGAACGGGGTGTAAATTTTTTTTAAATTTTGTTTTTTCACAAAAAATTTCGAAAATTACAAAAGTTTTCAACTCTGGAACACCTGGTTCCAGACCCTGAATAATCTCAGCCCGGCCTGGCCCGTGGGCCGAGCCCTAACTTCTCAGGTACGAAAAAAGCGAGAGCTAAAAAATGAGAATAGAAACCAACCTCTTCTGGCTTCATTCCCAACGCATTAATCCCTTGTTCGAAATAGAAACGACTCGGTTTTCCAATGTTCAAAACTTCGCAATTAGTGGAGAACTTGAGAGCCGCTGCGAATGCTCCGACATCAATGCACGGCCCATCAACCCGTTGAAAGAATTTTCTAGAGAGAAAAAAGAGACAGGTTTTTAAAAAGAAACCGGAAAGCAATTATTACCCGTTGCCCATTGTTATGAGAAGAGGTTTCGGCATGTCGATGAGAACTCGAAATGCTCGATTGATGCGCTCGAATGAGAATCCTTCCTCGACTTCTCCCATCACCACACAATTCGGAGAAGAAGTGTCGATTCCATCAAAATATTGGAGAACATCTTGAGAAAGAAAGAAGGATCATTCAGAGAGACACAAAAAATGAAGTAGTACCTTCTCTGACGAAAAGATGTGGACGAAGTTTGTTCTCTCGGCAATATTGAGCAACGACTGGAGCCGGAGTGATAACGTCTTCTTCGCGGATACTGAAAGTAGAGGAATACCGTTAGGTTAGAATCCGTCTATTGTTCCAAGATTCCTTTGGAGGGCTTTTCTATTTTTCCAGTCGTTTTTTCGAAACATTTGGCGAATTTTCTCTCAAAATTCATTAAAATCTATTTAAAGCAAAATTAGGTAAGTTTTCCAGAAAAAAGTGTTTCAACTTCTATTAAAAGGGCCTTTCTAATACAAGTTTCACGGTAATTGGAAAAGGACCTGAAAAAATGACTTACTTGATACCAAGTCTCTGCAGTCTCCTGGCTACGTTTCTGTTCGAGTTTCCTTTAGCATTGGATAGAAATTTGACATTTGAGTGTTTGTACAAGCTGAAATGGCTCTTTTCATATTTTTATTAAACTTTTTTTTGAAAATTCGAGACTACAGTAACTTTTTTAAAAATACCGTAATCCGCCTTTCAATATTAACAGTTCCAAAATTGTGAATTTGCGAACACTGTGTAAAAACTCACAAGTCGACAGCCTCTGCTGACTTGGCAATAGCTACACCGTCGGATTTATAGATACTGTTGTATAAAACTCCCGTTATGTCGAGCAGGAACCCATTGACCGCTCTCCCATTGGACATTCCCTTACCACTCTGAAACCAAATCGATTTTAGAAAAAAGAACGGAAGAAGGAAAAGGAAAAATGATTAATAAAAAGTTGGCAAGACGGAAACAACAGGGAAAACAAAAACAGAAAAAGATAGAATGAATCTTGAGATGGCTGCTGAAAAAAAGGGGGAAAGAAGGGGAAGAAGAAGGGTCTCTCTGCGGTGCAATATGGGCAAAAGGGTCCGTTTAGATGTTCTCCTCTTCCTTCTTGCCAGCACTGCATGTGTCCAGTACGCCTTCTTCTTCTTCTTCGCTCCGCTCTTCCCACCCTCTTCCCTCTCTTCCTTTGTCTCACTATCTCATCTCTTCACTCATGTCCAGCTGCCCCCCCCCCTCCCTTTCGGACCTTCTATGTTGCTCATCTAGGTGCGTTTGGACAAGTTCCAAACTATATACAATTTAACACTAATTAGCCATAAGATTTTTGGGAAAGATATATTATCTGATGAGATTAACGCGCGATAGTATGAAGTCACATTTTTATCGTAGCTCGTATATCATCGTATCGCTTTGATCTATTCATAAAGACTTGCTGGTTTTAAAGATTTCGCAACTGATGAAATAGGAGCTCAGAATCTCGCTCGAAAAGATCAAATCTTGATATGACGAATTTAAGACGCCTATTAACAAAAGAAGGAATTCAATTATGAAAATGTCTTCAAAATAAAGAAGGAAAAACTGGAGATTGAGAATAGCATAACTAACATTTCCCGCACACCAAAATCTTCATAGATAACACTGAATCTGAATTCCTTTAGACCTATTCTATCCAGAATCTCGAAAAAGACATGAATCCAAAAAATGACCTAGAACGCCAACGTGTTCAAAATGTGCAGTCACGCGCGCAATTCTTGTGTTCTTTTAGGTGTGAATTACGCAAACACAAAGACGGCAGATTGCGGGTTGTCGGACAATAATGATGAATTACGATCGGGAAGAAGAGGGGGAGAGGAAGGGGACACTGGGGTCGATCTACTGTGATATGTGGTAGCACTCTAATGAGAAGAAGCGTGTCAGCTAGAAAGTTGTTTTAGCGCGGCGTGATAATTATTCTTGTGTATTTCAATATACTACACTGAAATGGTGTTTTCTAGTTCACAATTTATTTTTGTCCATTCGCCTAAAATTTGGTCACGCCACCTTCTCATTAGAGCACATCCGCATACCACAGCAGTTTGAACCCTGTGAGGATGGGGAGAGGGAAAAATTACAATAATTAAAAGAAAACTGAATACAAGAAAAATAAAAAGAAGAGATTAAAGCTAGACTGTTGTGTGGAGAGCGGAGTTGGTTCCGGATATTTTGGGAAGCTGGAAAAAGCGAAAGTGTGTCACGTGGACAGTGCTGGAAAGTAAAAATTTTCTAATTCAAGGGCAGCAGGTTGGTGGTCTAGAGGGAGGACAACTTGTTGTTCCTTTAAAAAAAAGAACTACAGTAACCCTAAAAAATTTCAATTTCATAATCTATGGTTCTAGTGCGTTCTTTTCAGTTCGATTCTTATGGTTCAAAAGACAAGGACGCCGTATATCTGATCCTAAAAATAATATGAACATTTAAACCGTGATAGATTTTTTTAAAAACTGGGAATCTTTCAGGGATGATATAATTTTTTCGATTTTATCGAGAAGCATTGAGAGGTTTTGATTGGGAAAAGTAGAGATTAACTATCAAAGCCATGAGGAATTCAATCATGTTGGAGAAGCATGGGAGAGACCCCAATAAACTAAAACAAAACATACAGTATATATTTTTAGGTCAAAGTTCTCTAAAAGTTTTCAAAATGTTCGGAAATCCCTAATTGCAATTTTCAGAATCCTACTTATACAATCCAAAATATTTGTCAGTCTACAAAAACAACGACGTCATCCATAATCGTCTACCCTCTTTTCGAACCGATCGGACATCACCTACATTTAATTCGTCTTCCTTCTCCTTCTCCTCCTATCGTCTTCTTCTACTTCTTCTTCTGGTTCCTGTCCGCCAGCCCTCCATGACTATCTTCTCACTTTTCTCACCTCGGTTTATGCCTTCTCATTTCTCTATTTACATTTGTGATTGGTGCGCCCCAATAAATATATTTTTCCCTTAAACTTTCAAACTCCTTATCGATTTAATCCAAATGTACTATACTTTTTCAGAGAGATTATATGGGTGAGGTGAATGTGACGGGTAATGGATTTTTTGTGCATTCAGAATGCGCGAAGCTACAGGCTGTCACTTTTCGAGTCTGGAGTTTTTTCCCGGACATTTTTATGGTTGCAATTTTACAAGCTTCTAAATAGTTTGCACTCCACTGATAAGTGAACAAAAACGAGGCGCGTGTTTCCAGATAGTTTAGTAATCATTTTTCTTGAAGAAGAAGTCACGAATTCCAGTTGACAAGGCAACTTTTCGTATGTCAGGGATCCATGGTTTCCAAAGTTTTGCATGAAGTTTGGAGTATTTTGTGAAATTCTATCTTTTAATTTTCAGTTTTGGCATTCGAAATTCTTTGAGTAATTTTGTCAAATTTACCCTACCATAAACCTGTAATAGAAGAGCGCCCCAACTTTTAACTTTGAGCCAGATTTTCTTGGTTCCTGCCAAAGATATGAAAAAGTTGTCAACTGATAAATTGTTCATCATAACATCAGAAGTATTTTGTCAGTTGACACATTTTTTATATCTTTCACAGAAAATAAGATTTATGAGATAAAAGTTGACAGTGTGAGGGTCCTTCTATTACAGGTTTTACGGTAATCCTTTTGTGGAATCTGTGAATTCAAAATTTTCAGAATTACTCCGGGCTGAATGATTTCATTTTTTAATCCATCTTTTATCATTTGTCTTATTTTTTCTAAATAGTTTCGATTTCTCCCTCATTGTCCCAATTTGTAGTTGAACTACTTGCAAGGTTACAATTTAGCCGTAACATTTTTTGCATGACTGTCCGAATAGTAGCCTCCTTCTCCCACTTCCTCACTTTTTCTTTTTTCCGTTTTCCGGACATGTCATAAATATTTGCCTCTATCACTCAATTGATTAATCGGTACACGACCGAAGACAAATACAAAGAATGCGAAACTTGTGGAAATAGGCGAAAATAGTAGTTGACTATATGTACATGACTTGGAATAGACGCATCAAAACCGCCCCCAGTGAAAGTACATGCCCGCCCCGAGGAGGACACACTATTCATTTTATATTATTCTATCGATTTGTCTTTTTTCAATCCTCTCATACAACCTTCTCCGTTCGTTTTGGTTCTGAATACCGTTTTTCTGTCCGTCCCAGTCGGTACATTCTCAACCAATTTACCCCGCACAAACCCTGATTTTTGCTTCGCTACGTGGTTAGCACATAATGAGATAAGAGAACAAGGTTGTATAAATGTTTCGCATCTATTACTGCCTCCTTTTTTTCTTCAGCTCCTCCCATTCAACCACCTCCACAGTTTCAGTGACCTTTTTGAAAACTGTATATATCAATATTGAATTCTATATAACGATCTAATTTAATATCAGAATAAGTGTGACTGTTTTTTGTGGTCTCTATTGTTCTAATTTATCTTGTAGGTCATGATGTGACCTTTTTTGTTTTGGTTAAAGTATCGCATAACCTGTTCTAGAAGGGCCGGCCCATTGCTCCGAAATGCCCCCGGAAAGCCCTTCTATTACAGGGGACTTTCAATCAAAGGGAGCTTGTTTTTTTTTGAAATTTTTCGAAAGAAAAATTCATATTTTCTTCGGTTTTTTGCAACATTTTAAACCTTTCTAGGTTTTTCAGCTATTTTTGATAATTCTTTATTAATTGTTAAGATTCTTTGGTCTGAAATTTGATTGAGCGGTGTTCGCGAAGATTACTGTAGATTACTGTAAAAAACTTGTCTCCTTTTGCAGTTTTTTTAAAAGTTAAAGTTAAAACATCTTTTTTGTCTGCATTTTGACGTGATTGTGTTTGTAAAAAACTGCAAGAGGAAAAAAGTTTTCTACAGTAATCTACAGTAATCTTTGCGAACAGCCTTTCGTCAAATATCAGACGAAAAATGCGAAAAAATCGAAAAAGAATTTTCAAAAATAGCTGGAAAACCTAAAAAGGTCTAAAACTTTTACCAAAAAATCAAGAAAAAAAAAGAAATTTTGAAGCGATTTTTCCAATTTTATCAAAATTTTTAAGTGTTTCTTTGATTTTATGTGGATCTACATAACTCTTCTTATTACAGGGGGCTTCTATTAGAGGGAGCTTTCTATTAAATGAGCCCTTCTAATACAGGTTTTCAGATAACATTTTTTCGAAAACTGTTTTTTGTTCTTTTCAGTTTTTGTGCCAGAAGTCAACATTGCTTTCATCTTGCATTAAAAAAATACAAAAATGTGTTTTTAATAACAAAAAACATGCCCTCATTTTTGTTATTGGTATTCATATGTTCCCTCTACCCACTCAACTTTCAAATCCAAATATCAAACAGAAACTATACACAACTTTTTTTTCCTCAAATCAAAAATTGCGCCAAGATGAATCACGATGTTGTTTTTTGGGTTTTTTTCAATAACTTGGATGACTCAATCAGAACAATACTTTTCAGTTATAAAAAATCCTCCGGTAGGTTTTTTCTTCCGTTTTCTTCTCATTTCTTCTTTGAGATTGTCAGTTGTTTCTTTCTGTTAAAACCTCAGACAGTGTTGCGAAAACCAATTTTTCTGAAAAATCTCGAAAATCAGACCATTTTTCGTACAATGATCTCTCTTCGCACAGTGATAAAACCTGACGTGTAGACGTCCTGACCATCAAACCGATTATGAACTAATTTCCACTAATCCGACAGTTTCCTGTTTCTGTTCTCTCGCTTTTTTGTGCTCTCAGCTAACCATTCTTTTTTGACGTGTCCTATGCACACTTCCTCTCTAGAATTTGGGACTGGAGCCGCTACGTTTACTGAAGATATACTTTTTTCTGATCAGGAGACAATAGAAATCTAAAATTTTAGAGACCAACAGAAGATGGTTCGAAACAAAGTAGCACCGATGGAGGAAGGATCAAAACTTCAGCAATTCCAACCACCTCCTCCGTATTCAGTGGATTCTCCTGAAAATCGTCCATACTCTCTGGACTCTCCGGAAAATCGAGCAGCGCCATCGAACTCTCAATCAACGACTGCATCAACTCCAGAATTTCAAGGATGTTGGACAATTGTTGTTGTTTCTATTCTTTTCATCATCAACCTTCTCAATTATATGGATCGTTATACGATTGCAGGTTAGTTCAGAAGAAAGAACCGACTACGGGACATTTCGCCACCGGACACAGTAATGCAACCAAGTTGATAGGTTTCAGACTACAAACATAACTTTTGGATTTTCAAGTATGATTTTTTTTCTGACAGCACACAACTTGAAATTCAAAGCTTTAAAAAATGCATTCGAAAATTAAAATTTGCAACTTTCTGAATTTCAGAATTTTTTCAATAAGAGAACTTTACAATTGTCTTTGTAGTCTGAAAACTATTCGTTTGTACTATCACGGTGGCGAAATGTCCCGGAGCCGAAATTTTTGGTGCTCTAAACATGCCGAAACATGAAAGATGCCGAACGGAATGCTCTGATAAGACCGAATAGTTTTGTTTTTGTTTTATCAAGCACGTGCTGGACGGGTTTTTTTTGAGGTCGGACTGCTTTGAAAATGATGTTTTAGGTTTTCTGTATAAAACCTACTAGAGCCATAAGTTTGAAAATAAAATACAAATTTTACAGGAGTGTTGGATGATGTCCAAAAATACTACAATATCAGTGATGCATGGGCAGGGCTCATTCAAACGACATTCATGGTTTTCTTCATTATTTTCTCACCAATTTGCGGATTTCTTGGAGATCGATACAACAGAAAATGGATCTTCGTTGTTGGAATTGCCATTTGGGTTTCTGCAGTTTTTGCATCCACTTTTATTCCAAGTGATGTGAGAATCCGATTCAGAATCTTATGAATACTGTTTGTTTTTCAGAAATTTTGGTTGTTCCTCTTGTTCCGTGGAATCGTTGGAATCGGTGAAGCATCTTATGCTATCATCTCTCCAACTGTGATTGCTGATATGTTCACTGGTGTCCTCCGCTCCAGAATGCTTATGGTTTTCTATTTTGCTATTCCATTTGGTTGTGGTCTTGGATTTGTGGTCGGTTCAGCAGTTGACAGTTGGACAGGACAATGGCAATGGGGAGTTCGAGTGACTGGAGTTCTTGGGATCATTTGTCTTGGGCTCATCATCTTCTTCGTTAGAGAACCGGAACGTGGAAAAGCTGAACGCGAAAAGGGAGAGATCGCAGCATCAACAGAAGCAACGAGCTATTGGGATGATATCAAGGATCTACTGTCAAAGTAAGTTTTCAATCATGTTGATTGCAGTTAACTATAATCATTTTAGTGCAACATACGTGACTAGCAGTCTTGGTTACACTGCGACTGTCTTCATGGTAGGAACACTTGCCTGGTGGGCACCAATCACCATCCAATATGCTGAAGCTTCTCGTAAAAATGTCACAGATATCAGTAAATCTGAAAAAGCCCAAATTAATTTGGTATTTGGAGCCATCACTTGTGTTGGTGGAGTCCTTGGTGTCGCCATGGGAACTGTTATCTCAAATGTTAGTTTCATATTTAAATTTTTGTTTTCTCATATTTTATTTTCAGATGTGGTCCCGAGGTGTTGGTCCTTTCAAGTGTATACAAACAGTCAGGGCTGATGCTCTTGTATGTGCTATTGGAGCAGCAATTTGCATTCCAACTCTGATTCTCGCTATTCAAAATATTGAGAACAATATGGGATTTGCATGGGTTATGCTTTTCATTTGCATCGTAGCCAGTAGTTTCAATTGGGCAACCAATGTGGATCTTTTATTGGTTAGTCCCGTTTCATAAGGATTTTATATAGTATCTTTCTTCAGAGTGTCGTAGTTCCTCAAAGAAGAAGTTCTGCATCTTCTTGGCAAATTTTAATATCTCACATGTTTGGAGACGCGTCTGGTCCATATATTCTGGGATTGATCTCTGATGCGATTCGAGGAGATGATAATACATCGCAAGGACATTACAAATCACTTGTCACATCTTTCTGGCTCTGTGTTGGAACTCTTGTACTTTCAGTGATTTTATTCGGAATTTCAGCAGTGACTATCACGAGAGATAAGCAAAGATTCAATGATATTATGCGTAAGTTATGATCCTTATTTTTTTTGCAAACATTTCTATTTCAGTTGCTCAAGCTAGTCCAGATGAAAGTTCATCAACTGGATCGGTGCCAGAACCTACAAAAACAGATGATGATGGTTCACACGTACAACATATGTAGTCCTCTTTTTGTGTTGTTCATTTACTGGTTATTGTTGCTCAAAAATTCCATTCATTTCATTTTTTCTCACTTTTGTTTGCGGGTCTTCTCTCATTTTTTTGTGTAATTTTTTTCTTAATATGTCCCCCAATTCCATTCAATTCATTCGCATAAATTTGCGTTCTCTAACTCTCTTTTTTTTTGGCTTTTTGTACATTGTGCAGATTCACAATCAGATCGATGCCTGCTATTGACGTAGTTGTCAAAGGGTTTCGACTCATTTTTCCGAAAAATGAGAATGTTTTTGTGCTATTCGCTTTTCTTTGGAGCTTATTTGTAGCCACTAGACAAACTACAGAGGAAATACAGAAGATTTGGGAGAAAAGTAAGTTTTGAGAAACTCAATTCCAAAATACGGGTTCTGTTACTTCAGATGTAATCAATGTTTGCAAAATTATCAGACTTATCTCTATTCCTCTTTTTCATCGATACCCAGTAGATTGGCTCTTTATTTTCACGACTTCTTCGATTTTCATCTTTGTCTTACGAAGTTGATTCCTCATACTTATAAATTCAAGGTTGATTAAAATTTTAGATAAGACATTCATCGGAGTTACACTCTCGGCTGTGCTCCACACAGTTCTGTACTTCCTTTTACTAGGATTGAGCCCATTGACTTATTGGAACCTCGGAAAACAATTTGTGAACCTTCTGATTTGGCCAGATGATCCTCGACAACTTGCTTTTGAAATTGGCATGACTTTTGCAGTTGGCATAATGACTGTTCACTTTCTAGTTCATTTTGGAGAGATAATACTTGAACTTGTCATAATTGGTATGCAATAATTGTAGTTTTCAAAGAGTACAATATTTTCAGACTGGATTCTTGTAGCAACTCTGATCCACCCTATCATTCTCATCTATCTATTTCCCGATCATCTGAATCTTCTGTTCATCGGAATTGGATATTCAGCTTTTCTTTTGTCGATGAAGTATCAGTGGGAACAAATGAATCAAACTGTCAGAGTATCTCTATTTTTTTTTTATAAAACTCTTAACTACATAGGCTATGCTGGTTTTCGAAAAATAAATATGATATCATGTTCTAGAATTTAAATTTTTATTAATTAAAAAAATAAACACGTTTATTTAGCTAAACTTATATATATATTCAATCATCATCCTCACGCTTGATATCGGCGGTTCCTCCACTGTTTCTGACAATGTCATCATACCGTAAATAAGTTCTCCTTTCGGCCGTTGATGGTCCTGGACGCACACAATCAGCATAACGGAGCCGATGGAATCGGGTGGCATAAGTAGGAGGATCTCTAAAACATATTTCCTATTTTTTTTATTTTCTTTTCCGATTTGATACCGATAATGAAGAATCCATTTCTCGAAAATACCTTCAAAGCATGCTTCTGTATCAGAATTCAGGAGAAGAACCTGGAATTCCAACCTTTCTTTTTAATTCTCAAGTTCAATTTGCTTACCCAATTCACACACCAAGATTGGCTCAAACTGAATCCTGGCCACCAGAATAGACCCATGTTAACGATATCAGATTGCTTGAAAAATATCTTAAAATGGTCCCGAGAGCCTTGCTCAAAGTCGTTTCTTCCGGGATTATCGAGATGAAACGTTTCAGAATCATGTCCTGATTCGTAGAAGATTTTCAGATAAGCAGCTGCATCAGTACCGGCTCCATCTTTATCGCATGTTTCGATTACCACATCCCAGAGACGACCATCGTCTGAAATTTCAGTTTAAATCATCTTATATATCCCTACGCAGAGCTCACACTTACGATGTACTACAGTCTCATTAGTAGGAGCAAACTGACAAAGTACAATAGTAACCAAAAACGAATATATTAAAACCGAGTCGAACATTTTCGGGATCGTTTCAAACAACTCTCTTAGAAAAGAGTGAGAAAAACGAGAGAGGTTTTCTGTTCTCGATTTTTCTTTTTCTTAAAGAAGAAAAGCTCATCGGCAGTTGAAATGATCGATTGGTTCGATTGATGGATGGGAGCAATCATATGCTGCTCCCACACAATCCATTGCAAAAAAACACATCAACGGGTTGAGTTGAGAGTCCAAGAGATTTGAACGGGGCACTTTGATGCTGGTACAAGGTTGACTTTTTTCTCACAACTGTTGTCCGATGTCTTTAGGAATCATCAGCAAGAGTACCAAGGTTTTTATTGTATCTAAGCTGTCTTATGAAATGCATGTTGACAGAAAGTCAAAACAAATTCGTTTCGAATTTAAAAACTTTCAAAAAACCGAAACATTTGCTATGAAAGTCATTGATATTCACCCCAATCACTTACAGGGTGCGCTTTAATTACGGACAGAAATTGAAACGAGTCTAACATACACAAAAGTTGATGAAAACATGTAAACTATGAAAACTTTGTGATAAATAATTTCAGAAGCACAAAGCTTATAATAATGCAAAAGTTTTTAAATCCACTTCGTTTCACTCCGACAACAGTCTTCAGAGGCTCCGGAAGTAAAGCAACGACGGCACGTAGGTAGTTTCTGTCTATTTGTGCCCATATCCTCGGAAGGGTGGTCTCCAAATATATGGAAATTTGTTAATTTTTTGAGGAAACTGTCTGGATCTAATATGCTAAAACAGATCCTGGTAGGAACATGCCCGAAGACGTGTGAATAGCGGGCTATGATCAAATTTTTGGTTGGAAGTGGAAAGTTGCAACTCTGCTAGCTGTAAACTTTGTCATAAGTTTGTCAGGGTTTGGTCGGCTTCAGTAGCGGTCTTATCTGGAATCTGAACAATCTCTAACAAGAAGTTTTAGGCTATTCCCGAGAAGACCTAGGAAGTCAGAATCACACTCAAACATTTTTCATCAGGTGATGCACTTTCCTTTGAGTGCGTCATAGGATTTCTTTTCTTTTAGAAACCCTGGATCCCATCGTCTGAACACTTGAAACAATCGACACAAACAACCCAACACTCGACCAACAAAATGACAACCGAAGGTATTTTGCTGATAAGCAGAAGCAGATTCAGCACGCATTGGTCTTCATTCTCTTCTAATATTCTTATTTATCAGCATTACCTTAATACCATTTATTGCTCTTTTTATTATCATTTTTATCTGAAACAACTTCCTTCTTTTCTCTTTCAGTTGTCACATTTTCTAGTTTTTTTTTCGAACACCTTTTTTTTCTTCTGTGAGATAATTTTTAAACAGTTGAACGCCAACTAGTTTTTCCATGTCACAACAAATCAATGTTATGAAGAAAGAAGATGAAACAGTTTCCCTGAATTTTAATAACTTCTTCCTATCAGTTTTCCCGGTTGTTGATACTTTAAAAGAGCTCCTCCTTCGGTAGTTGTCATCTACTCTTTTTTTGCAAAAGTTTCACTTCCTTTTCCAAGGTTTCGTTCCAAAATTTTATTCTCATTTTTCCCATTGAATATCTTTTGAACGGCATAAAAACAGAGTAGAAACAGTACTGTTCACTATTTTCAAAACAAGATTTTTTGTTTAGGACAATTGGTCGGATGGAAAATAGGTTTCGGTTGACGACCCAGACCAAGTATAAAACCAACTTCCTCTATATTTTATTTTTACAATGGAAAAATATACGACGCCTGAAAATGAGTATCGGGTAGGTTATAGTTTTTGAATGTTTCCCAATTTTTGTTCTTTTTTATTTTAGGTTTATACAGAACGATGGTTTATACTACTGGCAACCACTGTCCTAATTTTTACTAATATTATGGTTAGTTGATATCTCCAAATAACGGTGGTTTACGGTCATCCCAAAATGAAAATTTCGGATTACTGTATTTTCAGCAATGGGTGAGTTTCTCCGCTCAAATCGATCAAACCAACATGTTCTTCTGTGGTCCAGATGGGTTTCATGATTGCTCAGCAGCGTTTTTATCAAATCAGATCTATCAGGTAACAATCTTGAACTACCCTAAAACCAGGGATGTTCGCAAAGAACTTTTCTGATTTTTTCGGAAAATCGAGAATTCCGATTTCGAACCTTTCGGAATTTTCGGAATTTTTCGAAATTCAAAAAATTGTAGAAATTGTAGAAAAAATTGTAGAAAAAAATGTAGAAATTTGTTTTTTCCATCACAAAAACGCCTGAAAATAGGTGAAAAATTGACAAAAAGATTTTGAAAACGAAAAAAATTAGAAGTAATTCCGTCCGCAAGCCATTTTTTCATACCGTAGAGCTTCGGAAATATTCCGACCGGAATTTCATTTTTTTTTCGGAATTTCAAATTCCGTTCTGAGCATCCCTGCCATAAAACCTGTAATAGAAGGGTATTCACACGGTCGTGTTTGAGCTCAATTATCTCAATGAAAAATTGCCTCAAAGTTAAAAGTTAGGAGCTTTTCTATCACAAGTTTTACGGTACCTATTTCTAATCATTCCAGATAGTTGCTGTCATTGTAAGTATAATTGGAATGTACTTTGCAACAGTTTTCGGAACACTACCTACAGTAATCCGTCATTTTTTCAAACTCTCAGAAATTCCTAGTTATTCAGCTTCGCCTTGCCGCTATTTTCAATATTTTCGGAGCACTGATCCGCTTGGTTTCATCTCTTCCTAGCCTACAAAACTTCTATTGGAGACAATTTTTGATGATTCTTGGAACGAGCGTTGCGGCGGCTGCTCAGATGTACTTTGTGGTTTTTTCGAAAATCGCAGAAAGTTGGTTCTTTCCAAGACACAGAGCATCGGCAAATGTAGCCTGTTCGAATAGTTTGGAGTTAGGTGTTGTGTTGGGAACTCTTCTACCATCAGTTATCATTCCAGCGTCTTTCACAAATAGTATCGTTTCGTCTTGGAACTTCTTTTATCTGGTAATCAAGACTCTAAAACCAATGGAACCATCTTCTTTAGGACGCAATTGTCGCAGCAGCATGTTTGGTTCCTTTATTTCTCCTGTTCGTTCTTTGCCGTCGCTCTGTCCCAAGAACTCCACCATCTGCAAGTTCCCAACATGAAGTGAATGGTCCAGTGACACGTGGAATCTTGAAGTGTTTGAAGTAAGTCTTCGAAGAATTCAAAATAGGCTTATAACCAATCCAATAGCTCTCAGGGATCGTCAATTTCTCGTTCAAATTATCGTCTATTCAATAAATTTTGCGATCGCCAACGGTATTATTTACACTTCAAACGTCTTCAATTACAGGGGATATAATTTGAAAGGGTTGGTTGAAAACGCGTTTGATTCATGAATAGGTATTTCTACAGTTACCCAATTGCGATTGCCACTCTGGTATGCATGTTCTCTGCCTACTTTGTTGGGATCATTGCTGACAAGACAAGAAAATTCAAAACGATTGCTTTGATAAATGCTCTTGTTTGTGCAGTTTGTGTTGTCGCTCTTCGACTGGTTGGTTGAAATTCAAAAAAAAGAACTGAATTATAATTTTACAGTATTTGATCAAAGTCTATTCCGGATGGTACGATTCAGTCATTGTGTGCACATTGCTAAGCATCATCAGTCAGTTTTATTTCAAATTCCCAGTTATAAAATTATATTTTAGTGTCTTGCTGTGCTATTCACACTCCTATTGGAAATGAAATGGGAGTGGAAACCACGTATCCGGTTCAGGAATCAATTTCTACTGGAGTGTTGAACACTTTTGGACAAGCTTGGTTGTTCTGTTTGTACTTTGTCATGTATGCTCTCCAAGATTCGAATTGGGTTTACACAAATAGTGGGAAAGGTGGAAGTTGGGAATGTGAGTTTGTACATGATTTTCAGAACGTCACTATTAGTTTTCAGTGGCACTCGATTTCTGGGCATTCATGTCGATTTTGAACTTCGTTGTGGCGCTTTTCTTCCTCAGACCTCGATACAACAGGTTACAGATGGAAGAGGAAGCGAAAAGAACTGAAGAAGCAATACGAGAGTCTGTTAGTACTATATGCAAGTACTGAACGTTTCTTATTCACAATGATAAAAGACAATGAAAAGTATTCAGAAGTATGTGGTAATGAGAAAAAGAAAAGGGAAAAAATGAAACTGTGATATGGGAAAAATTGTTGGTAAAGTATTGGCGACTAGTTGGTGTGCATCTGACAATCATGGTGCAGAAAAATGGGGGTGAATTGAGCCTATAGTACATAGAAAATATATACGATCTGAGAAAAAGTACAACATGCTATAGAAATGCAAAATATAAATAAAAAAATCCGCAAAGGTTAGGAACATGATTCAGCGAAGAGGCTCAGCGCATCTCGATGTCCGATACGACTGTTCGAGCGGTTACCACTGGTTCCTCTTTTTCCAGAGCCAGTTTAGCGTTTTCGAGTTCCAACCGACGATACCTGAAAGCCAAAACAACTTATGATATCATCCCATATTGTAGGCTCACCTCGGTTTCAGGAAGAATAAAGACAGTACAACCGAAACTAGTGATAATGCGCAAGTCACATCGAGAGCAACTGAAACTTATTAATGTTTATAGAAAAACATATTTTAAAACTAACATTTCCAAGATTGCTGATAGAAAAGTCTCAAACTTTCTGTGTAGGTTTGCACGAAAGGAATTATGAACATGAACAAGGAACCGAATATGACAAGAACTCCAGATGACGTGGCTTCCATTACTGGAAACGTAGTCTCGACGCCGAGTTCAACTCCGATGGGGAATTGTGGTATCGAGAAAGCACCGAGACAGCCACACAGAATGTACACGATAATTGAGTCGAGGGGACCAGTTTTAGGCTTGTTTAGGAACTGGAAACGTTTTATAAATGGCTAGAGTTGACCTCTGAGGACTCACAAATCTCAAAATGATAACAGAGCAAGAAAATCCGACAGTACAGACTCTGATGATTTCCTGCAAAAGAATATTCCTTCGAAATTCTCTGATGAATCCTTTTCAAACCTTGAACTTGCGTGTTTTGTCAGCAATATGCCCGGCGAGCAGTGAAGTCATCGTACCAACGACAGCGCACACTGCGGTTGGATAGCTGGAATAAAAAAAATGTGGAATATAAATGAATCATTCATGTTTTCAAAGATTTCGCCAAGTTCTCCGTACCCAGCCATATTGTAGCCCTGATCTTTGAGAGGTCCATCAAGGAAAATCATCAAGCTCCAAAGAAGGGAAAACGCGAACGCGAAGAGTGTCATTTGGATGAAAAACTGCAGATTCCTGTAAAAAGCATTCAATTGAAATTACCATGATAGTTCTCTTACATGATACACTGAAGAATAGATTTCACAAAACCGATATTGTTCTGATGAGCAGCTGAAGAAGCGGAAGGTGGTGTTGGTGGTAGTTTTGAGCGAACGAAAAGGGCTAGAATGAATGGGAAAAATGCGAGAAACTCCATTCCGAGAGTCTGAAATATTATAAACTGTGAAAAAATCATCTGATAATTACGAACAAATGAGAAGAACATCCAACTGTTTGGGTTTCCATGGGTGTAATTTTTGAATAGAACCGAAGGAACAATAGTGCCAAGTGCAACGCCAGCCGGATTTGCTGAAATCTTGATTGTTTGTTTTGTTTTTCGAAAACTCCGTACCGACAAAAGAGAGAACATTAGCGATGGCTCTCTGGTCTCCTGGAAACCAACACTCGGCAATTTTTGATGGCAGAACCAGGAAAAATGCTTGCGCAGAAGCAGCGATGAATGATCCAGCGTGCAGAAGTGTTTCTCGAACTAAATGGGATTCTATGAATGGAATTGAGGCAATCATACGAATCGAAGCGCCAATAACATTGAGACTCGTTCCAAGTAACCCCTGAAAATTCTATTGTTTCATTTTTAGCACGACATTTGAAATATACCGCTGTTTTTATTCCTTTATTGTCAGTTATGTACATTCCTCCAAATCCAGTGAACACTGCGACGAACTAAAGATGTGTCGTTTGATATTTAACAAATTGGTTTCTCCAAAAAATAACCTGAAAAATCTGGTTCGTAACAAGGGAAACATCCATACTTCCGTTTGCAGGCCGTCCTCGATAATACATTTGCACTTCATCTGATAACGAACTGAAACTTATCCATTGCTGAAAGAACATTAATTTATTAATTCAGTTGATGCAGACACTGACCATTGATTCGATAACGCGAGAAAGCAGCAAACCGCAAGAACAAGCCATCTTGCCGGGTAAACCTGTGAATCAGCAAAATATTTTTAGAATATATCTCTCAGAGCACTGACTTTGTACACAATACTGGTATCTGCTACTATTCCATTCCCTGCTGTCTCTTTGTCGGCTGCGACTGTTTCTTTGTTGAGCACCGATCCCATCAACAGCTGCAAAACGAAAATATAAGGAGAACGTCTTTCATATGACAATATTCAAAAAATTCAGAATCAGTGCCGACGATCTCCATTCCGCCGACAAGTGCGGCAACGCCTCTTCGCTCCCTTTCATCATTTTTTTTCAATTAGTTTCATATTTTATCATTTTTCATCCTGTCAGTCATGTCATTGAACGAACGAAACAAAAAGGCGTCAAAGGAACCGAGAACCATGTACAATTGTCGTCTAGGAAAATTCCTTCTTATTCATATCTTCCTTTTTCACCTCTTCCGCTTTCTTTTTTATGCAAAAAGGCGAACCTTGTCAAAGTGCGGTGTTCTGGATGCGTTCACTGCGTTTAAATGGTTTACAAGAGATATAAAAAGGGCTGTTTGTTTTCATCAAACACAATTAAAATCGGAATTGACGATTTTACGAGCAGAACTTATTGAAATGTTCTTCAAAGAAAAAGATTGCCGTTTACTGTAGTTTAAAGGAGCATGCATCGTTATGTGAAAGTCTCACAGCGCTACAGTACTTACTTTTCTGCAAAGTTTAGGCCGAAGAAAAACTTCTGAAGAATCTAAAGCTGTAGAAACAAAAAAAGTAAACATGGTAAATTATTAAAAAGAACGAAAGCTCTAAAATTTGAGAAGCTGAACAGAACTGGAAAATAAAAATTTTTATTGTGCGATTTTTCATCGATGAAACCAACTGCAGGTGAGAAACGGGGAAACATTGAATAGAAAAAGGATGCCACCACATTAACCTAATCCAATGTGTAGTTGCCAAAAAAAATTGAAAACAGTTCTTTGGCAAAATTTTCAATTAATTTAATTCATGAATGTTCGGAATGGTCTTTTCAGAATTTTTTCGGAATATCGAAAGTTACGAGTTTCAGTATTTCGAAATTTCGGAATGCTCCGATTTGAAATATCGAAAAAAATTTGGTGAAAAGTTGACAAACAGATTTCAAAAAATCAAAAAAAAATCAAAAGTATTCAAAAGTACTGTATTCAAAAGTATTCAAAAGTAAAGTAAAAATCAAAAGTACTCGAGACCCAAATACGAACTTTTCTTGTGCGTCTTTGTCATACCGTCGTCCAAAAAAAATTTTCTATTTCCGAAAAAAGCCTCGGAAATAAATATTCGGACGGAATTTGATTCCAAAAATTGTTACAATTTTCTGAATTTCGAATTCCGTTCCGAACGTCCCTGGGTTAAAGTATTCGTCAATTTTTCAAACCTCGAAACACTTGAAGACTGTTTAATAAAAAAAAATTGAATGAGAATATTGAAGATCTTAATTTTATATAGGTCCCATTCCTTGAACAATCGCGATAAAAATTAGAATGAAACTTTCAGAGCTATACCGTAAAACCTGTGATAGAAGGACCACTTTGACCTGATTTATCTCGATTACTGTAAGAGATATCGAAAATGTGTCAAATTATATAATGTTTGTATTTATGTGATAAACAAATTATCAGTTGACAACGTTTTCATATTTTTGACTGGAACCGAGATAAATTGACTCGAATTTTAAAGTCAGGGGGCCCTTCTATTACAGGTTTCACAGTAAGTAAGGCAGAGATATCCGGATTCCGGATGCCGCGAATTCAGGCAGGGTTCCGAGAAAATAAGCTCATTCCGGATTCCGTATGCTGGATTCCGACCATCGGAAAAGTCATTGACATTTCTGGAGGGAGGTCCAAATACCATAAGATACAGTAACTCAATCCCACAAACTCACCGGTTCTTCAACACCACCACCGTCGTTTTCCATGATGGTAAAAGTTCAAATAGTGAAAGAATATATTTGAGAAGACTGTTTGAATTCAGAAAAAAGTTCTAACGACTTCTGGGAAGAATACGAAAGAAGGGCGGAACGAAACGAAACGACCTATCCAAAAATATAGGTCTCCTCGTGCCTTGGCAGTAAAAAAATCGTGTGCTGCGAATGTTGTCCCAATAGAAAGAAGAGGGGACAAACCACAACAATTCTTATTCTTCTTCCTTCGTTCTCTCCTTGTTTCGTGTTCCGTAAATCGAAATATCAAAATCAAAATATTGTGCGGGTTCTTTTAGGTGGAGATCCACAAGGGCCACGACAAAAAGTAGATGATGAAGAAAGTGAGGGGACTCCCAAGAGGTGCCAATAATCGGAGGAAGGGATGCTTCTTCACCTCTCTTTTCTTTTATGTTTTTTTATGATTTCTGGTAGTCTTCTTTTCCACTCTCTTTCATATAATTTATGGGTTTCTTCGAACACCACATCGTTAGATGCAAAGTGGGCACATTAAATCATTTCAGGAGGAATCGAGAAACTAGAAGAAAAGTTTCTAGTCAAGAAAAAGTCGATTCAGGAAAAAAATGAAGAAAGAAGCGAGATACGAAATTTCAAGAGCAAAACCGAAGAGACGAAACAAAAAAACTACGAATAAATACAATCCTCTTTTTGGGTGTCATTTCATAAACATTTTGGTGTCACATTTGTTTTTTTTTGCGTATGTTGGCGTTTTTAAGGCAAGAGTTTCAAAATTCTTCCTCCTCCTTCAGATGAACTTAAAGATCTATGTTTATATTCCACAAGTTTTCATACTTTTTTGACGAGTGATTCATGTCTTACGAATCCAGGATATTCCTACCAAATGAAACCAAAAAAGATGACGATACAAGTTTTTAGGATCCGAAGGTGTGCTTTTTTATAGATTGACCGAAAACAGAGTTTGTTTAATAAAAATAATTTGCTCAGAGTTCATGTATTAACAATAATTTCCAGGATAATTTGAAGAAACAAATTTTTCAATAAGTTTTTTCGAAACTTCAATATTTTCAATATTCAAAATTTATAATAAAATGAAAAGTTAGCCGTAAAAACCTTTAACAGAAGGGCTCCTCTGACTTTTACCTTTGAGCCAATTTCCCTCAGCTTCTGTCATAGGGGTGAAAAAGTTTTCAGCTGATATTTTCCGCTGATAAATTGTTTATCATAATGTCAGAAATGTTTTGTCAGTTGACCACTTTCAGATATCTTGCACAGGAGCCAAGATAATTGAGCTCAAACTTGAAAGTGTGGGGCTTCTATTACAGGTTTTACGGTGAACATTATTCTCAACTAAACTTTAAAAATCTTTAAAATATCTAAATGAACTTTTGTCATAATAAAATCTTTGAAGATTCTTCTGAAGTACACTTCCTCCCCTTTGTTTTTTGAATAGAAACTCTTGAGACAACGAACCTGAGAACTCTCTTGTTGCCTCAAACGCTTCCGCATCCACCATGCTCTTGGCATCCGAACTTCAATTGGAATCCGATCTTGAACACTTTGAAACCATGACAAAATTCGAAGAAAAATAAGCATCATTTTTTTCTTCTGGTCAGTAAGAGTGAATGAAAATACTGAAAATGTGGAGGATGCAGCAGGTGACTTACTCCTCGCCTACTAAGAAAACCATATAAAATTCACAAATTCTCGAACACGATACGTTTACTTATTCATGATTTTTCCCACTTTTTTTTCTGGAATTCTTACTGGTCGTCTGATGAACATTTTGTGAATTGGAAGAATATCTGGAAATGAGAAGTATATAAAACGAGGGAGTTTTGATGCTTCAGGATATCAAAGTGATAATCAGAAAAGTCTGAAAAGTGCAAAATCAATCCAGATGACACAAATGAATGACACCTGCTCCTGAAAGTGCAGACTCTTCGGCATCATATCAGCTGATAACAACCTTAAAAAATGATAAGAAAGTCTCATTGTTCTATCCTTCAATTTCATTTTTTCCCCCTTCTCTCGCCAGGTGTCATTTTATATTCTTCAAAAATGCGGTCATCCTTTTCTCCGAACTTTTTCCCGTCGACAGAAAAAGTGAGTGCTTTTCTCTTTCGTTTCTTTCTTTTTCCTGCATTGGTCACTCTCAAAAGGACTTCTTCTCATTGTATACATTTCTGCTGGCTCGTTGCCAGGTCACCGCCACTGACCGGAGCTGCGACGTCTTCTTGTTTTGTCTCTTTTTTGCTTTTGTGTACTATTTTTTGAAGATGGCATATTATCTAGTTGATAAGAGAGTATCGAAAAGTGAAAGCTGTAAGCTGATTAGGTACAAAAATGGGAACTCCTTGAATCCTATTGAAGTTTTTGTAATATTACCCAAACTCCGGAAATATTTTAATACATACGAAATTAAAGATTATTAAAATATTCATTCTTGTAGACAAGAATTAAAACTGCTGTAGAACCTGTATTAGAAGATCCAGTCCTTCTATTGCAGGGGCTCTTCTATTTTACCGGCCATTTTTTCCGAAATTCATTTTTAAAATCGCAGAATTCCCATTGAAAATTCATGAAAGTCTATTACCTCCACTAAAATTTAACAAAAAAGTGGTGTTCATACAAAAGAGAAATTGAGAAATTCCAATAATGTTTTTGTAGCTAAAAAGTACGGACATTTTTAATTTCAAACGACCAATTTTTGAGGTGTCCCTCTATTGCCTTTCTATTTTTCCGAACCCCAAGAACAAGAATCGATTCTGACCTTTTCCATGATATTCAATCTTCATAATAAACATTTTTCTGTCTTTACTTGCTCTTTCAAGGATACAATTTGTTCTATGTACTCTGTGATCTTGTTCTTTTGGATTCTGCCAATCCAGGTGTAGTTTCCTGGAAAAGACCAAAGCTACGCAAAAACTAATCTGAACCCGAGTCCAATCATACCTATAATGAAAGAGAAATTGGGTGGGAAGCACGTAGTCGTATAAATAAAAAAAAACAAATTGTTTTAGTCAACACTACAACAATATTTCGCCTATTTATTCTCCGGAATTCTTTTATTCTGCCCCTTCAAAGGAATTCCAGAAACAAAAAAAAATCATGAAAGTCAGTTCTGTAGTGTTTCAGTTTTGGTTTTTGTTGCTGTTTCCGTTTTTGATGTATACTATAAACCATAAAAAGAGGATTTTACTAGTAAAGTGACACTGGTCGTTGCATCAAAGAATGTTCCAATGAATCAATAGAATGAAAAGGTCGAGAGAAAAAATAGTGTAATGTCGGTTAGTCATAGGTCAAGAAGAGATAAAAATGTGTCCGCAACGGCCCTCGAAACTTAAAAGCTTGTTCATTCTCTAATCTTAGGGTCCTTCTGTCAGGGAGATATCCAATCTGAATTTTAATCAAACAAATGGTTGACATACATACATGAAAACAATTTTTGACCTAACTTCTCCCTAGATTTACATATTTTAATATTCAAAAAAAATCGAATATTTTGCCTCCAACGTTGTTCTCTTTCAGTCTCCAATGATGATGAACCAGGCGAGGGTGCTCTCAACTGGAACTACTGACAATGGAACAATACAGTATGATGGTAAATGATTGTTAAAATATTCATTCCCTTGTAGATATGACCTTTTTTGTTTGTGATAAGATAACCTGATACGATTTGTGTCACCTACTTTTTTTGTTAATTTTTCGTTTATGTCATTTTCCTTGTATATGGTGAGAATTTGAAGTTTTGAAGTTCCGCTTCTGAACTATTTTTCTTTTTCAGTTTTTATTCCAAATTTTGGACTATATGAACAATGGTCAAAAATTAAATTTATCAAACCTACGACACCGTAGAACCTGTAATTACAAGGCACCCTACCTTTTAACTTTGAGCCAACTTTTCTCGGTTCCTGTCGAAGATATAAGAAAGTTGTCCACTGATGAATTTTTTTATCACAATATGCAAAATGTTTTTTTTTTCAGTTGACACCTCTTTGATATCTTGCGTAGGAATTGAAACACATTAATTGAGCTCAAACTTAACAGTGTGGGCCCGAAGTAGAACATTGTAGGCAATGTTTCCAACACGAAGTGAGGCATAAAACAATTTGTGAAAGACACTAAATAGAGCTTTCCAACCAAAAACAATTATGTCATTTAACCGGAAGTCAGTCCTCAAAAACAATACTCTTTTAAAAAGAAAGAAATTTTCTCATCAACCTAAGATAATATTTTATTATTTGCCAGCCGTTCTCCTACATTCCCACATTCTCACCCTACGAATCAAAATCAAATATGAAATGTCTTCCGATCTCTATTCCACTAGCACTATTTCCACTCACTGATTTTCTGATCGTAGCTTGTGGAATCTATTCTTAGTATCTCTTTTGCAAATGATCGTCCCCCTCTGTTTCTTTGAGTTTTGAGCCCAAGCTCAGACATTTTTTGAACCCCAACCTAGAAATGGCCGAAAATCAGTGACAAATATTAAAAATTCCTATATTACAGAAGTCGACGAGACAAAGCGTTGGTTCAATCGAAGATTCTGTTTTCTATCGGTTATTGGAGTTGCCGTTTTATTGTTGGCAATGGTTGTAATTGTGATAATTGTGTTGCTTTTGACACAGTTAAAAGCTGCTAATGCAAATGCAGTCAATGTTATGAGCTCTTCAAAATCGCAGATGGATGAGTTGACAAGAGTATGTAACATTTTAAATGTCTTTTTTAAATTGAAATCTTTCATGAATAATTTCTGATTTATTAAGTCGTTGTAAAGGGGATATGTTCCAGAAGCTGACTCAACCATTGGAGCAACTTGGTCCAACCCTTGAAAAACTATCCAATTTGCCTGGTATACCTGGAGGTGGATTCCATCATCCTCCAACACCTCAACCATCCCCAGGTGTTCCTCCAATCAGCCCTATTGTAACGGGACCGAATACTACACCAGAACCACCAAGAAGATCCCCGAAAGCGAGATATGAGTGGAAAGGATGTCAAAATGTTGGAAAGTGTGAACTCTCAGGGTAAGTATTATAGTTTGAAGAAACCACTGTAAAACCTGTAATAGAATGGGGACCTTCTATTACAGGTCTTATGGTATTTGGAAGAAAACCATTGCTCATTTAGATACAACAAACCTCCACTGGTAATCTTGAGTTTGGATGGCTTTGCGAGAGAATACGTTGATCGAAACATTGTTCAAACTTTGAACCATTTCGCAGAATGTGGAGTTAAAGCTGACAAAGTGTATCCTTCTTTTCCATCGAAAACTTTTCCGAATCACTATTCAATTGTTACTGGACTCTGGCCAGAATCGCATGGAATCACTGACAATAGCGTATTTGATCCGTCAATTTCCCCAGTTCTGGAATCAATGAAAAGCACAAAATATGACAAATTTTTCGAAGGAGAGCCAGTGAGTGATTTGTAAGAATTCAAAAAATTAGAGAAGTTTTTCAGATTTGGTCAGTGTACAAAAGGAAAACAGGAAAGAAAGCGAATTGTTTATTTTGGGTTGGATGTGCATACAATAATAGTGGATATGCTCCTGATGTCGCACCTGCCTATAATCAAGAACTTCCATTTAGAAATCGAATTGATATGGTTGTTGATTGGTTAAAACTCCCAGCTGACGAGCGACCTGGATTGATAACTGCGTATCTTCATGAACCAGATAATGCAGGACATTATCAAGTGGATGATGAGGATGTTGATGAAAAATTAGCTGAGATTGATGATAATTTGGACTATTTGATGAGTCGATTGAATGAGGAAAAGCTTCTGGAATGCATCAATTTCGCTATTCTTTCAGATCATGGTAAGAGTTTTTTGACCATGTGGTAAGACTCATTGAATTCTTCAGGAATGCAACTAATCGACAAAACCTATTACTTTCAAGATTATCTTGATTTGAAGGGACTTATAACTGCAAAAGGAGTTGTTGGAAGATTTTACATCAATAATACTGGTGATTGAAATGAAGTAAGAACACGAATAGAAAGAGAAAAAGTTTCAGATATCTCTGTAAATGATGTGGCCGATCAACTACGATGCAAGATTGACACGGTTAAGGCAAACACAAGAGCAGACAATCCAACGAGAAAACATTACTCAAGAGATCCGAGAGTTGGAGAAGTGTTACTGGAAGGAAGGGCTGGAATCACATTTTATAAGTAAGTTGGTCTCAATCAATTTATTTATATTTAAAATAACTTTTACCAGAAGCAAAGCAGATGACTACGAACTATCTGGAGATCATGGATACGACTATTTCAATCCTAAAATGCACACGATTTTCTATGCTCGAGGGCCTTCTTTCAAACAAAACCAGACGATTTCTCCTTATCAAAATGTCCAATATATGAACCTTTGGATGACTCTTCTTGGAATCGAAGGAGCTGTTGAGACAAATGGAACACTTGGATTTTTCGATAATGTTTTGACAAATCCGACAAGAAAAGAAAATCCAACAAATGTGATTGGGTGAGTTAAAAAACTGATTCTCAAACTGAAAGCTAATAATTTTTGAAGGGAGTGTCCGATGATTGCATTCCCATCTGCCCTCAATTGTTCTGGAGATGTGCTACCCCAGACATTGGTTAGTTTGGTCCTACTTTTTTTTTGTTCACTTAATTACTTCAGAATCAACTAACTGCTAAACTGACTAGCTGTGCATTCTCTCCGTCACATATTCCTTTGTACTCGGATAATCATTGTTATCAAAATTATTGTGAGAATTCAGTGATTGTTAGTAGAAATCCAAAAGATAAGAGACGGGCATTCATTGAAATTCTGTCACGGGACGAATCTTCGACGCCTACAAATTTCACTTTTGTGAATGCTAAGTATAAATCGTCTTGTCCAAATCCAATATCCGATGATAGTTTGTTAATTCTTAGAAACTCTCGTAAGTCAGTTTTTTTCACTTCCCACAGGTTTTATCCTTTTCAGAGCTGAGTTGTATGGCGGATGCGAGGATACAACTTCCTAATAATTTTGTTCTCAGTGAGTCAATTGAATCATTTTCACGATGTAAAGTATTTTGTTTCAGAAGTTCTAAACCCACTTCAAGCCAAATCTGTTCAGTACTTGAACAAATATGAAAAGATATACGCCATTTCTGGAACGGCGACGGATTTGAATCATGATGGAATTGCGGATTCTGATGGGTGAGTTTTGTCAAATACAATCAAACATCTGTTGCAGACCTCATCAAACTTAAATTCAATTTCAGCTCTAACATAACCCACATCTACCGTATTTTCCTTATCTGCGACTCCAACTGGCTCTCAATGAATCCTCCTCTGTGTACCGATTCCGAAGCCATGCAGACGCTATCTTTTATTTTCCCGATCTCCGAACGGTCCACCGTGGATTGCATGGTTTGTTTTATCTTCGTATGCGTCATCCAAACAAAATTTCTTCAGGAATCCGATGACGTTCTTCTCGATTACACAGCAACTATATATGATGTAGAACGGATTGCTGGATTCCAGTTTGGACTTGGAGCGCTTTCTCAAAATCAGAATACCATCCTTCGACGAAAGATATCAACTGAACTTTGGTGATATATTGACACTTTTTTAGTTGTTTTTTTCAAAAGCATACCAAATGAGATACGGGTTAAGAAATTTCTGGTCATCTACTTTTTATTTTTGATATTTTGAATGAATGTTGAATAAAAGATTTGGATTCGAATCATGTCAGTGCAAGAGGATTTCCGATAGAGACAAGCGCTTAAAAGTGAAAGTCCACTGACAAAAATGATGTGTTTCCGTTGTTTCTTTTTTCTTTTTTTTTAGTTTCTCTTTTTGGTCAACCCCCGCAAAGTAAACAAAGGAAAGAAACAAGTAACAATTCCAGAATCTTTCTTTCATTTTTCAGAAATGTCATTGAGAAATTTTTCATTGTCTTTCATAAAACCTCTAATAGAAGGGCCCCCATACAATCAAGTTTGAGCTCATTTATCTCGGTTCCAGTGAAAGATATGAAAAAGTACTCAACTGTTAATGTATTTCGGATATTGTGATAAATAATTTATCAGTTGATAATTTTTTTTTGTACCTTTGACAGTAATCGAGATATATTGGTTCAAAATGGAAAGTTATGGATCCCTTCTATTACAGGTTTTACGGTAATTTCGTTCATGTTCTTTTCATTCTCACCCAATGATTGATGAGAAACAATTTCTCTCCCTTTTCGCTTCATCTTCCCTTTTTGACTATCGTCCTTCGAACTTTTTTTCTAGGGATATAAATCGAAAACCCGTTTCTAGGCCTTCGGTTGATCCAATGTTATGATTTTCATCCTAATTATCTCATCACTTGTATTCATAGATTATGCTCGAACTGCGGACTCAAATGTGAGTTATTTTGATCAAAAAATTTGGTTTCACGAAACAATTTATTTAGAACAGTTTTCAAACCCCGCCAAAATATAAATGGGCGGGATGTGAGAATCTTGGAAAATGCAAACTCGATGGATTCGCAAAACCTACGCTCCTGATACTCAGTTTTGATGGATTTGCTAAAGAATATTTGGAAAGAAAAATAGTAAAATCTCTCGAATTGATAGCGGAATGTGGAGCCCGAGCAGACACTGTATATCCATCTTTTCCATCAAAAACGTTCCCAAATCACTATACAATGGTAACTGGACTCTATCCAGAATCACACGGAATCAGTAAGCTCGGTAAAAATGAAATCGCTTTTCCAGCTTTTTTTAGCTGATAATAATGTGTTTGATCCTAAAATTTCGCCGGATCTTCTGGCAATGAGGAAATCGGAAGCAGAAAAATATTATGAAGGGGAGCCGGTGAGTGTTCTCTCTTGCAGTTAAAAACATTTTCTAGCTTCAGATTTGGTCAGCATATAAAAGACTAACAGGACGTCCAGCTCATTGTCTTTTCTGGGTTGGATGTTATTTTAACCATACAGGATATAAACCAGATATCTCTCCAGATTACAATCAAGAGTTACCATTGCAAGAGAGAATAAATACTGTAAGTGGATTTTAATATTAAATTACATAATTTTTATTCTAGTTGATCAGCTGGCTCAAGCTTCCAGAAAAGGAGAGACCTGGGCTTATCACTGCATATCTTCACCAACCAGATGCGGCAGGACACAAACAGAAAGATGTAAGAATACTTTGTGGAAAATGATGACTATAAAAAGAAAATGATGAATATATATATAATTCAGATCGATCAAGCTTTAGAAGATGTGAATCGATACATTGATGCTTTGATGGAAAATCTTTATGATGAAGGGCTTTTGGAGTGTATAAACATAGCAATAGTATCGGATCATGGAATGCAGGTTCTCAATAAAACAATTGAAGTCGAAGATTATGTGGATATGAAAGGGTTGGTACTTTCAAAAGGAGTGGTTGCGAGGATTCATCTGAATGGAACTGGTACGCGAAAACACAAATACTAACTTATTTCTGATCATGCCCTCACTATCAGATAGAACCATTGATGAAGTGGCGGATGAAATAAGATGCAAAGTCGATGGAATAAAAGTGAATACTGTAAAAGATATTCCAGTGAGAAAGCATTATTCAAAGTCTACTCGGGTCGGAGATTTAATTATCGAGGGAAAGCCAGGAACTACGTTTTATAAGTATGTGAAAAGTCATACAGCGCGTTGCAGGTTCGTAACTTCAAAGCTGTTAGAGGTATCGGCCTAATTTTTTGAAAATCGGTTTCGAGACAACAAATTAAATCTAGTGGACAATTTTTGTAATGAAACCTTGAGAACTACCCGAGTTATCTGGAAAGTCTGAAAATATGCCTTCTGCAACCGTTGCAAGTTTATACGTCCACTACAAAGATCAGTAGATCACGACCTCCAGCGAAGACGGAGGTGTTCAATTTGGATTCTTCCTTCTTGGAAACGGGCTTGGAAAAGAGAAAAATAAAATGGAAAATGTAAAAAAGGATTTATTGAAAAAAAAAAACATTTCAAATATAGATATTCCTGAACATATCAACAAAAATTATGAAAAATGAAAAGTTTTAAAAGTGTACTGATTAGCCAGACTTTCGTCTGTTGATCCCTTTCGCCACGTAGAGGCTCAGTACATGAAAGGGAAAATGGGTTTTCACTGGGGGAAAACACCAACACAAAACCCCATGTATCCTAGGAGACAGTTTTCTAATTTTCAATAGTTCTTTTTCACTCCTAAAAAGCTATACGATCGCTATTTATTGTTTTTGTTCATTTTGTTTCTTTTTTCTTTGATTGGGTCTTTTGCAAAAGGGGGACGTTCAGTGAAAATGAATTCACCTAGCCATGAACCACCAAACATGGCGACCCTGAGGGCCTTTTGTAACTTTTTTCGCATCCGACCAATCGAAAGAAAAAAGCAAATGAAACAATAAACAGCTTACGCAGGGAGCTTCAGAGCAGTCAAAAAGTGCTAGTGACAATTATCAAACTAATTCAAAAAGTGAGATATCCCAAAGAACTGTTTTTTTTTCAATACGTGGAGTTTTCTCCACGTGGACAGAGGTAGGGGGTGTGACCTAATATTGATTGATTTAAAGGTTTATTGCGTAACGTGTGAAAAGTTTTAAAAACTCGAAAATTGAATGTAGATTTAAAAACCCCATTAAAAAGTGAACAACTAAGGACGAAAGAGTAAGAACTAGGTTGAATTTGAGCTGATCCTGTTTTTTTTTGTTAATTTTCGGATGAGAAAACAGTCGATATGACAGTGTGAATGATTTAGGTGCTTTCTGATAGCTTTTTGGTCCATCCAGCTGCTCCAACTGCCCCGATTGAAGCTTTTCCAGCATCCGTCGGCAAAAGATCCCATGACATGATACAAACTGAAAGAAAGAGGAACACGTAATGAAAACAACTTTTTACAATGATTTTAGTTGTACAGAATCAAAATTGGACACCTCCGTCTTCGCTGGAGGTCGTGTTCTACTGATCTTTGGAGTGGACGTATAAACTTGCAACGGTTGCAAAAGGCACATTTTCAGGCTTTTCGAGATAACTCACGTAGTTTCAACGTTTTATTACAAAATTGTCCACTAGATTTAATTTGTTGTCTCGAATCCGATTTTCAAAAAATTAGGCCGATACCTCTAACAGCTCAGAAGTTATGACCCTAAACATGTGGGGACGTAAGAACCTCCAACGCACTGTATAATTCTAACTTGAATGATAACATTTGAGAAGTGCAAGCGACGGAGGAGATCATGGCAATGACTATTACAACGAGAACATGCATACTGTAATGTTCGCTCGTGGTCCATCCTTCCGAAAAAATGTAAAAGCTCCACCGTTTCAAAATGTTCAGTATATGAATCTATGGCTGGATTTGTTAGGATTGAAAGGAGCTGTAAAGAACAATGGAACTATTGGATTCTTTGATAGTATACTCAAAAATCCTCCAATTAGGGAAAATAATTGGAGTTCTATGGAGTAGGTTTTGTGATACAACAATTTATTAAAGGTCCGTATTATAGAGAATGTCCAACTTTTGGTTCAGCTGATGTTCTTCCATGCAGCGAAAGACAAATTAATTATCTGGTGATTTTTTTGGCAAATGTACGTTAATAAGAAAATTATATGTTTCAGAAGAAACTCTCTACCCATTTGAATTCTTGTCAATCTATCAGAAGCTTACCACTTTACTCCACTGATCATTGTTTTCAAAAAAATTGTGACAATGTTCTGATTGTTCATAAGAAGGAAGGTACGGAAGCAATTCAAAATTTCAAGCGAGCGATTCATTTTTTTTAAGATTCGAGAAGAGCTGTGATTGAAACACTTTCACGCACTTCATCCTCTAAAAAGTCAAGCTCATCTGATGGAAATTTCAGTTACATCAATACAAAGTATTCATCCGAATGTCCGGCTTTTAAGGGAAGTCAGACATTCTTCACGGCTGGATTTGATGGTTTATAACTAGTTGAAACTGAGATTCAAACTCAAAAAAAATTCAGAAATTAGCAAATTGGCCAGCGCGCAGTATGAATTTCCTGAAAGATTCTTGAATAGTAAGTCGATTTTTAAATAGCTTTATCAATGCAAGCTTCAGACATTCTTCTGCCGTTATCTATAAAAACGGAAGAATATCTCAATCGCTTTGGAACAATTTTCGTTATATCCGGACTCGCTGCGGATTCTGACCTGGATGGTATAAGTGATAGCAAAGTATCAGTGTAATTTTTTTTCAAAATAAATAGATTTTGATTGCTTAAGTTTAGGCCGCCGACTCATTTCTACCGTATCATCATAACTTGTAAAGGCAGCTGGCTATCAAAAAATCCTCCATTGTGCAAAACGTATGAGGAAATGAAAGTTTTGGCATTCGTGTTTCCTATCCTGGATGGTAAAAGCACGATGGATTGCATGGTAATTAAGGTCGCTGCCTTAGAAAAAAGTATGCGAAAATTTCAGAGTTCGGACGAAGTGCTTCTTGACTATACGTCTACAATTGAAGACGTTGAAAGGATAGCGGGGATTCAATTCCAGATTGGAGCACTCAGCCACCAACAAAACGTTTATCTCCGTAGAAATATTACAACTTCTTTGTGGTAGATTTGATAACTTATAAACCGGGTACTTTCATTATTAAATTACATATTTACAAAGTTGCAAAATAAAGAAATCAATTAACATTTTGTCGTCGCAACGAATGAGAGAAATCCACTTCTTCACCATCTGATTCCACTTCTTCCTTCTTCTTCTTTGTCACTCTTCCCATTCTCATCTCATCACAGATCTTATCCAGAGTGGATGAATCGACGAATATCTCAATATCAATATTCGGACATTTTTTGAGTAGCGCGGTGATTGATCTGTATGCTTGTTTCCAATTTTTCTTGGTAGCATGATCGACGATAATCAGAGCGAAGATTCGAGTACAAGGAACAATGTCATCTTCCTGAGATTCTTCTGCGAGAGTTGTCAATTGGCGCATTCCATCGGCAGTGTCGTTTTTCATTACGCTAAAATATTATTATTATTGTTATTTCCTAGGAAAGCAACAAGAACTGACTCTAAAATGCTCATCAACTTTCTCAACTGTACAACATATTTCTTAAGATCCTCTCTCAATGCATCGATCCCTGCTGAAGACATGTTCCTCTGTTCCGCTTCTTGAACACAAACTGCTGCCATTTGAAGAGCTCCCATCGCCTTATCCAGCGTTCTCAAATTTTCTGCTTCAATCTGAAATTAAATTTTGAAATTTGTAATTAGACCAAAACCCCACTATTGCAACAGATTTATAAAAGTTTCCGAGATGCTCGAAGGACTGCGACTTAGTGTAGAATGTTTCAATATCTTTTATAGTCTGTGCATTATCTTGCCAATCGGTGGTTTGGAGGAAATTCGCAGCCAAAATGTAAATTTCTTTGTTTCGAGCAGTGGTTGCGAAGAAACGAATTTTCTGGATATCTCCAGATTTCAGTAGAGCTCGCATGGCCTGAAAAATAGAATTATCAATGATTGGAATTTACTGAAACTCACAGAAAGTTTATCACCAGCTTGAGTGAACTTCTTTGCTGATGCAGAGTAAGCTCCTTGTTGAAGACACAGCTCAGCAACTGTTTCCAAAACTCGTTTTCTCTCATTTACATTTGGCATGTCATCTGAAAATCCACTTTCAGAGTTATTATTGATTATGATCCACATGCCTTTTGAAGGAGTCATCAACTCCGCAAACTTATCAGTTACTCGGACGTTTCGGGATCTGCAAAGTTGAACAGCACTAGCAAATTCTTTAGCTAGACACAAAAAGTTCACAGCTTTCTCGTAGTTCTGATTATTTTCGAAGAATTCTGCAGCACGTTTCAAAATCTTCGGATCGGTTCCTGCATCCAAATCTTTTGTAATCAAATCCAGAGCACTGAATTGCTCGGTTCTGAATGCCAAGTCCAATGCTCTTCCAATCATTCCAGCCTTATGATACAACATGACTGCTTTATGAGCATATCCAGGAAGATCCTCATAGTATCTAGCAGCATTGACAAGTTCTGCTCCACCAGCCATTAAACACAAATTCGCAAGTCTATCCTTCATATCATGCTCTTTTGCCAAACGGATAGCAGATGATAAGGCTCTTGCTTTCGTGTAGAATTTGACGGCATTCACCACATCTCCTTCATTATCATACAATCTTCCAATCAAGTAGCAAGCAGCCTTATCCTTTGATTCTTCTGCCAATCGAGCGGCTTCGTCTATTTTCCCTTGGAAACTTTTGACACGAACAATACAGTAGTAATCTTTAGCAGAAGAATAGAAGCTCAATGCTCCTTCCAGCTCTCCGACGCTTTCCAAATATGCTCCCCACCAGCTGTACAGGGATCTGAAAGAAATAATTTTTATTTATCACTGATAAGTTATCAGCAGTGAAGGATAACTCACTCTTCTCTCTTTCGTCTAACATATTGTTCAATTTGTTTGGGATAGTCTCTCAACATTCTGAATACTTCGAATGCATGAACTCCGGCTTTCTCGTAACTGAAAATGAAAATGTCTGTATTTTCCTGAAGTTAACAATGACAAACTTTTCGATAGCAGCTTCGATACTCGTCGAATCCTTTTTGGCTTCCAAAAACTTTGCATAGTTGTAATGCGTATTCCGTAGGTGGATTCTGTCTTTAGTTTCAGCGATCTCAAAAGCATGTGACCACATATTTTGAGATTGATACATTTTGTTCATCAAATCGTATCTCTCATTTTGAGCATAAATGATCAATGTTTCTTCCAACATGCTCAACTCTATCGCCAACGCTGCACACTTCATCGAATCGTTTTCTCCATTTTGTATAGATCTTCGGACAGCTCGTGCTCCTCTGACATTTTTCATATGACCCAAACAAACCATTGCTACATCGAGACGCCTAGTTTTGATGCTCATTGAGGCCATGTGATCCCAAACACTCTCACTGTAAAGATATTGGTTTTATATTTTTAATCGATGTACCTATGCACTACCTCTTGATGAACTGAATCGCTTTAAATGCAGCATCCATACTCCCGATTGTCAGGTAGAATGAAAAATCCATCATAGCCTTTCGAGTTCCCTCATCACAGTTCTCATTTCCCAAAAACTCTCGAAGACATTTGGCAACCAACGTTTTTCCGATAGTTCTTTCATCTCTATTGTCCTCATCATCCCATCCTGGTTTTCGGACGAAATAAAAGTTGGGAACAGAAACAGACACCAGTTTTCCACAATGAATACTTTTTGGTTGCATTCCTTGAAGTTGAATACCATGCTCTGATGTTACAAAACAAGTAAGAACTCGTTGATCCGTCTGAAAATATTTAAGATTTTGGTATTCCAAATAAATTAAATATCAACTGATTCTGGCTCAATATTAACGCATTCCACAACCAAATATCGTGCGTCGTTTTCATCCCATTCAAGTGCGCCTGCTCGATGATTCATCATTTGGAATCGAGACTGCTCTCGTGCCATCTTCCGAGCAGCTGCTGTCACTGGTCTTCCACTACTTGTATGTGCAAGTTCAGCCTGTGTTTCATATTCTTGAGTATCTGTCATTCCCCGGTCAAACGAAAAGTAAGAAACCGAATCCAGTTCAGCGTCGTAGACAAGAAGGCGTTCAGCTACTGTGGAAACATCCTGAACTTGAATATTTTACAGTCAGTATACAAGAGATTGTTCACCTCGAGATATGTAACTGCAACTTTATTTCCAGTGTGGTTGATTCTAATCGTATGAAACTTATAGAAATTCGGAACATTTTCGACGATATACTTTGAGTTATGTTCCTGATGAGCATCTCTGAAATTTGTAACTCTCATCAACATTCACAACGATCAATTTACTTTGAGCTCAAATTATAGATTCTCACAAATCCATTTGTTGTCGCTACTGCCATCCATGACCGATTAACTTCAAGTATTTCTGGGTCTCCTTCAATTTCCGGTAGCGATATTTCTTGGCGAAGCGTTCCTTGGAGCGTTCTTGCAAATATTTTGTCTTTCTCAATGCAATACAGATTCTGATTAACAATAGCCACTGAAGTGGTAACACATGCGAACGATGTGCATTGGATTGTTGCCAGGGACGTTTGTACATCGTATGTGACCACCTGAAAGGAGGATAAATTACAATTCTAAAAATAGATTGAATACCGTATCATCATTCCAAACGACAAGCTGTTTTTCTCCGAGACAAATTCCTTTTGCCGATGGAATGGACAACTTCAATTCTTGAGAGACTCCACTTGTCGCATGCAAAAGTGTGAAACTATTCGAACTGGTCTGGATGGCTGCCATCTTTCCCCGCATTTTGACCGTAATTGAGTTTTCTCCAAGGAGAATAAGACCTTCTTCTGTTATTAAAGCGGATGTGCTGATAATCGGACTCCAACGGATTATTGATACCTGAAAGCTTGGATGAGTAAGTTGTATCCAGTTTTGCTAACTAATTTTGAGCTATTTTTTCTACAGTAGTCCATATTGAAAGATTTGCAAAAGAACTGTAATAGAAATCTGTTAAATTTTCAATGACTAGAGAATTTCAAAAGAGAAACATTGAGGACCAGAGTTTTTTTGACTTTGTCGCTCTGTTCGAATGCTCAGAACATTATAAATTTTTGCAAAAATTTCAGACAGTAACAAACAAAACTAGAACTCCTTATTCGTGATTGACAACTTTTTTTGTAAAATTGACACCTGAGGAGATATTCCATGTGGAAGAAAGAGGTCTTTAATTGTCTATGCGCCTGAAAAAGAGGCACTGTGCTCTTTTACATAACACCTCAGGTGTCGATTTTCCAGAAAAGTGGTTAATTACAAAAGTGAACATTTTGTTTTATTCTATATGTTCTAGAATTTAATTCTGAAATACTGTGAAAATTCGAAAAGAAGGATTTCCCAAAATTGAACTCAATCATCTCGATTCCTACAAAAGATATCAAAAATCAGTCAACTGATAAACTTTTTATCAGAATTCAGCAAGTATTTTTGTAGTTTGCAAATTTTTCCTATCTCTTACATAAATAGAGAAAATTGAGCTCAAAGTACAAGTCTGCGGTGGCCAACATAGCAACAGAGCAAGTTAAATGTTAGCAAAAACAGAATCAATACTTAGAATATCCAGAAAATAGCAGAGACGTCATCTATATTTTATGAGACACGCGCTTTCTAAGTAACTCTTCAATTCAAATAACATATTCGAACACTCTCCTCTCTTTTACCAATCCCTAGTTTTAACATTCAAAGGATTAGCGTGTCTTCTCGATTCCACTCACCGGGCTATCGACATGCGTGCTGGGGCTCAGTTTCCATGCGGTCTCAATATTAGTATCTGCTCGTTTTCTTTTCCACTCGGCGATGTTGTCGAGGTTGGTAGCCGCTGTTATCACACCTGATCAATACAATCTCCGTTCTTTATTTTTTCGATTTCCTGTTTTTGTGTTGCTTACCTCGTTTCCCATTCACTGTGACCACATTTATTGTCTCGTCTGGTTGAAATCCTTTGCTCACATCTAATGCAATTGTACCATTGTCTTCTCTGATTAGATCCCAAACTCGAATTTCTTTTTCTCCGTAACACATCACAAGAAGCCCATCGTTTAGCTCCATATAGTACTTGTCCGCCGTTCCTCCTAACTTGACTTTTACTTTTTCTGCACATTTTCCATCTACTGACCCTTTTGTTAAATGGAATATAAAACAGTCTCTTGTGAAAGCAATAATGGTAGAAATCATTTCACAGTAAGCTAGGTAGATAACTTCCGAATCCAACTGAAAGGCCAATTTGATTCCTTCCATATCCCTTTCTTACCTTGTGAACATTTCTTTGTCTTTCAGTATCAACTCCATAAATATGCCCTGTTTTACTTGCAAACAAGAATTCGGTACCAGTTGGCACCAAACTTCTGTCTGCTCTCCTATCCAATAGAGAGTCTTTCGATCCGAAAGATGGTTCATCTACCCCGCTGTCGTCGTCTCCTGATATTCTGGTTGATCTGTGTCTGAAAAATTAACTAGATATTGTTATGAATGTTTTTTGGCTGTTTACTTTTCATAACTCAGCCGCTTACACCATAACATAACTTGATCACCCAATTCGATTTGCATGAGATTGGATGTTGATATATCCTCTCCTATATTCAAATAGCTGTACAAATGAACAGAAGACGGCTGAAATTGTAGAGTCATTGTTTTGGCTCGAGCGTTTTCACGGCACATAATTTCGAAGGTACGAAAATTCGGGGTACAATGTAGTACAAAGTGATTTAGGGGTACAAAACCAAACATTCGGAGGTATAACTTCTTTTAAAGGTACCCCCCAAATCGAGGATTTTGTACCCCTAAATTGCTTTGCACCCTTCGAATTATTTGCTCGTTTTCACTCACATTATGTAAAGTCATCAAAATGGTTCCGTCATGACTCCAATCCACACCTTGATTAGGATGAGGGTACGTTTCCATTACAGTGTGAGCTAAAAAGGAAATATTTGAAAAAACGGGAAAAAAGCGCAGTGCTCACATATAACACCTCCTTTTGGGACAAAGCAAACTCCTCCATCTTTCCATCCAACCACTACAAACTGCTTCTTCGGATGCCATTTCACACAGACCACTGTTCCAGTTTTAGATGGGCCTTTCTCTTTTATAGTTCCCTTAAAACAGAAACAATTCAAATCTACCTATCCGGGTTAATCCGTCTTTTATTCTCACCGATGGATCCGAGAAAGCAATGTTAGCTTCTCCTTTTGTTTCATCTGGAGTCACCACACAAAGCCAACCACAATGCGGTGCCCATTCAATTAATGATGGTTTCATTGAAAAATATGAATAGAAAAGAAATAGCGGAAAGGGGATTTAGATTCGAATTTTAATAGGAAACAGCAAATAGAAAAAGGAGCAAGAAGTCAGCATGCGTTCCGTGTTGCTATGGATACCCTCGCTCTCGTTATGGATTGTTGAAGCACAACGGAAATGGGGGAGGAAAACGGAGAGAACGAGAGAATAGGAGCACAAAGAGAATGGGAAGGAAAGAAAGGGTATTGAAAAATGAAGCCTAATTGCTTGGATTGGGGAGGTTCATCTCATGGAAATCACAACGGCGTGCAAGAAACATCACGCAGTTCATCTTTGGACAATCATGACAATTGAGGAATCGCTTTGTAAATTCCAGAAGTTTTAAAACAATTGTACAATTATATTTCTATTAATTTTCGTGCCCGCAGGACATTTATGCCTGACGATAACCCCGTTTTTATCAGTCCGGTTAGTAAGTTTGTTATTAGGTATTTCAATGACTTACTATATGTCCAAAATCTGAGTATGAAAAATAGAATTATCAGAAGACCGGAAGCTATTGAATGTTCAAGATCGTTTGAATATTCAGTATATTTTCAAAGAATAAATTATTAGCCCCAAGACACAATATAAAGTTGTGAAAATTGGGTCCTCTAGTTGGTGCAATTGAAAGCTCATATAAAACCTCGGACTGTTGCACCGAACTATTAGGGATGCGCGTTTGATGTAACTGTATCTTATTGCAAAACCAAAACAAGATAACATCAATCAGCTGAATATTTTTCAGATCGATCCTCTACTTTCAGCCAGACCGTAGGCAAAATATTAGTAGCTTACTTGACGAACTACGCTGTATGTAGATAGAATCAGTTCAAACAGTGCGCGCATTACTTTTGCACAACCCTGATAATAGCAAAGACCTCACAATCAATTTTCTCTTTGGAGTGAAAAAAATGGTTGTTCAAAACAAAGTTTTCGGTTCGTAACTCTTCTACTATTGGCTCGTAATGAAAACAAATTGATAGCTGCTAATTATCATTGTTTGTATTTTCCAATGTTTGTTTCACCCTAATTTTCGATCTGATGTCGAAATTTTTAATGACACACACTCCACTTTTTTGGGGGATTCATTCCAATTTACGCTCAAAATCCTCTGTAGAGTAAAACTCGTATTCTGACCACCAATTCTTTTATGATTCATAAATATAGGTAGTCTCACCTCTTACCCTCTGATCCCTCGATCCCCCACTTGATCTTTGAACACCGATTCCGTGTACTTTTTGTTTTGTTGTTTCATGAAAATGTGATATGGTAATCAGTTTGGGATGTTTGACGGAGGAGGGCAGTGAAAAGATTCATAGGTTTAAGGAAACAGACACGGCGTTTCTGGGATTACTGTAGTGTTTCGGAGGGAACTTTTGGGAAGGAGACAGAAGCTAAAGTATCACAACGGATTTTTGATGCATCATATTGAGCTAGTAGCCACAAATATTTTCATGAACTCGTATGATTCCGATAACTTTTTTATTTGTTCAGCTTCCCTAATCAAGTTCATCAAAGTCTTCCAAATACTAGGAATCTCTCAAAAATCACGAAAAATGTAATCATAATATAATCCCGTTGTGCCTTTGATGTCCTTGATAATCTTCCATTTACATTCCAAGAACCTACTCTTTCCTCTTCATTCACGAATCCTTAGTCTATGCTCTGTGTTCTGTGATTGTACCCTCTCTGAATTGTCATTCTTCACATGACGCATTTCCAAATATTGTGATCCACATTAATCCCTTTGCAAAAATATATATTTGGAGGAGGCGCCAACCGGAGGGAGAAACGTTTATAAGGGCCACAAAACCAGCGACAACCATCATCATCAGTTTCCGAATATGAACTCAATCTATCTGACATTCGCTACATTTTTCTGCATCGTGGTAGTAGTTGAATCACAGGTAAGAGATCATCGAGACCTCGATTTATCTCTGAATTTCTATTTTCCAGACATGTGCCTGGACAACATGGGGAGCATGGTCGACGTGCAGTGATACATGTGGCAACTGTGGGACTCAACAGAGAACGCGTACATGCTCACCAGCATCAACGACTTGCACGTGTACAGGGTGAGAAATGAGAATTTAAACGCTCAGACAACCAATCACTTTTTCAGAGATTCAAGCGAACAACAAGTTTGTGCTCCAGCCATCTGCAAGTTTCCTAGAACTGCATGTTGTTCTGGATCCCCTGCATCAGTGGATGGATTGTTTGAATGTGCATAAAATGTTACTTCATTAGTATTCAATTAGCTTTTTGAAATCTTCCTCTCATGTGCCTTACTAAAGTATCTTATGAATTCTTTTTCTTCTCAATGAAATTAAATAATGTACAAATGAATTTATTAAACCATCGAAGCGTTTGTTGAACATTTAAATTGTCCATCCACAGAAGCGGGCTGACCAATGCAGCAACTACTGTTTCGTGGAAAGATACAGACGTCGTACGATTGGGATTGAGTGGAGTTTCCAGAACAGATGCAGGCAGTCGTCTGGTTCGAACAAGAGCGACTTCTGGTCTGGTTTCCGCAGTTTCCACAGTTATCTGTGCAAGTGGTCCATTGCGACCAGGTGGACCAGATGCAGTTCTGAAAGTGTAGTCAAGAAGTCTAACTATTCCAACTTATTCTGATAAAACTAGAATACTGCAGGATGGTCATTTTAATAAAATTATTACTCTGATGCAAAAATTCGGAACTGTCGAAGAGAAACGCCGGTGGCCGTGGCCGAAAGTCCTACAACGACAACTACCGTAACCTAAAAATAATTGCATTTTCGGGATATATCTTTTTCGTTTTTCTCTGCTTTTCGTCAGAGTTTCTGTTAGTTTTTCTTTTTAAAAAGTCAAAGAATTAATATTTTTGCTCACAAACTATTGAATTGGAACGCACGAAAATCGAGAAAATAAATACGAAAAATAGACATATAAGAAGATGAAAATTTGAAAATTTCTAACTCTGTCTCAAAATTCGTTGCAACTTAGTAAAATATGTATACTTTATACAGAAAAAAACTAACTTCAGGCAATTCGTAACTTTCTCTTGTCTGGCGGAGAGATTTTCACAGAAATTTCTTGAATACGATTCTTCCCTCGTTTTTAAGGTGAATAATGTTTTTTTCATTTGAAATTCGGGTCAACAAAACAGGAAAAAAATTATTGAAGAAAAAAACAACAACCAAAATAATAACGTGAGATATATTTCCGTGAACCTACAGAAGCGATCTCGAGATCGCTTCTGGGAATTTTGTGCGAGCGAAAAAACATCCAGAATCGATCCCTTGATCGATTCTGTAAGTTCACGTAAATCTGCCAATTTTTGAAAAATATATATCGTTTAATATATATCTTAATATAAAAATTTAAATAAAAATATATATCGTTTAAATTAATATCGTCAAATTTTGAAATCCACGAATTTTTCATTCTGAAAATGGGCTCCCTTACTAGTAAGGGTATCGTGTTTTGTGATTCAATGTGAATTTTTGAAAAAAACAAGAAATATTTCTAGCTACATATTTGTAATATTATCTGATAATCATGTTGATTATTGAAAACATTGAGAAATTTCAAATTCAACAAGATTTTCAAGTATACCGTTTTAACACGTTTGAAGGATCTTTTTGTTTTGTTGACCTGAATTTCTTATGAAAAAAGTAAATAATAATCAACAAAATTGAATTGTTTTAAGATGAAAATGGTCAAAAAATGTTCGTGAAGTATAATTCTCACACATAAATCCCGAAGTAACTATGTTTCTTATATTGCTGTGAACCAACAGAAAAGTTTGTAAGCTGGGCTCTATTCGAACGAATGTTTAAAATTTTGAAAATTTCATCTTCTTATATCTTTAGGTTACGGTAGTTGGCGTTAAGGACCTTCGGCCACGGCCACCGGCGTTTCTCTTCCACAGCTCCGATTTTCTTGTACCAGAATAATATAAGACTTTTTTCATTCATGAGATGTCACCGTACCTGAGTATAAATCGTTACCACGTAAAGTTCTACCAAGAGGACGAATAGAATACGCATATCGAAAATATCAAATGATATCGTTTTCCGGTTTTCAAGATAAGAAAAACACAATCAGTAGTTATGGAGATTTATCCAATTTTCTGGATAATCATCGTTATTGTGTTCCAGGCTGTGATTTCCAGCCGATCGAAAACAACTGAAAGAACAAGGAACAAATCCCCATGTATGTTGTTCAGAGTTCTGTTCTCACATTTTCGAACCCAATTCGAACTATACATGTAAAAGTGACACCACTTTATTCGTCAGAATGTAAAAACACAATGTTAGTCTAATTATGCGATAGATAAAACACACAGGGAAGGGGGAAATGTGGAAGCATTTATAAGTTATACAGATACTCGTCTTCTCTAACAGGTCTTGTTCTAGACAATAAGTCCTCGTCAAATTCATTCCATATGAAACACTCCATCTCCGTTTTCGGGCGCTGGGTGGTAGTTGTTTTCCATTAAATCCACAATACTCTGCAAATTTCGTCGCCGGGCTTCGTCAATTGGTGTGATTCCGAAGTCATCTTTCTCGTACGGGTTCAGACCACATTGGAGAAGATAAGTGACAATTTCTGGTTTGTTGAGAGACGCAGCCTGAAACATAATCCATTCGACTCTTGGACCGTCCGAGTTGTAGTCAAACATACCACATGTAACGCCGTGCGATTATCGTAATCTTTCTCGCCCATGTGAGTTCCGGCTGCTTCGTTGCACTTCAGAAGTTCGATGTCATTCTGGTACACAGCCAAACAAAGTTCAACGCCTGAAATTTTTCTGGATATGATTGGTGTTTCAAAAAATTAAAATCAAACCGATTTTCTGAGACGAGGCATCTATGAAACCACCAGCTCCTCGAATCGCCACGACACAATCCATCGCTTTCGCTTTCACTGCACATACAAGAGCGTTGTAGCCGAACATATCTCTGGAAAAGAATTGTAAGGATTTCATATTATAAGTTCAATTAATCTCACTTAATATGCACATTGGTTCCTATTTTGAGCAAATAATTAACCGATTCGATGTTTCCATTCGAAGCAGCAACGTGAAGAGCAGTTCGGAGATTGTAGTCAGTGGCAGAGAAATTCACTCCAGCTGCTTTCAAAGATTTCAGAATCTCAACATCATTCGTTTTGGCAGCATTACAGAACATTGGTGGGAGGATGATATCACGGAGAAGTTGAACTTCTTGAGAAGATGAAACCCGCAGGCATTTGGCAATGTGTGGAACTGGAATTATTTTAGGATGGATTTTTCCAAAAAAGAGTAACTAACTGATATCAAGCTCTCGCATAGCTCCTTTAGTTGCAACAGTCATCTCTCCACGAAGGTTTGCTTGAAGCATCTGAAAATGTCAAAAATTGAAAACAGAAATGACTTACAATCAATACAAAACCGGTTCCTAATTATGAAGTAAACAACTTTTTTTAGGAAATAACGTACACTCCTCTTCATTGGCAGATCCCACTCGTCTTTTCCCAATACATAACACAATTTGGCCATAGCTGCTTCTGACGTCATATCGGATCCCGGAATGACTCCGATGTCATATAGAATCTTGCCTGTGGCGTAGTTCACATCGACCTGTCCTTTCAGACATTGGGAACAGTTAACGACCATCACACCGCGCGCTATAGCATCCTAAAATGGTTTAATAGAGGTAATTGTGACTTTTATTGAATTTTGTTGCCTTGAGTGCCAAAATAATGTCTTGTCGTCGTGTTGGCATGTTTCCTGATCCAAAAGTTTGAAGAATGACACCTCTGGTTGGTGGTTGAAGGAAGGCGCGAACTGATTCAATGGTCATTGATGGGAAGATTCGAAGCATTCCAACATCACGGCAAAGGTTTTCATGAACTGTGAATGCGGCAACCATATCACTTCGGAAGATTGAATCGTAGTTAACTAGAAAAATTGAATATAGGCTCATACAGTATGAATCAGTCTTCGAGAAATCGTTGTTACCTTTGATATTTATAGCCATTTGTGCCAATGGTGACATATTCGGACTATCGAATGCTTCAAGTGCTGAATTATCCAGTTTGACTGTTCGATTTCCACGCATCAGTTTGTTATTGAAATAAACACAGACTTCCGGAATGTCAAAGTTACCAGCAGTGATCAATGCTCCAATCAGATTCTCCATACCATCGGATCGAACTTCTGCGACTGGAATCTGACTTCCTGTGATAATAACCGGCTTTCCAAGGTTTTCCATCATGAATGATAGTGCACTTGCAGTGTAAGCGAGGGTGTCTGTTCCGTGAAGAACAACAAATCCGTCGTATTTGTGATAGGCTTTTTTGATGTCAGTGGCTATACGAATCCAGTCGTCAAATGTCATGTCACAAGAATCGAGAAGTGGTTCATATTCCACAATCTGAAATTGTAAAATTGGTAAATCGCTGCTAAAGTATTTTTAGAAACCAACCCAATAGACAACGCGTTTTTTCATGTGCCGGACTGGTGGCAATGAATAGGGACGAACAGCCACATTCGAGTAGCTTTCTTCGATGTACCGACGATCATTCAATGGTGGAATGTCGCGGAGAACTTCAGGGAGATATCCAGGAACTGGGCAGTATACTGAAATGTTAATTTTTGAAACATACTGATGAGCAAACTGCGTTCAAAAGAAATAGGAGGAAAATTTGCACCCGAGGAACCTGCAAACAACATTTGCGTCCACTAATCCGTGCTTCTCGTTTCCCAGATCAGTTGCGTCAGACCACACGTGCTCCCTATCTTTTACTTTGTTTCACTCCAGCTGACTTTTCGATCATCTTTCGACAAACACACCATTTCTCACCCTTCCGTTGGATTATTTATAGATTCTGTGTCTGCCTTTTGAAAGTTTTATGCACAATTTTCAGCTAGTCATTCTGGGAATTTTTTTAACGTTCAATGAGAAGTTTTAGAAACATTCATCGCGAGAGCAGGATAGTGAGCAACATCAATGTCTTAAATTAACGTTAGGCAATGTTTTTTAATGAATTAATAAAGACCTCCATGTGATTCATGTGCCGAATTCATGTGAAATACACAATATCAGTCGTTTGTAAAGTGAAAGTGCATATCACAATGTCGAGACACTTATCATCTGTGTTGTGATTTTTGAAAATACGAGGCGGTGCGGGCATCATGATTTTGAAAAGTCGTTAAACGCCGACATGAAAGTGAATTCGAAAAAATTGAAGTTTGGTTTTAGAATTTTTTGCAGATTAAGATTTTTTGAATAATAAAAATTTATCGTTACCTCCATCTGTAGTTTTCATTCCAATCGTTCCACCAGTGTAGAGGACTAGAACTCGAGATTCCGGTAATGCAGATGGAGCACCGATTTGTTGAGTACCAGCTGTTTCATCGACTTCAAGTACAAGTTCCTGAAAAACATTATTTTCAAATAACAGTTTGATAAAATCGAGTCATTGCAGACAGTTGCCAAAAAGATAGGTCTTTTAGAAAACAGTTTTACCTCGATGGAACCTTTCAAGATGAGAATCGGGTCTTCCACGAAGAGCGGAGAACTCGTAAAAGTTGGATAAAGTACTCCGACAGTCGCCATTTCAGTCAAGAAAGTGATTCTTTAGTGAGTAAATAATAGAGCACTGGCTGCCCTGCACCCGACGAACGAAAAATGAAGAATAGAATCTAGAGGAGGTTACCAGGAAGGGAAGGGGCGGAGTTAGAAAGTGAGACGGTTCGGGGTGCTTTTGAAGAAACAGCGAAAGAATGGCCGCGGTGCATCAGCACCCTTTGTCAGTCTGCGACCTCCGCACATAACAGTACTCTCTCGTTGACAACGTGGTTGAGTGGGTGGCGAGAAGAAGAAGATATATTTTATTTATGAGAACGAAAGCTTCGGTTTCAAATTCTTGCACCGAGAATCAAATAATCATCGAGTGCAGACGAGATGTTCGCTTCTTTTCATCGAAAATGTTATCAAGAGAAATGATAAGAATGAAATGTTTGTATCTCGTAACCTCGATCAGTTTTTGCAAAATACCCCTTTAAAGTACAGTACTTGCTTTTGGAGGGAGTTTCAAATACCAATTTTTTCAACATTTTTGACATTTCAGCCTTCCTTTCTTCATGAAGCATAACTTGGCAAATAGACAATTGCTATGGGAATGGTTGCTATCTCACGAGTTGCTATAAAGGAACAATTGTTATATATCTAGTTGCTATAACACAATTGCTATATTTGACACAATTTTAGTGCATTTTCTCGGATCCTTTGCTTTTGAAAGTGGCCAAAAATTCGGAGGGTACAATGATTCGGGGGTACAACTCATTTAGGGGTAAAATGATATGCTGCTTGTGATTCGGGGGAACCTTTTTTTGAGAGATTTTCTGAATACCTAAATTTCAGAGCTAGAAAATCTCAGAATTCTTAAAATTTCAGAGCTTTTGAATTTCAGAATTTCGGAATCTGAGAACTACGGAACTTCAGAATATGAGAATCTGAAAATTTCCGAATTTTCAAAAATTACGACAGAAATTTTTTTTCAAATTACGACTGAATTTTTCCACTGATAGTGAGAGGCGTGATTTTTTGAATTTCTGAATCGCAAAATTTCCGAAAAGCATGCAACGGAGAACTGTAAAATAATCTTGACAAATTTTCACAGAATCAGGATTTTCATTCTTAATTTAGGTTTTAACACCCAGTCGATACTTTCCTACCAATTTTTCTTAATTGTTTTTTTTTCTCAATTCTATTTCACTTCCTTTTGTTTCTCAATATTCCTTCGTTTTTGCCCAATTTTCCGTTTTTTTTCCCCGATTTTTCAATTTTCCTCAATTTTTCCCAATTTTTCAATTTTCCCCAATTTTCGTGGTAATTGAAATGTTCTCATTTTTCATAATTTTCTAGATCGTTGAATGAAGGAAACAATCACAGTTCAGTGATTTACCCACAAAAATTCGAAAATCCCAAAAATTGGCCCAAAATGAGCTGTTTTCTCTCGAAAATTGTTCGAACATGCAATTAAACATTACAAAAATTATGAAATTAATTTTTTTCGATTAATTACCACGAAAATTTAAGCAAAAACTGAAAAACGAAGGAAAATCCCAAAAAATGAAATTGGCAGCGATGACGTCATCAGTCCATGGCCGTGGCCGAACTGCGGAGTTTCCTCTTCCATGGGGAAATTCGTCGTTTTTCATTGTTTTCGCTCAAATTTTCGTGGTAATTAGTGGAAAAATTGAATTTAATAATTTTTGTAATGTTTTATTGCCTGTTCGAACAATTTCCGGAAGAAAATAGCTCACTTTGGGCCAATTTTTGGGATTTTCGAATTTTCGTGGGTAAATCACTCAACTGTGTACCCCCGAATCGCAAGCATTGTACCCCTAAATGAAATGAGTTGTACCCCAGAATCATTTTTAGTTTGTACCTGCCTGTACCCCCGAATCATTGCACCCTCCGAATTTTGGCCACTTTCCCAAGCAAAGGATCCGAGAAAATGTACTAAAATGCGCAAAAATATGAACTGTAAGAACTAGCAAATTGCGTCAAAATAGCAATTGTGTCAGAAATGGCAAATGTATTCACACACAGCAACTGGTACATTCCATAGCAATTGTACCTTTGAAATTTGAAAATATATATCAATTGTGTCAAATATAGCAATTGTGTTATAGCAACTAGATATATAGCAATTGTTCCTTTATAGCAACTCGTGAGATAGCAACTATTCCGATAGCAATTGTCTATTTGCCGCATAACTTTTCTTATAGTTTTGTTTTTTGTTTGCGATTCAGCGGGAGGAAATGACGAGGCGTTCACCCAACTGCTGACACAAAGAGTTTACCGAAAAGCTCTATAACCATTTCCAAGTATCAAAGACTATGTGAACAATTCCGAAAAGTTTATAGATTCAAATTCAACCTCTAACAACGTCATTCAATGTAATAGGTTTTTCTATACTTTAGTTCTAAACTAACATTCTGGCATTTGCTTACTAATGTTCCTTGTGACTATAGCAAACGAGTCAATGGTCTGTCGGAGATCATCCAGTTCTTTTTACAATTTACACCCATCCCGATCTCAGCAAGAATCGTTTCGTCGTCTAAAGACTGTCATGTACCCATTCCAACAGAAGATCTGACGATGGCTGTAGTCGTTCGATAGCCATAAAAATAGAGGCACGTGCTGGGCAGCAATCGTTTACTACGTCTCTATGGCTACTGTGTGCGTTTGACGAAGACGAAAAAAAAATCGAGATAAAAAATACTGACCGTCGCTGAAATATTTCGAAGAAATGCGCCATCCTCGTGGTGATGTTGTACAAGAAGTTGCTTCGGTAGATGGTTCTCATCAAGTATTTTCGAAGGCCGACGGTCCCAGATCGGCGATGTAATTGATTTTTTCGGAGAAACTGGAAATCAGGGTGATAAGGAAGCGGTGTCTTTACAAGTCAAGTTGTATCAGGGTTTCCAAAAGTTTTCTTCTACAGAAAGTGACAATACGGGTTACAGTGCCCATGGTAATAAAAACGGTCTTCAAAATAGTCCTCAAGTGACTGGACTTGAACAGAGATCATACTTTCTTGTTCTTTTTTATGTTTCGTGTTCAAATTACAGTCTTTATCAGTTGTTAAACCAGCTGATTTGATTTTTTTTGGTGCGAAAATGTATTTTTGTGAAAAAGTTTATCACTTACATCCTTCACTGGTACATGAACATCTTCTGATATTAATTGGTGGACAGGTCGAATTATCGATGGACATCTTCCGGAATGAAGCACGGTTGGGTTGAAGGGCTGTAATATGAATGTTTTCGAGAAATTATATAGATGTTATAGAACATAAACAAGTTATAGAAAAAAAACATTTAAAGAAAGATGTCAGTTATAAAGAAGTAATCAATGGAGACAACAGAAACAGGTGACGTTTAGGTTTTTTCAAAAGACACTTCGGGGGAATCCCCTTCTCTTATCATTATCATTGAAACGTCTCGAGAAATGACCCATGATAAATCAGAAAACCAATTTCAAGGTCATTTTCCTAGATAGACTTGGAAAACATAATGGAATTGAATAATAGAAAAAGAAGAGCAAAGAGTGGTTTTTTTCCTTTTTCCTTTTCATCGTGTGCACAAACGAAAAAAAAAATATAGGAAAAAGTAAAGTAGACCCATGAGACGCAGACGCCTCTATCCCAATGCTTCCTCCCTTTTTCATGCTTTTTTCCTTGCGAAAAATGCACTTCTCTTCCGAGACATGTGGACCCACAAATCTATTGGAACATTTGAAAACCTCTGTAGGAGAGGACGAATTTCGCAATGCTTCTCAACATGTTGCAAAATCTTACAGTTACAAAAAAGATTAATAAAACGGAATCGGGAAACTGAAAAATAAAGAAAAATTCTAGCCCTATGAAATTCTTCGTTGAAATCTAAAACTGAATCATATCAAAATATAAACAAAACCAAAAACAAATACTGTCATATGGGAAGAAAACACAATAAAAACAGTCTTATATAAATGAAATATCAGGGGTGACAGACTAGAATACTTTGACCTCAATTTTCTAATTTAAAATTTTCAGACTTTTTATCGTTTGAGGATCCAACCTAAATCGAAGAACAATCTCGTGAAAATTTGTTGATTTTGAATTTCAGAAATGCAGAACCCTTGAAACTCCGAAATTTGAAAATTTTGAAATCTAGGAATTCAAAATATTAGATATCAAAAATTGAAAAATCTAGAAATTTGGGAATTCAAATATTTCGGATTTCAAAACTCTAAAAACTCAGTAATCTAGAATTCAAAATTGGGAAATTCAAAAAAATGGAAATTCAGATATTCAGAAACTTTGTAATTAGAAATTCAAGTGTAAGTTACTGTAAGTCAGGAAGTTGCTAAGGAGCATAAATCAACTGGTTGACATAAAAGTTGGGAACTGGTGTGAGATGAAAGAGAACGTGCCAAGAGAGAAAAATCTTCGAAAAAGTTACTGGGCAAGAAAAAACTTGAGAACCCAAAGGAAAAGGAGTAGGAGAGTGTAAACCGATCACTGATCTGATGCGGCTTCAAGAGGTTTGAAAAAAAACAATACAACACAAAAAATATACCGCAAACCCTGTAATAGAAGGACCCCCTAACTTTTAAATTCAAACAAATTTTTTTCGGTTCCTGTCAAAGATATAAAATATTGGAAATTGATAAATTGTTTATCATAATATCAGAAATGTTTTGTCAGTTTACACATTTCGATATCTTTTTAATATATCTTTCGAAATCTTGCTTAGGAATTGAGATAATTTTGCTTAAACTTAACAGTATGAAGGTCCTTACAGGTTTTACGGTATAAGGGATTATCTGACCTACAGTAATCCTTTTTTTTTTCGAAAAACCCCCATTGTCCCCACAGGTTACTGTACCTGCCCCTTTCAATAACCGCGTGGAAATTCCGCGGGTTAGTGTCAAGTAGGTCATGGTGAGTTTGATTAGTTGTCAGTCGAGTAGTTAATAGCTCCAGAGCGAATCATATGCCTCCTGTACATGGCTCACGTGGCATACTGTAGCTGTCAGGAAAAATTACGGTCACAGGGTCACGGAACTAGTTCATCTCAAAGTATATAATTAGGACAACTACACACCTAATTGACCATATTCCAATTTTCCAGAAATTGTATTGTTCGATCTCGATAGTATGTAAAGTCCATTTCAGTCACTTTGTAACTATATTTTTGCTTTCCTTGCCTGCCGATCAATTGCTCATTAAAAAGTCCTCACACGATGAACGATCAGACAAGTATTGTACTGGTTGATTACCTATATAAATGAGCTACTTGTCTATTTTCGCCAGTCTTCTCACTTCCATGATTTTGTTTTTTTCTTCCTCCTAACCTGGTTTACTCATTCAAAAGCAATTTACATAAATCAGTTGTCTGAAATAATGCCAGCTCGAATATCGCAACATATGCTACCTGCAATAATTTCTCTAAATTCATTTATATCCTGACCAATAACTTAGTGCACCCAACGTTTCATTTATTTATGAATCATTACTTCTTTATTTATTGAGCTTGAGTCTAGTTTGTCTAGTATTTTTCAATGTTTAAAGGTTTTTTTGAATTTCCGATGTCTGGCATAGCAAATACGAATAAGAAAAAGTTGAAAGATTATCATTCACCTGCTAATTAGGTCCCTTCAGTGTGCAAAACAATCAACTCATGATCAAATATGGCAACAAAATAGACTCGTCACTTTTTTTTTCGTATAATTGCTACTATCAACTTGCTTTACGAACTATGAAAGTTGTGATTTTTTTTTTTGAAAAACTAGAATTTTCAGTAAAACCCACTCCCCGAGAGACCACCAAGTTGATTTAATAAAAAAAAATAAAATAATACATGTTTCTATTATATAGTCAACATGGGAATTACTTTAAACGGATAATATTAGTCTAGACCTGCATCAACATCTTCATTTCTCATATATGGTAAAACCTGTAATAGAAGGGCCCTCTACTTTCAACTTTCAGCTAATTTATCCCGGTTCCTGACAAAGATATCAAAAAGTGGTCAACTAATAAAATGTTTATCGTAATAACAGAAGTGTTTTGTCAGTTGACATATTTTTGATATCTTGCGCATGAGCCAAGAAAAATAGCTCGAACTTGACAGTGTAGGCCCCATCCCCTTCTACGTATTACAAGTTTTACGGTACTAAGGTTTTATAGGTTCCTTTACAAAATTATTTTTCTTCTGAATTTCTTTTCAACTTATGTTTTCTATTTTTTCTAATTTCCAGTCTATCCAATGATTTACGTTGGGTTTCTCCATCACTGGGCTCCAATAGTTTTTGGTATTCTCTCCTACGTTTGCAACGCGATTTTTGTTTTCATTGTTTTGAAGAAAACGAAATCATCCTTTGGCGCCTACAAGTATATGCTTATGAGTTTTGGAATCTTTGATATCATGTACTCTACAGTGGATATGTTTGTGGCTATGGGATCTCATAGTGAAGGAAATACATTTTGCCTCTTTGTCTCTCATGGACCATTTGCTGAGGTAAATTACAAGAAAGCCCTCATTTTCTCACTCAAGGCTATTCAGGATGTTAATCTGGGGTTTGCTGCGCTATGTGTTCGTTGTATGTTCTTTTCGTTGAGTTACGGTGTTCTCGAAGTCCATTTCATCTATCGTTACATTGCTCTTTGCAAGCCAAAATGGATTTCAATATTCAGTGATCCAAAATGGATTTTTGGCTTATTTCTCGGAGATCTAGGCCAAGGAATCGTTTGGTTCTGTTCTGTGTTCTTCTGTATGTGGTCAGATGATGAGATGAGATCGTACCTGGAAGTTCCATTCCGTCGAGACTACAATGCTGATGTTTACAAAGTGCCAGTTCTTGGAAGTACGTATTGGGGTGCCTCCACCAAGCTTATTGTTCGTACATCCTCTGGAATCGTTATCATCTCAATCATCTCTTGCTGGACAATCTATTTCTGCATCTGGACGGGTTATACGGTACTTAAAATCAAAAAATGAGAAATTCAGACAAGCCATCTTCAGATTCACAAAACTCTGAATACTGTTGACATGAGTAAGAATACCAAGAAGATGCATCGTAATCTTCTGAAGGCATTAGCAATTCAAACTTTCATTCCCTTTGCTGTCAGTTATGTTCCGTGTGTTTTTGCCTGGACCGTTCCATTGATCCATGTAGATTCGAAAAGGTAACATCTTCAAAAATAAAAAATCCTAAATCTTGATTTCAGTTTGAACAATTACACTGCTGTAATTGCAGTTGCTGCATTTCCATTTATCGATCCCTTGGCGATTATGATGCTTCTTCCAGACTACCGTAACGCCTTTTTCAGAATCTTCCTTCCATTCATTTTCAATCCAACTCGTACCTATCCTGGTACAACGGCTAGTGAAATTTCAGGAAGAACAACAAATACTTAATGATGTGATTCACCCCACTATACTAAACTTTCATTCTCATAAATGGTACATTCCCCCGTGTCTCATGTTCCTGTTCTGATTTTCAGTTTCGTAAACAACCGAACTCTTGGCTATAGTCTGTCTAGTACGAATGCTGAAAAAAGCAAAGGTGGCTCGTGACTCTCCGACGGAGACTAAAATTATTGTCTCATCTTTTTTTCCGAACAAAATTCAGTGAAAACTACAAGACATTTACGATGGATTAGAAAACTTCAAATGGAGTACGGTGGTGCGTTGAACCACCAAAACAAGGAACTTGATAAGAATTGAACCTAATGGTATTGCCTGTAAATGAATATTGAAAATTCACTTATTACCAGGAAAAAAAGTCATAAGAAATATATTAGTTTCTGGTTACTACTGTAGTTAGCTCAAATGCGTGTTATTATTTTATATTGCCATAACTAGGTTACTTTGGTTAAACTGCAACATAAGTAAATTGAACCGGATTCGTATAATCAGTCTTCTATTCCCAAAGATCTCAACAAACACATAATAATAACAGATTCAGAAAGTCACAAGCCTTATTTTTTCAGGAATCATCAAAAAGATCACTCCGACTAAAACTTTTTAGATTTATATAAAAATTAAGAACTTGTTTTATCAGTTCCGACGACTTTCTAGAGGTGGCCTAGAATTGTCAGTTTTGGCTGGAACTCAAAAAAATCGAATTGACTTTTCAGGATTTTTGTTTCGGAATTTTTGCATTTATTTTCACATTTTACTGCAATGAACATTTCCGGTCGGAGCCCCCTTTGAAGTTACGGTGACAAAAATTATTCGTTTTCTCAATTTTTTCTGTAAAATATGGCGGTTGCAGTTTCACGAGAAATGCCTCCTATAAACATTTAGAACCTATTACTCAAAGAAAGACCTCTGAACTAATTCAATCTCAACATTGCGATGTGGTTTGAGTCCATTTCTTTCTTCAACCAGCGATCAAGAACTTAAAAGTTGTAGTCTAGCCAAGCTTTCTTACATCATTTCCTTGATAATTTAAGCTTTGCTTCTTGTTTTAAATGCCAAAGAAAACACCACTAGTTAGATATTTTCAGCAGGAATGTTTTGTTGCGAGTCATATGTATAGCATTATGTCATTAGTTCTTCTGCCATGTTTCGAACGTTTATGTTTTCGAATTGAATATCCTTGAAAATCGTTTCAGAGGTTTCGGATTAATATTTCGATAAATTCTCAAAATCTGTCATTGCCCAACGACAAAGGTCGTCTATATTTTCAATGGTGAGTAATTATCAGTGTCGGAAACTATTCCCAAACTGAATTATGAAACTCGATTGAAAATATTTGAAAATTACTTTCTTATGATATCTTTTCTGAAATAAGAAACTTTCAGTAGCCCTCTTGATGGTTTTTGATTAAAGATCTCAAGAAAACTGAATCATTTTCCTTCGAAGAAATGCATTACTTCTCAGAACTCTGAAATTTTCTTTCGATTCTCTCCGTCTCCGACTCTCTAAGTAATCAGACGAGACGATTCTAGTTGATCATCAGACCTCATCTGTTTATTAAGAAAAACTACAAAACGTCCAGCCAGTCTGGCTGTTATATTTTTTGTCGTTTGAAGTTAGATGCTCTCGTCTAGTTAGTACCTCTGAACTTCGATGTTTGTAATGAATTCAAAAACTTTGAATTTGGACTTTGATAGATCTTGAAGAAAACGCACGTAACAGGGATTCTTGGAAAAGTGAAGATAAAAGTCGTAGGCATCGGCAAAAATTGAGTAGTATAGTTGTGAAGTATGGATGTATACCGAATTCTTCTTGATACCATGAATTAAAAAAAAATTATCATGGTGACGCACGAGCGTAGCTGACTAGAGGGCTATCTGATAGTGAGTCGGTGGTGTTACATCATTTTTGACATTTTTATAGAAGCTATAAAAATCGGATAATAGCGATTTCGATCACCGGAGGAAAATAAAAAGTTTTATCGCTTCCTTTAGTGTCCTCCGGAGCGCACCAAAAAGCTTGAAACTAAAATTTGATTGCGAATTAAACCGTAACCAAAGCCGATCAAATCTGACCATGCCCCGCTGCACATCCGTTTTTAAGCGATCTCCGAGCAGGACCTGGCCGACATCCGTCCAAACCATCAAACCTTGGACCAGGAGTAACAATCTGACAGCCGAGCAGAAAAAAAGCTGAAAGATTTGCAAACTGGAAGAGGTTTTCTGAAGAACCCCCCTCCCTCTAAGAAATTCTTGGGACCATGATTTCCTTCCTAGGTTTGCAAACAACTCTTGAGCCTTTAATCCCATTTCAATCGAAATGCATCAACAAACCACACGGTTTAATTTCTTTCCAGATATTTCCTTCCATTATTCTTCTTGATCATCCCTCTCCTCCCTCTCTCTTCTACAGTAGTCTCTATTATTCACTCCTCCCACCCACTACTGAATTTTCTTCCAGATGGAGATGCTTCCTTGTAAAAGGGATTGCAGAACATTTATTGAATACAAAAGGCTGGCGAATGCATTTCGAAGGGAAAATAAAGGCGAAAAATACAATGCGTTTTATAGCGAGGGTGGGCACGATACATCTTCCTCCTGGGGAAATCAGAAGTAAATGGGCGGAGCCAACTTTACGGTACTGGTGGATACTATAAAAGAAGAACGCATCTACAGGGCTCCGCAGTTTTACAATTTTTCAGAAACTTGTTTTTTTCTGAATTTGGTCCTCAAATATGGAAAGTTTTTTTTGTTCTCTATATTTTTGGGTTTCTCGTTACGATCTAGCATAAATACCTTATTTCCTTCACCCAAACCACCGTCAACTTTGACCTCAACTATCTCGATTCTTGTGAAAGATAACAGAAACCTGCAACTGATAATGTTTATCATGATATCAGAAACGGTTTGTCAGTTGACACATTTTTGATATCTCTCATAGAAACTGGGATAATTGAGCTCAAAGTTGTCGGTTTGGGCGGTATATTTGGGCCTGAAGATATCAGTAACTGCACCAGCTTCGTAATATTCCCTCGATCCCTGGCTCTTTTTTCTTTTCAAATATTCTGCTCTCTCTGAATCCATTGATCCACCTTTCAATTTCAAAAAAGCAGATAAAAACAGCTAATCCTATTGAATTTCGAAAAATAGGGCAGAATTCAAAAAGAAACGTAATTGACTGGTGTTCTCATTGAATTCTATTCCCACAGAAGCGAAAAAAATACATCTTCATCAGATTGAAAACATATATCAGCAGTGTGCACTAAAAAAGAACACCCTGTGAATATTCCCACCCAATCTCCTTGCTCTAGTGTCTTGTCATTCATCTTCTGATTTGTGAAATTTGATATTTCTGATAACTCACGGCTAGAATTGTAGTTCTAAAATGTTGTCCTCTAAAGCGGAGGTGAGAAAAACTCGTCATTTAAAAGATTCTAGTGTCATTAAAACTTTTCGGAACGTTATACGAATTTTTCCAGTCCGATCAACTGTCCGGAATGATTTACGTGGGCTTCCTGCACCACTGGGCTCCGATCATATTCGGAATTCTCTCTTATATCTGCAACTCAATTTTCGTCTACATCGTTCTCAAGAAAACTCGTTCTTCGTTCGGTGCCTACAAGTATATGCTTATGAGTTTTGGAATCTTTGATATCATGTACTCCACAGTGGATATGGTTGTTGCTATGGGATCTCATAGTGAAGGAAATACATTCTGTCTCTTTGTTTCGCATGGACCGTTTGCAGAGGTAGGCCTGTTGCGAGATTTCAGCCAAGATATAAGTTACTGCATCAGACACCACGACCTTAAGAATCTGATGTTGCCTGAGAATATCTGCTCATGTGAGCAATGCAATTAGACTTTAAACTTCAACTCGTTATATTTCCATTCATAAAAATTTCAGGATCCAGAAATGGGTTTTGCTGCTCTCTGTGTTCGTTGCATGTTCTTCTCACTCAGCTACGGAGTCCTTGAAGTTCATTTCATCTACCGTTACGTGGCACTCTGCCGTCCACAATGGATTCCAGCTTTCGCGGATCCAAAATGGATTACTGCGATGGCTCTTGGAGTGATGGGACAAGGAATTGTTTGGTTTTGCTCGGTTTACTTCTGTATGTGGTCAGATGATGAGATGAGATCTTATCTAGAAGTTCCATTCCGTCGGGATTATAATGCAGATGTCTATAAAGTTCCGATTCTGGGTAGCACTTACTGGGGAGCATCTACTGGATTGATTGCGCGGACATCGGCTGGAATAGTTATCATTTCGATCATTTCATGTTGGACAATCTACTTCTGTATATGGATTGGATGGACTGTTAGTTTAATTTAAAGAATTTCAGATATCCAAACATTGTTTCAGATTCACTCAAAGCTAAGTGTGGTAGAAATGAGCAAAACAACAAAGAAAATGCATCGGAATCTTCTGAAAGCTCTGGCAATCCAGACATTCATCCCATTCGCAATTAGTTACATCCCATGTGTTTTCGCCTGGACTGTTCCACTGATTCATGTAGACTCAAAAAGGTAGTTTTGTACATTAAAAAAAAATCTTCCAAATCTATGTTCCAGCCTGAACAACTACACCGCAGTCATCGCCGTTGCAGCATTCCCATTTATTGATCCTCTGGCGATTATTCTACTTCTTCCGGACTACCGTAACGCCTTCTTCAAAATCTTTGCACCTTGTATGCTTCGTCCATCAAAAACCAATCCAGAAACTACTGCTGGAGAAAGCTCGAAGATTTGAAGTTATTGCTACTCAAAGAAAATAAAATCTCCCTTGATTTTTTAACTCATTTTAACTATTTTTCCGAATCTCCCATTCCCACTAGTCAGAACAATTTTCTTCACGAATATCTAACCAAACTTTGAAATCTTTTGTACTTTGTAGAAATGTAAATAAACAAATGAATGCCAGAAGAAATGGTTTATTTCTCACACAAAATGGTGCTAATACTAATTGGCAATGTTTTTGTAAGGTTTTTCTCAATCTCTGGAATTTGGGGGTCCATCGATTAGTTTGAGAATCGGTGTCTGCGTTGTGGGTATCTGGAAATTATTAAGATTGGAAAAGGAAAACAAGTAACGGTTTACTCACGCTGGGCTTTCGCCTCCTCCTCCTCCAACGACGGCGGCGTCTCCACCTCCTCCTGCTCCGACAGCTCCGCTTCTTGGTGGGCATGGGCAGTAGGCGGCATCGCTTCCTGGGGCTCCATCGGATCCTGGTCCTCCTGGTTGTCCGTCAGATCCAGCTCCTCCTGGGTTTCCGGCTGGTCCTGGTGGTCCGGCTGGTCCAGCTGGTCCTGGTCCGCTTCCTCCTCCTGGAGCTCCGTCGGTTCCTGGTGGTCCTGGTGGTCCGGCTGGTCCGGCTGGTCCTGGAGAGCTGCTAGAGCGGGTTCCTGGGGCTCCTGGGGCTCCATCGTTTCCTGGTGCTCCTGGTTGTCCGTCTGGTCCTGCTGGTCCTGGTCCTCCAGCTGGTCCTGGGGCTCCAGCTCCTCCTCCTTGTCCATCCTGTCCTGGGTTTCCGGCTGGTCCAGCTGGTCCAGCAGATCCATCTGGTCCTGGTGGTCCTGGTGGTCCGGCTGGGCAGGTGATGCATGCGGAAGCAGAAGAGTGCTGCTCGGCAACTCCAGCTCCTCCAGCTTGTCCGTCTTGTCCTGGTGTTCCTGGTTCTCCTGGGGCTCCGTCTTGTCCTGGGGCTCCTGGTGGTCCAGCTGGGCATCCAGAGGCCTGGGCGGCACACTGGCATCCTCCACCTCCTCCAGAAGCAGTAGCATACTGTCTACGAACTCTTCCAGTGATTTGTTCGAAACGGAATCCTGGTGAGTTTCCAGTGCGAACCATCACTCCCCAAGCGTCGTCAGCATACTGCTTGAAGTTGCTCAAATCGGTGAGCACCTCATCTTGGAAGCTGCTGATGTCGGTCATCACATGGATGGCCGAGAAGATGGCGGTGAGAGCTGCCAAGGCAGAAGCGCTTGTCACGACGAATAAGAGAACTTGGATGTGGCCCATTCTGAAATTTGTATTCAAAATTTTCAGAGGAAAAGAAGGAATAGAAATAACTAGTGAAAGAATGTAGAACAGTTGGTATGTCTTTTCTGAGAATTTCTTCATTTTTATACTGATTGTTTCATGTAGTGTGACCATACTGGTTTTGATCATAGACGACATAAGAACATCTGATATGATAGTGGTAACCAGAACTTGTCTTTTACATAGTATCGTTTGGATGGAGAACAAGTTCCCACTTCTTGAACTTTTAAACGATATCAGATGGAAAATAATGTTTCTTTTTTTTTCATAAAACATTTATTACAGTTGATGAGATCAAAAATAAACAGTATGTTTAAAAAACCTTTTAAAAACAAAAATAAATAGAGATCAAGAGATATTCGAGATTCGATATTTCAGCACCGCCCGTTTTCACTTGATAGCTTCGAATTTTCATGGAATTGATGTTGGCGAAAGAATCGTTGTGCTCAATGGAACCCTATCATTACTCATTTCAAGAACTTGGAATGATCTACTGTGCTCCTGTTGTAGTGTCGTCTTCTCTCGCAATTTTCTGCAAAATGGATGAATTGAAAGAAAAAGAAGAAAAGGATTACAAACCTGGAGCTTCTTGTGATGTTTTGTCGGAGAAAATACATGTTCACAGGTACTAATGGAAATTGCAAGAGGTAAAGAATGTATACAGCTGCGTCCGCCTGAAATAAATTATTTTAAACCAGCAAGCTAGTGCGCCTTCGGCGCGAATCAATCTAGTTTTTCACTGATTCGTAGCTCAGCTCCTCAATTATTTTCAAAAGGTCAAGTAAACTTATATTAATTTTTCAAGCTTTTCAAAAGTTTACAGACTGACACCGGGACGGACAGACGCCTCTAGCGTTTTATTTATAAGGAAGATGGCACTTTTCGTAAGTGCTCACCTGGAGAAACACTCGTCGAACAGATATATCTTCATGAACTCTCAACTTGTAAAACTCATCGATCAACTGAAAACATTTCTTTTTTATGAGTTTATCAGCTATGTTTGGTTACCTGAAGAACATAATTAGGGAGATTTAGGACAAGAGTGAATGTCGCCGACACCAGACATCGTTTAATAGCAATGATCCTCCGTTTTTCGGCATACTGAAACCATAATGTGGTTATTCATGTTTTGCTTTTAAGACACACGAAGTACATTTTTTCGCATGTATGAATACCGTAAACACTCGATCCATCCAAACCGTCAACTTTGAGCCGATATATCCCCTTTCATGTAAAAGATATCAAAAAGCTGTCAACTGACAAAATGTTAATCATAACATCAAAAATATTTTGTCAGTTTACATATTTTTAATGTCTTTTACAGAAATTGAGATAAACGAGCTCAAAGTTGGCGGTATGAGTGAGAGGGTTCACAGTAGGTTCGAAAACACAGAAGTACACATTTTCTGTCATGATAGCGTATGTTGCTTAAAGAACTAAAAATTCAGTTTACCTCCAAATTCAATCTCGAGACAATTTTCATGTTATCACTTCTATTGTTACTTCTCAAATCATCTGCGGAAATCAGTTTGAATGGGGTCTGCCATGGAACTTTCGAGACCAAAACGGAGATGTCTGCGAGCACAGTGAGCATGAATGGGATGAAAAATGTGATAGTACTTTCCACGAGGACTATGATTTTTGATGAACTGAAAAGCTTATGTCAGTTGTGAAGAAATGTTCAAATTCACCTGCTAAAATACGGATGCTCTGCACAATACGTGCCAGAAGTGCCGTTTTCGTGATTGACATGACGCTCGGTTATTGTGATTGGAGCCCAAATTTGGCATACACATGATAGACCGAGAATTCTAAACAACAAAAAATTAGAAGTATTTAATCGCAGATTACCAACATTAAGAGTGTGTTCCACGAGCTTCGAGGGAGCTTTCTTCTTGATCGAAGTGGAAAAAATACATGGATAAATCTTTGAGCGTACATTCCGACCCATGTCCAATGAATGAAACATGAAGCGCTGTTGACGACGAAAGTTGAGATTTTGCAGATTAGGTATCCGGGGAAGTAATCTGGAAATGGAAAATATTTAGAATTTATAACATAGTGAATCAAACTTACAGTAGACAATATGAACATTTTCTGCTACTACCATTGTGAAAATTGTAGATAACAAGACAAAGTTTCCACTAATTATTCCACACATATATGGAAAATATTGGGAATTCCTATGGGGTCGAATCAGTGCCAAAATCAGTACTAGTACCGGAAGAGTGAACGAAGTGACAGCAATTATTGAGTAAAACAAAAGGCGAGATGAGAAATTCCATTCGCGAAAGAACTGTTGTTGCAAGAGTTCAGACGCATTCATTTTGCTGAAAATATGAGGGAAAATGAAGAAAAGTTTGGTCGGAGTACTGCAAAAAAGAAGAAGGAGAAGCTAAAGAAGAGAGAAATATGAGGGAAGAAAAAAGCTCTAATTGATCTATCTATTCTTGTCTCAAATTAGGAATTAGAGAAGACATCCGATGGTCATTGGCTAGAAAAAATATTGAAATAGGAGAATGAGGAAGAAACCGACGAGATGAAGATGTTTGTTTCGGAATTAGCTCAATTTATATAAGGATTATAAGTACGCATATTTATAAGGAGATAAACATGATCGTTGATGGGGAAAGGTTAAACATATTGGAAGGAAAATTGAAGAGTTACAATTGAAATAAGTGGTGAGCAGAGAGTATTTTTCCGAGAAACGAAATCCCAAATACGGAAACCGGACTAAAATAATTTTTAAGGGATCCGGAATAAAATTAATCTCTCGGAGTTTGGATTGTTAATCCTGAATCCGGAATCTGATATCCGGAACATGAAATCACGGAATTTTAAATCTGAAATCCCGAATACGGAATCCGGAATTCGGAATCCAGAATTAGAAATACGGAATCCGGAATCCGGAAATTCCGGTTGACGAAGATATTTTTGACGAATTGTAAAACCAAAATTACAAAGTTTTAAGAAAATTTTTACAGATAAGCAGAATAAAAAATTTAGGATTGAGATGGTTTACTCATATCATAAAAAATACTTTCGAGGATAGTTTGCTTTTGAAAATGGACATATACCGTATTTCCTCTAATAGAAGCCGAATCGAATAGTGAAAGTTCACTTCAGTTATCTCGATTTCTATTGAAGATATCAACATATTTTTAACTGATAAAATATTGATGATGTTATTTTATCAGTTGACAGATTTTTTTATGTTTTTCATAGGAGTCGAGATAATTTATCTCAAAGTTGTCCGTTTTGTCAGTTTTATTAGAGGAAATACGGTGACATCATACTGATCTACGAATAAAAAATTACGGAACCTAATGTTTTGCTATCCCATTTTTTGCAAAATATAATCAATAAATGAATCGAACATTTCAAAGAATATCCATCCTTTTCGTCATATTCCTTGGTTTTCTCAAAAATTGAACAAGTGAGTGATGAAATTATTCATTCGTTTTTTCTCTTCTCTTCTTTTCACGAAGCCGATTTTGTACCTTCTTTTCCTCATCTCCAGCAGATTAACACGCTATGAATTTGGATGAGTGAAGAGATGAATATATGAAAACAGCACGTTCCTTTTCACACATATTTTTCAGACAAAAAAAGTTTTCAAGACGACGAAATGAAGAATAGAAAAGAAAAACATGTTAAAATATTCTGACTCTAAAAACTCTCAAAACTCTCAAAAACGACAGAAGAAATTTAACAAAAGAGTGATTTATATTGTGGAAAACATTCTGGAAAAAAAAAGAAATTTAAACAAACATCATCCTAAATAAAAAGTATATCGTTTTTCAGCTGCATTTCCTATGACAACCTGCAGCTTCAATTTCGATTCTCGTAGACCAGTTTGACATGTACAAACTTTTTTTTTTAGTTCCTGATCTTTTTTAGCTCTTTTTAAGTGACGTCAAATGAATGGAGAGAGGGATAGAGAGACTTTTTCCTCATTCAATTTTTTGCTCTGGAAACAAAACGAATAGAAGAACAAAAAATGTCCGGGGAATGTCCGGTTAAATGTGGGAGCTGTGCTGCGCTTCATTGAGCAAACTACGAGGATTTGGAATTAGGAATTTTTGTGTTGCATTCTTCTTCCAGAAATCATTAGGAGTTCAAGTTTAAGGAAATGTGTGCCTAAAGAAAAATTTTACGGAAAATAAGAATAAGTACTGTACCGGTCAATAAATATACAAACAAAAACGTATTTCTCAGTTGATTAAAAAACTTATTTTTTCAGTAGATTTTCGACAATTTTGGTCATTTTCAGGAATCTGGAGCTCGGCTGTCAAGTGTCGGATCACTTTGAAAACTTTAGAGACTGTAAAATAGACCTAGATTGAAAAATTTGCATTAACATGATTCTCGAAATTTCCGAGTTTTTCAGCTATTGGCCAATATCTGAAAGACGACCTTTTTTGCGGTGTTCAGTACAAAAACGGGAGGAAAAGGCCAAAAATCCACTGAAAAATACGTTATTGAGCGGTACTGTATGTAAAAAATTTGAGTCACTGCTATGAATTTAATGTATTACGTATTAAAATAGTTTGAGAAGGATCTTATGATAAGACGAAAATCCGGTAAAAAATTCCGCTACAAAATCCGGTACAGTGACTCTATAGTGATGTGGGATCGAATGTGGAATTTCTAGAAGTTTAATCGGCTTCACTAGCAATTTAAGCGATTCAAATTAAAAGAAATTTTCAGATGCCAGAATAGAAGTTATGTGAATGTTCCGGAGATGGAACAGTATGGAACATTGAAAAGTTTTTAAAACAGTTCCAGGATAGTTTTTCTCCGGTTCAGTTTGATTTTCGAACGTTATGTTTCGCACAGTTACACAAAAAAATCAGTTCTGGATAAGAAAAATTTAGCTCACAGAATAATACTAGAAATAGTTTTTCCCGCTCGTATCGATCCCATCATAAAACTTATGACCGAATATCATGCAATAAAAGTGTATGATCCATGAAATAAGATAGATTCCTAATGAGGTGTGGAGCAAAAAAAAGATATGAAAACTTGTAAGAAAAAGAAAAAAATAGATGAAGAAGACTTGTGACGAGTAGAATTGAACAATGCCTAATTACATATTCCTCATTTTCATTTCATATGCTGATTTCGATTGGGAAAGGAACTGTGTTGAGTCATGAAAACAAAATAGAGACATTTTTGAAATTTTTTGAGACAACGTATTACTAATGAGCAGAATATTAATCGGAAGAGGAAAATTAAGGTCAACTTCCAAGAACATTTTTAAGTTTCAATCTCAGAAATGAGTTCTTTGAACACTCATCTTGGATTAACTTAAAAGGAAATTAAGTACAATTTTCTTTGTTTTGAAATTCTCCGAACTCGAAAACGCGTTTTGTACTGGCGAAGAACTGAAACTCAAAAAAAAAAAGTATTTAAAATTTTTTTAACAGAATGTAGGAGGATTCCGAGAAAACTCCTGGACCTTTCAAAACAAATATATAACTTATCTTGCTAACAACAACTCTAAGCTGTCATTTAGTTTTTAGTTCTAATTGACATTGTTAGCACGAGCAAATAGTCAACATTATTCTTGGAAAGTCGTGAGAGGAGGTTGTATTCTATAACCTGTGGTATTAAAAAAGGAGTATGAGATGTGTCGACGTATGCAGATCAGTTCAGTCTGATCAAAATAATTCAGTTTTTGATAATATAATTTTCCCAGAAAATGCAGGATTGGTTTGTCGACCAGATTTTTCTACAAGATCAGATGCACTAGACTATTTTTAGAAGGAGCGTCTTTTGTGATTTTGCAGAAAATGAAGCTATCTAAAAAAATATATTTTAGTTTCATGAAATTGCCAGAAAAAGAACTGAGAAACCGATCCCAAAAATAACTAAAGTAAAAACTGTGAAAGAAAGCCCCTAACTTAACTTTGAGCGAATTGACCTTGGTTCATATTAAAGATCTAAAAAGTTTTCAACTAATAAATGCTTCATCATAGTATTACAAACATTTTATCAGTTGGCCCATCTTTGGTATCTCTTATACAGGGTGACAAGAAATTATGGGAACATAGTTTGCTCTGCTGCGAATGGGTTACTGTGGCTCCGATTAGAGATCTTTTGTTTTATTTTAATTCATATGAACGTTTTCTATTATTCTGCAAAAAATCTTGTCATATTTTCAATTTAGAAGAAAGTTATGAATGCGAGTCCGCAGCGTGCCATAATCCTTAATTTATCTGCAACTGGTAGGCCTGATGCCGATGTCTTTAAATTGCCCTAATTTCACCAAAGTTAGGTAACTAAAGTGTTAGAGAAAGGTGAAATATCTGGCAAATATGGGCGCAAAAGGAAAAAGTCGGTTGGCAAAAATTAACTTTGCTAGAAGATCAGAAATGGGATCAGTCGCGAAAATCAGAAATTTATGATAAAACTCGCGAGAGAGCTGGGAACAAATCGTGAAACTGTTCGAAACATGGCAAAAAACCGTCTTCTTTCATGCTCTTACAATATCAAAATTCTCATTCTTTTAATGAAAAATCCAAACCGAGCCGGTATGAAAGAGCACTTCGCCATAGTCAATTGGTCGCGGCTTACGAAATTTCGAAAGTGGGGGTACTGGAAGGGACGCCAAACTTTCAAAATGATTGTCAACGGTTCTCTAACATTATGATTAGTTTTCCTATGACAATTTCTAACGAAAAATGACATTTCCCTGTTTCTATGATGGTATGGGCCGCCGTCACATCAGCTAGAAAGACTAGTTTGATTTTTGTTGGAAAATGAGCCTAAATCGATGAAAATTATTATCGGGAAGACAATATCAACATAAAACTGATTTTGATAGCTCTTTCACACATTGCTGGTAGTTACGGAACATTCCAACAAGACTAGGCCTCGGTCCATGGGCCGAAATCAACAAATGGGCTATGCCAAGCAAAATTCTAGAAATCTCCACAAAGGATTTGAGGCTCTGTAACTCCCCTGTTCTGAACTGCTCGATCATTCTTTTTGGTCCGTATTAGAGCCACATATTGATAGAAGAAATTTGAGATATGTTGAAGGCTTGAAGAAAGAATTGGTCCTAGCTTGGGCCATGAGAACTCTAAAAACCACGCGGCAAAGCCCACTAATTTTCCGAAGGGTCTGAAGGCCGCCCGTCCCCGGAAAGGAGGTCAATTCAAGAACTTTTTATAAAATTATATACCCAGTCATAGAGTTGTTGTTCAATAAAAAAATTGTTAAGATATCTCTGGTTTGAAAGTTTTTATGTCGCCTTAAGTGTGTTCCCATAATTACTTGTCGCCCTGTAGAAGCCGAGACAATCGAGTTCAAACTTGAAATTGTGGAGCCCTTCAATTGGAGGTTTTACGGTAGTTGTATTATACGGCATAGGACTTATACCTGCTGAGAATATACTTCACAACGCAATATATGGATTTTGAAATTTGGTGTGCGAAAAAGTATGAAAAATGTCGCTGAGCACTTTAAGACACTTTTTCAATTACCGGATTCACCTGCCCAACCAGTGGTTTGCTGCTTTCCCACATCAAGGAAACAAATTCTCTACTTGTCCCCTTTAAAATCTCAAAAATCCAGAAAAAGTGATTCGTTCAGTCAAAAAAGCGATGTTCGTCTCCCTTCTTCTCAAAGTTTATCTACAGAGTCTCGAGAGAGAAATTCATTTCAAAGTGGGGAAAGTGAAAAGTCAAAAAAGGAAACATCTTCTACAAAACTACTAGTGGTCGAAAAAGGAAGAAAACGTGTGAAATCGAGTCAAGAACCCGAAAAAAAGAAGATTTGAACTGGCGTGCTTCAAGGGGTTTTTGGTGGTCCTTTCCACAGAAATTTTGAGAAAATGGGAAGAAGATGGACAAGAAGAAGAAGTAGGAGATGGAGAAAAAAGAGAAAGACTAAACGGAGGGTTCTGGAGGAAGAAAGAATGGGTTGAGCACAAAAATAATAATAATTGTTGGAGCAGGCTGAACACCTTTTTTGTTTTTGGCATAGAATATTTAGAAAAAATGGGGAGTAGAAAGGGTTTTACGCCATCTGAGAACTTTGAGGTATCAAATGGATATGTACGTAGATTCTGATAATTGAGTTTATGTGTATGTCAAAAAGTGGTTGCTTTGAAGTGTGAAAAGACACGAGAGGACAAACTTTCATAACATTCGTCTTTTAAGATTCTAGTATTCTTATTCAGGAAAATATCAGTTGAATTTCTAATTTTCACAAACCGGAAAATAATCTCAAACTTATGGCCCATAAACTTTCAAAACATACTGATATTCCAAATGTTACAAAATATACATCCGTAAAACATTTAATACCGTAAAACCAGGACCGCCACACTGTCAAGTTTGAGCTCAATTACCTCAATTCTTATGCATGATATCGAAAAGTACTAAACTGATAAACTTGTTATCATAATATGAAAAAAATTGAAAAAAAATGAAAATGGAAATGCTGAACAAAAAGAAGAGATGATGTTGAGCAGAGAACTAGAATAAGCTCAATGAAAAATATAAATGGGCCTGCTATAAACAGTCATTAATATATGCAAACAGAGTCATTTAGCTACGAGTTTCGAATGAGATCATCTAATGCGTGCGTGCAATATCCGGAATCAATTTGATACATTTTTCACAACCGCCAATGAGAAAAAAGGATAAGTTTGTAGTACATTGAAAATGATGGAGTATATATTTAGAAGAGTTTTTATAACTTTTTTCTTCTTCTTCTTCTTCCTACTCTTTTTTGCTCGTTGACTCACAATTTTCCAAAACGGGGTCAAACGGAAATTGGAAGCCAATAAAATCGAGAATCAAATTTTGCTCCTTTTCGATCTGCTGTGCCCGAATATTCATCTTTTAATGGAACGCTCATTGAATTCTGTGGTTTTGTGGGGTCACAATTCTCAAAGGTTCGAACATTTTCTGATCATCTTTTTTCTTGAGAGCTGCTGTTTTGAAATTGAGAAGTTTATATTGTTAAAATGTTTTTTGAAAAAAAGAACGAAGAAAAAAGAGGAAGACGTCGTCATTTTCATCATTTGAGGAAAAAAAAAGAGAAAAAAGGAAACGAGTGGGTTGAGTTGAATGGAATTTCCCGTTAATCCTGGACAACCACGAAAGGACTTTCTAATTAATTTATTTCCAGTTGCAGTAGTACATCTTCGAAACATTTTCACTACGATCCCTATAAGGATTTAGAAATGTTCAAACCACAAAGACTAAAAAGAAATTGCCTAGTTAAAAAAGGAAAATGAACATCTAAAACACATTTTGTGAGAATTCATGCATTTTAAAGAACGCTAACTTCGGAATGTTGATAAATTTTTGTCAGTATTATTCTGGTACAAAAATGGGAGCTCCGGAAGAGAAACTCCGGCAACTGGCCGAAGGTCCCACAACGACAACTACCGTAACCAAGAATATTTTTTTTTCATCATTTGTTATCTCGATTTTCTTCCGTTTTCAGTCAATTTTTTTTACATTCAAAAATGGTTCTTTTCCAGGTTTCATCTTGAAAAAAATAACAAAAACTCGATGAAAAAAGAAATTTCTGAAAAATATTTGGTCTTTCTCAGTTTCTGTTTTCTGACGCAACTTCTTTTAAAACAAACATGAAGGTTTCTAATCTAGGACGTCTACACAATCATCAAGAACCTTCTAGAATGATAGATCGAGTTTATGACACGCAAAGGACGTTCATAACTGGAGTTGTGCTTCAACACATCAGATGCGAATTTTATTTGCAAAAAAAAATAATAAAAAAGAACAACAGAAACATTATTAATTAACAAGAAAGTGAGAGTGAAGTTATGCGGCTGACGAAGCATCAAGAGTCTTGCTCATGTAGGGACCATCCAATTCATAACCAAGCTTGCGGTAGTAGTCGCGGGTTCCAACTCCCGAGATGACTGCAATCTTATCTGATTCATGTTCTTCTCTTGCTATCCTTTCAGCTTCTTCCATCAACAGTGATCCGTATCCTTGGTGTTGGAACTTCTTGGGATCCCGGTCGGCTACCGAGACAACTGATCCATATACGTGAAGCTCACGGACTACAGACACATTACCCTGGAATATTACCATAGAAGCTGTACAAAGATATAGGTTTACCTTCAACTCTGCTCTATGAGCTTTATCAGAGATTTTTCTCAATCGAAGCAATCCAATGAGAATATCTTGTTTTGGATCTTCATACGAAATGAATGTCTCCCATCCACCGTTAGCCGTATAATCTCTTCGGATCAATTCGACGTCTTCGGGGCGAACTTTGTTGTGAATTTCCTGAATTCCAACTTCTCTTGTTCGAACATCCCGACATTTCAATCCAAGCTCCTTCATCTTTGCCATTGCATGCTCTCGGAGATTTCCATGTTCAACACCTAATAGATAACTTTCTCATATTTACACCACAAAAAAACCAAACCTGATGAAACCAATGGCATTGGAATGTCTCTTTGCACACGATAAACACGCGTCCATGGAGGAACCAATGATAGAATAGTTGCGATTAGATCAACAAGCACTGATGGTGGATAACTTTGATATCTTCCAGTTTTCCACAGCTCGTACAATCCTGTTCCACGAATCACTAACGTTGGATAAAGTTTCAAGCCATCCGGACGGAATGCTGGACTTTCAAACAACTCCAAAAATTGCTCTTTGTCTCTTTCCAATCCAACATTAGGTAAATCAGGCATCATGTGGATTACAACTTTGTATCCAGTGTCTTTTGCCATATGGAAGGTTTCACAAACTGATTTAACGGTATGACCTCGATTTGTATCCCTTGCCACGTCTTCATATGTTGACTGAACACCGATTTCCAGGCGTGTACATCCGTACAGAAGCATATCATTCAGATGACGTGGGAGACAGTAGTCTGGCCTGGTTTCAATGGTAATTCCAATGCACTTCATTTTGGATCTCTCGGAGTAGGCAACCGCTTCTTCAACTGAAGCAGAAGTATGTCCACTGAGAGCATCATGGAGATTGCGAATAAAGAAATCTCGGTAATCCTCTGGTAGTGACATGAATGTTCCTCCCATCACGATGAACTCGACCTTGTCGACAGAATGACCTAGTTGCATCAACTGATTCAATCTTCCACGTGTTTGCAAATACGGATTATATCTTGCTCGGATGGCTCTCATGCTTGTTGGCTCGTAACCAGTATAACTTTGTGTAGAGTACTCAAAGTCAGAATCTGGGCCTCCTGGACAATAAACGCAAATGTTTCCAGTGAAATTGATATGCGGACAACGATGTGGTTTGCTCATCACTGCAACAACTGCGATTCCAGAAGCTGTTCGAACTGGTTTTGCCTTAAGTTTTGGTAGAAGAGTATCCTTGTAGTCCGCTGGAACTCCAGCAATGATATCTACCAGTTTTGGTTGGAAGCTGAGTCCATTTTTCTGTGCAACCTGAAAATTAATTAAAATTAATGGGATTTATCGGAGCAGATCACTCACAATACATTTTAGCCGATTCAAGTTCACATCTTTTTTCTGGTTATGAGCTTCAATAAGAAGTTTGACGATTTCATTGACCGTTTGAGCCAGCAATGCTCGCTGTGAACCTTTGTCGTCCATCTGACAGTCGAAAATTGGTTGTAGTCTATTTCAAGTTCCAGATATGATTCGGGCACTTTGCCGATATTATAATTTAAAAAGCTACAGTTAAAAACCAGAAAAGTGTATTGAACTTAAAACCGAATCGTATGAATCGCGTTTTGAAAACTTTGACATGAATTGAAACGATAAATATATGAACAAGGAAAGTTTCAGTAAAGCGGTACACATATGGACAGCAGTAGTGAGATACGATGAGAACAGGGTCACTGGGTGACAGAAATGATAATACTGAACGGGGAATATCACTATGTTGAATTCATTATATTACAGATAAATCAAATTTAGAAGCAACCAACGTATAAAAAGACAGGATATATAAAGAATAGTTCAAGAGAGGGACAGGATGGTGTCTGCAGATGGAATCGAAGAAATACTTTGAATTCCGTTCTTTTTCAATTCATCGAGATTGTTGAACACGAACTGATCCATCAGATAGTGCATCGCATCGCGAACATCGGAAACTTGGCCCTTGAGCATTTCTATGTAAGCGAATCTCATTTTGATTTTTTTGAGATCTGCCATAGCAATACGTAATTCGGCAACCACCTCGTCTTGATACTGATATGTGTCACTACACATGACATCAAGTTGGAGAGGTGTCAAGTCACTACGAGCACTTCTCAATTGACGTTTCTTGTTACGACGACCGATCCATGACTTGGCCTGAGCACAGAAGATCACACCCTGAAATTAAATTCTCGAAATCTCAAATTTTGCTCTTCTACGTACCCCAGTATTGAACAAGTCGAAGCTACTTGGTCCCTGATAGTTAGGGCTCACATCGAAACGTAGAATTCTTGTAAGCAACAACATCAAATCTTCCGAGGTTTCTATAACCATTGGAAGTTGCACCGACATGTAGTGCACTTCCCGTCCTTCGACCATCTTCGTCGTCACACTGATTGTCGATTCACGTCCAGTCATCATACTCAAGGCAACTTGGTTCGTTTCAAGCAAGAAATTTACCTTGAAATTTTTCTGCTTCAACTGAAAAAAGGGAAGTGTGAATTTCAATTGACCAAAATAGTTGTTTTCTTACAATGAACAGTGTGTTTCGAATGAGACCATTCAACAGCTTCACCGCTTCTTCTGTGACGTTTCCGGAAATGTTATGAGTGCAATCCATTGGATCCATCATCATCAACGGGGACATCTTTGCGCCATGCACATTGATCATTGTTGTTCTGTGAAAACCCATAGTGAGAAAACTCTGACCTCCGTTAAAAGCCTTACTTTAACATAGCTTGTTTTCCGTAAATCGCTTTAGTCGAGAAATCAAAACTGGCATAATACTTGAAAAACTCGCTCAAAAACTTGGTGTGATCCGTAAACAATGTGTCAAAATTGTATTCATCGACTCTGGCTCCGAATCTTGCTTGTGGATGAACGAGAATTTTGTCAGCAGTCGCTTGTACAAAATGAATTATGAGTTGATTGAAAATGTAGGAATTGAGGTTAGTTCGTGTTTCCAATTTCTCGTCCTAAAAATCATAAAATATCTCAACGAAAATATGAAATTCGTTTTACCGAGTATGCTCCTGGTAGCAACTTGTTCGATCTTGCCCAGTGAACAACGAACAACATTGCATTTTTCATTTTGTTATGGACCGATTTGTCTTTCATAACAAACTCGTCAAGCAGATTCGCTTTGTCGACACCACTCTGATTGCATATTGAAACATCGTAAGACACCTGAATTTCGAAGAATTTTTAAGTAGAAATTATCTTATACAAAGTTACATTCAATCCGTCTGCTGAGATAGTCTTGAAAACTAAAAGCGGGGTTCGAGCCGGCACATATTTGATTTCAAACTTGTTTTTGAAGACTTCGTTCTCTATGAAACAGCGGTAGAGAAGCTTGATGGTTTCTTCTTTGGGGTACTCTGTTAGTTCAGCTTTTGTCAGAGGATGATCAACGAGACACTGAAAACAACACTTGTATTTTTGAAGTCGAATACAAGAAGATGGAAAATCATTTTCCGGTGACTGGAAAACAGATTCTTTTCGTTAATCTGATTTCTCAGCATCAATTTATATATGAGAAAAATCCTCCTGATTATTCAGCAAACCGTTTTACAGACATCGGAATATGGTTATCTGATTCCAAAAAACTCGACAAAAGAACTTACCTTTGGATACGCGGAAACTTGTTTCAGATGCCTAGGATTCAGCTGTCTATCCCCTGGTTGGGTGACAGAATCGACATTAATGTCCTGAACAAGAACTATGAATTATTTCAATAATGTTAAATTTAACCTACAATATCAGAGAATCCAGTTCGGCGCACTTTAGATGTAAAAGATCCAAACATTTCACATTTTGCATTCTCTATGAGTTCAGAGAGTCCGCGTTTAATCAGATTGAACCCATTTTCAATAATCTCGAGCCTCTCCGGAAGTTCTAAACGGATTGTGATCACAAGCAAATCCAGAATTTCCGAATTGTTGAAATGCTCTTGCGATATTTTCATGAAATCGACTCCATCCTTCAAACGAATGCCATTAGTTCCAATGAGTGTGTTCATATGTATCGTTGTCTGAAAAAATATCTTACTGAAAAACCCTTTCGACGAATATACTGACACTATTGATTCCGAAACCCTTCTTCTCTGAGTCAGCAGAAATTCGTTTCGCTTCCTCAATAGAAGTCATCGGAAGGATTATGAACTGATCAGTATGTCTAGGTGTTGGCGAGTACCCAATTCGGTCCTGAAGATAATTACATTGAAAAAAATCAGCAAAATATAATCACCTTATTCCCCAGTTTGTATCCGACAGACTCGATAAAACTAACGATGGTTCTCGGGCTGGGTACGACTGTTGATCTATCACCTGCGTTCCATCGGACAACAACGACATGTCGACAGTCATAATTGTTAATCAAATCACTTTCAAATGACATTTTTTGGCATAACTGGCAACGATCTGAAAATGAAGTTTTGTGACTGTGTACAGCTCTGGCAGTGCTGTTAATGCTTGAGAAAAAATAAAAAGAAAAATATGAGCTTAATTATTACATTTCGAAATTTCGAAAACATGCATTATGAAACAAGCTTAAAAAATGCAACAAAACTGGAGAAAAAACAGTGTGCTAAACAAGGCGCACCCGTTATTTCGGAGTGTCGTTCCGAGCGGGAGTTCAAAAAAACTTTTTTCATGTTTGAAGTAGAGCTCTTTCTTCTCGACTGGCCTTTTCTAGTGAATTCTAGTGAGAGAAATTGGAAAAAAAAATAAGATTCGATCTAGATTGATCGCACATTCCATCCATGGTGCAAGTAAACGACGAGCAGGATCATTCTGAAGTTTCAAAGTGTTCCTCTATTTTTATCATGAACATCGAAAGGTCTATTTACTATTAAACTTATTTGACTAAATATGATCCTTACTAAATCGTATGCAGGAAATATTAGATTTTCTGATATTTATCGCATCACTTTAAGAGATGCTTTCCATCCGGTGTCGAGTCCGTCTACAGTCGAAAAAACAAACGGAAATTCGGCTTCGATTTCTTTCTCGAAAATCGGTTAGGACAACCATGTATAACACGAATCGGAAGTTTGGATAACTATATAAAAGCTTTAAATTGGGGGTTTTTTCCTTAAAAATGTTCCTTTTAATTCTATCGGTCCTCCACACAGTTCTTGCCTTTCTTGGTATCATTTTCAATGCTATTTTTGTCTATTTGACAGTATTTTACAGTCCTAAATCAATTGGAACATTCTCTATTCTATTGACTGTAAGAGGATGGGTAGATGGTTTTGCCTGCTTATTTGATATATTTAGTCAGTCCAGGTTAGTATGATATTTTTCTGTTCAACAAAAAACAATAATTTCAGACCGATTCCGAGTGGGTTGACACTTGGAATAGCGTCCACTGGAATATGCAAATATCTGAATGATTGGTCTTGTTTTTTGGGTTACGGTCTTCAACTACATTTCCATAGTTTCTCATTCCATCTACTTATTCTTTGCTTCCTATTTCGTTACTATGTACTCCTAGAACGATATCCAAAATCCAAACAACTCATTTTTATCATTGTCTTGATATACTTCCCCTCATTCTTCCAAGTACTTTTTGTGCTTATTGACAATAACAAACCAGAAGATGTTCGTCTTCTGGTTCAGATCCATCATCCAGACTATCAACTGAAGGATGTTGTCGTGAACGGGCATGTTGATCTACGAGACTTCCCATGCTTATTTTCATATCTTCTAATGCTGATTCCAATCATTCCCGGATGTATATTAATTCATGTTCTCCGTCGGAAGATTCATTCCAAATTAAGAAATGCAATATTAAGGCCGGAAATCAGAGAAAAGCATAGACAACTAACACTGGTAAGACTACTATAAAGTGAATACAGGACCGGTCAATGAGAAATACAAAAACCAAGTTTGCAGTTGATTTTAACCGTTTTCAGGAGTCTGGAGCTCGTCTGCCAAGTTTCCAATCACTTTGAAAAGTTTGGAGAGTGTAAAACAGACCCAGACTGAGGACTTTGAATTCAAAGAAATTTCTGAAAATTCCTAGTTTTTCAGATATTTGCCGAGGGAAAGACCCTTTTTGTCAGTTTTTCACTGAAAATGTGAAAAAAACAGGTGTCTTTCAGAAATCGGCAAATAACTGAAAAACTGGGAATTTTCAAAAATTCTGTGAGTGCTAATATTTCAATCTATAGATGACGTCTGTTTTACACCCTCCGAAATTTTCAAAGTGATCGGAAACTTGACAGCCGAGCTCCAGACTCCTGAAAATGGGCACAATTGCCAAAAATCAACTGAAACATGTTTTTGTGAATCTTATTTACTGGTACTCTGAACTTTCAAAAATTCAAAAATTGCAGGCTCTCACAGTCCAAACAGTCATTCCAGTTGCTTTTGTGTTCTCCACAATTTCATTTCTTCTGTCTCAAACTAAATTAATCGAATCTCCGGTTATGGAAAGCTTCACATTGCTCTTTGCTGTAATTGTACCGGTAATCAATCCTCTGTTATCAATTGCTCTAATCAAACCATATCGTGATACCGTGATGAGAGCTGTGGGCCTGGATCCAAAAGAATGGCAATTCATGTCTAGAGACTGCTCAGTTGCCCCAGGAGATGCCTCTTCTTCAATGTTCGGATCCTTTGATAATTCTTCTGTTGCATCTGTTACCTCTATGACTTCTAAATTTACGATGACTCAAGAAATCAATCCGTTTGAATAACTTTTGCCGTCTCAATGATAATTCACAACAGCAAATCTTTTTTTTCTGAATTTAGCACACCACTAACCAAATATAACACCAGAAGTCTGACTTTTGAAATAGTTCATCAGCTGTTCAAACTTGAATGAATCAATCACGAAATATATATTTTATTGGAAAACTGATGACAGAATTATTTACATTAATCAAAACAAAACGAAATAAGGACACTTAAGAATTGGGTAAAAAGGTCGTTTTGAAGTTCGTTTTTAGATGATGAGCGGGCGGAATGAGAGAATTTGGGTCAATGTAGTTGGAAAGGCCAGATAAATTTCAGAGAGCCAGATGATGACCTGAGCACAATATACGGAAAAACAGAAGGATTTAGTTCTTGAAGAAGTAAACGGCCAAAAGGGTCAGAATAGATACGGTGAGCTTGGCGAGAGAGGAGGAGTTGCAGAGTTCACCACGGCAGCAGCAGGCCTTATCGGTGTTGGTTCCGACACATCCGTTTTGCTGAAAATTAAAATTTTGAAGAGGTCGATTGAAATAAACTGGATTCCAAAAAAATATATCAAATATCATATTGGGGAAACAAATAGGAAAAATCTTACAATGCAAAGGTTTGAGGATCCACAAGCTCTTCCTTCAACATAGGTTTTGTCGTTGTTGAAGTCTCTGGATTCCAAATAACTCTTGTAGCAGTATTGAGCATCAGCTGGGCAATCAACCTATAAAAAAAACATTTAGAAAAAGATTTCACAATAAAAGTTTAAGGGTGAAGAAGGAGTAGCTACCGTAAACACTCTAACAGAAGGTCCTCCAACAGGCGAGCTTTGAACCTATTTATCTCGATTCCTGTAAAAGATATCAAGAAGATATCCACTAATAAAACATTTTTCATAATTTGATTAAAATTTTATCACTTGAAAATTTTTTTGATATCTGTGACAGGAAGTGAGATATGTGGGCTCAAAGTTGACGGTTTGAGTGGCATTCTCTTAGAGTGTTTACGGTATTTTGAGACCCTTGGGTTTCGCCGGCAATTATCAGATTCAGGATAAGACCACAACTAAAACCGATCAAAATCCGACAAAGTTATGACAAAGTTCCGACCTTGCAGTATAAATTTCTACTTCCGACTAAATTCTGACCATGGCCCGCTATACATTCGTTTTCGGGAAACTCTCGATCAGAACCTGGCCAATATTGTCCAAAAACCAAACCTCTAAGGCTGTTCTAATTCCCCAAACTCACCCAAGTTTTCATGTTGTTCTTAACCAAATTGGTGCTTGTATAATCATAGCAACGAATAGAATCAGCATATGGAAGAATGCAAAGAAGAGCCAAAAGAGAGAAAATTGCAAGAGTCATGATTGGAAGCAAAATTTGAAATGACTGTGGAAAGTAAAATAAAGATCCAAGGGGTGGGATTATTGGTTCGCTCTAACTTCTCCACCTCTTTTTCCTTTTTGTTTGTTTGCGCAGCCTGTAAATAGTAAACTTGTAGAGTCGCGGTAAGTGAAAAGAGAGAAGAAAAAGAAAAAGAAAAAAAATGAGGAGAGAGAGAGAGAGAAGAATTTAAAGAATCCCTTCTGGAAAGGTGTGAAGAACAGAGGAAAGGAATTGTTGATCTTATTGAATTTGTATTTGTCTATTACTCATACCGGTTGGCTGTCAAGTGCACCGTCATTCGGGTCATTTTCAATGGCATTTTGGACGGTAAGAGTCCAAAAAAAGAGAATGAAAATCTATGCAAAAAGGATGAGTAAACAGGGTGTTTGGGCAAGAGAAAAAAGACGGATAGGATTGTTCGGTGAACAACAATGCTCATTATTTTTCGAGATTTTTGAACTTTTCCAGATTTTTTTTTAGTTCAAAAAACATTTGAAATCGAAACATTTCAAAATTAAAAATTTAGATAATAACTGACTAATGGTAAAGTTAAGTTTTAGTAAGAATTTAAAATTCGAGAGTTTTTGAATTACTTAGGACTTTCTCCATATCTCAATTTCCGAATTTCTTGAATTCTGAGTTTTCAAAATTCATAAAAAAAGGAACTCTGGATACCAGAGTTTCGGAAACTCGAAATTTCGGAAATTTTACACACTTTTCTGAATTTCGAAACTAAAGTTTTAAAACGTTCAATTTTAGAATTCACTCTGGACAAAAATATAATCACTCTGGACTATAGAAAATACCGTGAAACCTGTAATAGAAGGACCCCCACACTTTCAAGTTTGAGCTCAATTATCTCGATTCCTATCAAGATATCAAAAATGTGTCAACTGATAAAACAATTCTGATATGATAAGCAATTTATCAGCTCACTACTTTTTGGTATCGTTTACAGAAACCGAGACAATTTGATTCAAAGTTGAAAGTTAGGGGGCCCTTTTATTACAGGTTCTACGGTAGTATCTTAACTTTCGAATCAAATTCCTAAATTACCAAAACTTTGAGTATCCGAATTAGGAATTTCTGAAAATCCAAATTTCCAAATTTCCAAATTCCCAAATTTCCGTAGACTCTGATTTAAAAAATTCCCCAAGAAAGTGTTTTTACAACACTGATGGGATTCTAGTCCAATTCTGATATTTTGAAAAAATTCTTCCTTTGTATTTTCGTTTTGACTGTTTTAATCTCCTAAAAGGTCAAGGGAGAGAGATCAATCCAAGATCGTGCCAACATTTTTTTTTTGCACACTTTTTTGTTTAAACATGCGGAAAAAAGTGTGACTCTGGCCACATAGGATGAGTGGATCTTTTGTAGAAACCTGTGAAGGTTTTTCTTTTGAGACGGAATTATCCAGAAGGAATAATATATTTTTGAGCCGAGTGAACACTTGTTCGTCTAATTGTTTATTTCCAATTCTCAACGAGGCTTATTCTTGCTTTTTTCCTTATTTCTGAGAAAGAAGAAAAACAACAAAAAGATGATCACTAGAGAAACAATATTGTTATTGGAATGAACATTCTCTAGGAAACCTTATTTTTGTAATTTCTCATCTAGACACCAAGTACCTTCAGTAAATATTATTTCAACAGTTACTTTGACATTCTTAATCACATCAGCAGGACTCTCCACTTCCGAGCAAAAATAGATCGGCGTGCCATCCAATAAGAGAGCAAATAAAATTGGCGAATTTTGATTTTATCCCCAGTGGTAGTGAGCCCGACCCAAACATTTACTCTTTGTCAGGTTGTCAACAAAACTGTTTTATGTGATGAAAGTAATCGAAGAGGGAGTAAGAGCACATGCTATTTAGCTCTTGCGCGTGCTCACGCATCGGGGGAAAGTAAAATGTCTTGTTTGCTGATATTCTTGAAGAAATTGGAAAAAAAGTAAAACAAAACTTCGTTCTGTTAAAGAGAGTTGAAAAAAGAAAGAAACCTGATTAAACTTTAGAAAAGACAAGAGGAGAACAAATTTTGATCTGTGGCAAAACGAAAGTTAAAGAAACTTTATCAGGTTGAAAGTTTGAAGGTTCAAGAATGGTTCCTGGCGAAATCCCCAAAAGTTAAAAATAGTTTTTCTAGAAAACTAGCTGATCCTAAAATAATTTTGTTTGATAAAGATTGATTCAATAAGTTGAAATTTGACCAGTTTACTGATGAATTATGTTAATTTTTACATTCCAAATTTGAGCACCGTACAACGCTTTACTCAAATTTTATGCTAGTACAAACGTAAGTCCGGGTAATTATGCGCCACAATGTAAATAGGGAAATCACTATACTATGGGAATTAAAATCCAGAGAAAATATACAACAATAACTATCTTTCGAGAAAAAGTGAAAACCAAAAATGAAGGAGAAAAGTTGAAAAGTCTCTATCTTTCAGTAATTCGATACTTTCGCTTTTTGCCGAACGAGCAGTAAAAAAATTGTGCAGATTTTTGATGTATTCAGCTTCTGTGAGCTTCTGGAAAAAATGCGAGTAACTGAAGTGAAGAATGATGAATGATTCATGAAAGTAGAGAGAGAGAGAGAGAGAGAGAGAGAGAGAGAGAGAGAGAGAGAGAGAGAGAGAGAGAGAGAGAGAGAGAGATTCGGTGGAGAATTCTCGATTATCAGCGGTTGTATACAGCTCGTTTTTATATTGCAAAAATTAGAGAGGTATTCAAAGATTCTTGGAATTTAAATTTGTTATGAAGAAAGAATACGATTTGAATTGTAGTCTATTTTTCTAATATTTTTTACATTCTCAAGGAATTTACATACACAGGTAAGAAGGGGTTGCTGAAAAGCGTACGAACAGCGGCTGAAGATCTAACGTGCGTCTTAAAGCTATTGGGAAAATATTTCTGAAAAAACCTATGAAAGGCAACTAATAGTAACCGAACCATATTGAAAAAACATCTATGTTTCTTTGTAAAATATCTTGTTTTAAAAACTAAAAAAATTTAACAAAAAAAAATAAGTCAACAAAATAGTTGTTCTTTCTACTAATTTTTTTTTCAGAAAGAAACATGGTTTGTCATTATGGTCCAATTACTAATATTTGCGTTTTATAATTTTTATCACAAATGTCTCCCTATTTGCTTTGAAAAGCATAAAATTCTCAAATCTTCAGCCGCCGTTTGTAAGCTTTCCGGTAACCTCAAGTCCATGAAAATGCTGTTTTTGTTTTCAAAAAATCTGGTGTAGAGTGAAATCTTATTTTGAGAAAGATTTAGGCAATCGTTTATTGTATTTTTCAACTCTGGGGTGTCAAATAAGACCAATTGTTTGAAACAGGATAAAAACAACTACTATGTTTCCAGGATGGAGAATCGAGTAGAAAGTGGTTAAAGGAGAAGTTGAGGAGGTGACAAAAGTGAGATGCCAACTCACTTATCCATTCTACTCGTTTTGTGCTTTCCTCCGCTTTCTGATGTCTGCTCGCTGTGTTAAATTTCTCTTTTCGCACCCTTTCTTCTTTTTCTACTTTTTTTTCTCACCTCTCAAAATATTGCAATCTGTCATAATACTTTAGTCTCAATTGTCACTTATCTATAAACATATTTGACGTCGGAGGGTATTTTTGAGCTTTGTGCCCAATTGAAAACATACTTCTGATTCTTATTCATTCCAAATGTATTTCGAACTTAAGTCTCTGAATAAATATTTAGTATTGTCCATTTTGTCTGAAAATTCTAGAAGTTTTCAGAATAGCTTACACTTTGAAATCCTATTTCAAAATATATGTTTTTTAAATGTCAGAGGGACCTTCTATAACAGGTTTTAAGGTATTGCATAACTCTATGATTGTTAAAATTCCAGATAATGTCAGTACTACTTCAAGGTTCAATCATTTGGAGTCAAATTTTTTGTAGGCCAATAAGAGGGGAGGAATCTGAACTTTGCCTGAAAAACTTTTGGATTTCGAAAACTGTTAGAAAAAAGGATATTAACAGTTCTTTCAGAGATGAATGAACTACTCTCTCGATACTTCAACAAATTTATAACTTAATAAAAAAAATAACAAATCTTTGAAAAAATGTAACTGGGTAAAATTCCAGAGAACAACTTAATGACTTTCAGACCACTCTGGTATACCAGCTTGGAGGAAGCGATATTTCACTCAACTCTTCAACCGTTTTTTGCCGAAGGAGGAATCTGTTCATATAGACCTTGATCCCATGTTTATTGTCATTCAAATTAACAATGCTCTTCTGGCTCTAACAGAAAATATCAGCTTTTCCTATACCATTCTTTTTTGGCACAGTAACTATCATTGAACTATTTTTTATCATGGTGGCCACCATTTGGATTCTATATTTAGGATAGAACTGTAATTTAATTTAAATTTAAGCCTGACAGTAGTCCTTTCGATATGCTGTGAATGCTCTAAAAAACCACCACCCTATACTTGCCCTTTGAGAATTTTGAAATTTTTTGTGAAAGAACTATTTTTTTATTGGACACTCTTATCTTGAAAAATGTTTTTCTTGTCAGAAAAATCGTCCATTTTTTTTCTGTTGACCCCAAAAAAATTTTTTCAAAAAATCCAGGCCGATAATTGTTGTCAACGTAAACGCAGTTGGTGTGCTCTCATTCGAGGAAATACGGTAAGCGAGTCCGTGAAATTACGTCGCAGTGTTTGCGCCCCGATGTATGGTGTCTCTGCGCCTCGCTGCTTGAGAGCATTCCTTTTTCGAATCAATCATGGGATTTTCATGCTTCTGACTTGTCATTTCTCTTTTTTCTGACTCTATCATGCAGTTATCGATCAAAATAAATGTTTTCTCATAGATTTTTCAAAATATTCAAAACACAACTGGTCGCCCGGTTATTTGCATAATCTGTGTGTCTTTTAACGATGATTGTCATTGTGTTTGTTGCTGCCTGTGCACTTTTCAAGTGCCTAAATTATCTCTTATCCGTTCACTTCCCGATTTTTTTGCCCGCAAGAACTCATTTGATTAATTTTTCTATTGCAGAAATCAACAGCAACGAATAATGGCTGATCAAACTGTCACCGCTGACACCACCGTTCGTTTTTCCTGCGATTACTCAGTTTGTTAACAAAAGTGTTTTTCAGGCCGAGAAGATGGATACCGCTGAGGCTCCAGCTAGTACCCCAGCTGCCACTCCAGCTACTCCAGCTCCAGAGTCCGAAACCACCGATTCGACGGTCCCACCAAACGTGCTCTCCGCCAACGGAGGACAGCAAACTGGTGTCCAGCCTACTACGCGAAACGTCAACAACATCCCAACTCGTCAATATCTCGACTCGACTGTCGTGCCAATTCTTCTTCAAGGGCTCGGAGCGCTCGCTAAGGATCGTCCGGAGAATCCAATCGAGTTCTTGGCCAACTTCTTGTTGCGCGAAAAGGACCGCTACAACGCTGAGAACCAGAACCCAGCCGGACAACAATAATTTCTCTTCCCCAGACTGTGTTAAAACGATTTCTCTCCGACGTTCTTATATTACATACTGTAACTTATTCACACTTCCCCGTCCACCTTAAATCGGCTATTTTGTGAAGCTTTATTTTTCTCTCACCGTAAGAGCTATATGCTCCACTTCACATGAATAAATGAACCCCGGCTCATCTACTCGTTTTTTCTTTTGTCATAAGGTTGTGAACCAATAACTACTGCTGAATAATTGAGATTCGTCGCACTCCATAGTGATCGTCATTTTAGATGCCGTCGAAGTTATTTGTTGGCAATCTACCCGATAATGTAGACTCCAACAAGCTGAAGCAGGTCTTTCAACCGTTCTGTAAAGTAACCGAATGTGATATAGTGAAAAATTATGCATTCGTTGTAAGATTAATGGGTGCGATTGTTTTGACGAATCTGTCGAGTTTCAGCATATCGAAGAGGACGATGTGGACTCAATTATTACTCGTTTGACTGGCTACACGATCGAAGGAAAAGTTGTTAACATTAAAAAATCTACTTCAAAACTTCGTCCAACGCCCGGCATGCCTAATCGGTGCTTTAGATGCCAATCAGATGATCACCGTACACCCAATGTCCACAAGATCCGTCAAATAGTGTAAAAAACGAGTATGGTGTCACAATTTCGTGTCAGGAAATGAAATTTTGTTTTCAGTGGTATCATTAAAATCGACTTGACAGCAGGCGGTGGTGGACTAAAACGACCAGCTGTCGAACCAATTCTCGATATGTCGAAAAGAATGGCTTTTGCTCCTCAAGCTGTTGTTGAGCCTGAAGTTCCAAGACCAATGGACCCGTGAGTTTTTCTCATGCACTTTTTTCATCCGAGATAATTATCCTATGTATCTAGTTGACAACATGTTTTTACAGAGATCTCCAAGCGTTGTACCAAGAGTATCAACTGTCTCGACAGCGTTACGTATACTACCGCGACCGTCTTCTCAAAGAAATGGAAGTAAACAACACGGATCAACAGCTGGTTTCGCTCTCTCATCCACCTCGACCATCCCCGTTCCAGTTGCATCTGCTCCTCCAGGAGCTACACAGTACTGCTCTTTCCCGAGTTTTCTTTTATCAAATTTTAGATTTTACATCTTCTTACCATTTCAGCGCCGCAGTTCAGCAGAATTTTTTCCAAAGAGTTTTTTTTCCTAGCTTCCGTTTGATATTCGATTTTGAAACCGTATTCGTTATTTTCACCCATTATATTTTACTCTTCACTCAACTCGCCGCTCGTTTCCGTACCGTGATATTCGTGCTGGAAGTCCGTTAACTTTCAGTAAATCTCATTACCGTCGTCGTCATCGTCGCCTCCTTCTCAAAAAATCTCCTAAAATCTAAATCCTCTCAAAATCCGAAACTGAAATCTGTCATTCCAGGCTTTCCGCCGCTCCAGTCTCCTATCAACCAGCTGCTCCGCCGTCTTTATCTGCTGTCAACGCTCCTTACGCTGCACCTTCCAATTTGAGGGTAAGATTATTCATAGATTAAAAATTTTTCATTATGCTTCGCGTTTCAGGCTCCATATGCTCTTCAATCCGCTCCATACGCTTCGGCCATGCCACCAGCGGTGAGTAATCGTTTCTCTGCAACAACCCGTCGACGTCCCGTTTGCAAGTATTCTCTTTCTTGAGATAACACACCTTTGCTGAAACGGACGCCATCCAAATCAAAAGATCAAAAATCAGAAGGTTATTTAACTTTCATTGCAGGCACCGTACGGATCCGTGAATCCTCCGCAGTCCAGTGGAGTGATGACTACCCAACAGTACTTGCAACAAATGCAGCAGCAACACACTGGTTCCCCTGCTCCGGTCCCTGCTCCAGCCAGTATGTTGCTCTTCAATTAATCTAAAATTTTTCATTTTACAGGATATTAGCAACATGTGTCAAAATCCCGCTATACCATCAAATGATCACGATGAAAGAAGCGAAATGAACAAGATTCTCAAACTCCATCCCCTCGTACTTTTCTCTGTCAATCCCTGAATTACTATATATTTTGCAAAAATTGTTGAATCAATACTTAAACAGTCTTCCTATTAAATAAATTCAAATGAATGTTATCATCTGCAAACCCATTCTTCGTTGTATTGTGTTCTTTCTTCAGAAGATACTTGCGAAAGATTACAAGGCGGAGAATTTTTGGCCACGTGACGTTGCCTCTTTCTCTCTTTCGATTTCTCGACTCAATTTTAAATTCCGTCCTATCATACAGGTCACATCAGAGGGCATCGGCGGCGAAAGATGATGAGACTGGCAGGCGGATCAATAAGAAGAGGTATTTATTTGCAAATATTACATGTGTGTTTTCAAAAACAACAGAGGAAACTGTCTTTTCAAAGTAGATACACAAAGTATTTGAGATTATAAGTGATGTTAGCCAATTATAAAAACAAAAGTTTTGACTTTTAGTCTTTGATTTATTTCAATGCCAATACCAAGAACGTAATCACAAGGCCGATGATGGCTAGTGTTGCAATGGTGGCCCTGAAAATTGTCGCATTAAGATTTGAATAATCCGATGGTCCCACAACGACAAATACAGTGACCTAAAAATATTTTTATTTTCAGCATTTATCTTCTCGTTTTTTACTGCTTAAAAAAGTTTTTTTAAATAATTAAAAATCTTAAAATAAACATGTTTCTAGGTTACTGTAGTTGTCATTTTAGGACCTTCAGCCATGGCCACCAGATTTTCTCTTCCACAGCTTCAACTTTTTCGTATTTTCGTACCAAAATAATAAGATTTGAATAGATACACACAAGTTTTCATAGTGAGTTTTGAGGGGATTCATGAGTGTCAAACTTTTTTTACAGCAAAAATAAAAGACATTCTTTGTAAAACTACAGTAGTTTTTCAAAGGAACATGCTTCAAAGAGAAATAGTCTTGACACGATATCGCCTCGAAGGAATTTTAAAAAAAATGCTGGTGTTTTTATTTTTATTTTTTGCTTTTTTGCTATCTATGAATCACCCTATAACATAAGGTCTAGAGGATATATTTTCTAAAAAGAAACGAACTTACGCGACAAGGCATGCGAACATGTTGAGAGTGTTTTCCGAAAGTGGCTGTAGCTCTCGGCTATAAAAATTCAAAAATCAGATATTGATCCCAATTCTTATCTAAAAATAATTACCCACCGTTCACTTCCACCTCTTGGTCTTCCATCCTTGTTCAACTCCAAATCCAGCTTTACCATTTGTGGTTCATCATTAAAATCGAATGACTGTCTTCGCGGTGGAGGATGATTGTAATTATTCATTCCTTCTATAATACTAACAGCAGCTCGCAACTCGTTGGTAGGAGACACAATGCATTCACGACTTTCCGAAGATACCATCGATCGGGCGTCGCTGTTAGCTTCTCCTAGAGTTTTCCAGGTCTCTTGATTTGAAACAGTATTTTCCTTGTTGGCAGAATAGAATCAGAGATGCAGACTGTTTTTTACGAACCAGACAACCTAAGAGTAAATAATTCGAGTCACAAACAGTTTTTTGTAGGGAAGAAAAAAGAAAAGAAGTGGGGTTGAAATTCGGAATCACGAATGAAAAAAAATCAAAACTCATTCATGAATTCAAAGCACAGTGACACAACAGTCTTGTTGATAAAGTCAGTGTTTCAATTGTTGTGCCACAGTGTCAGCTGTAATTATGACGCGACACACAAAACAGTAATAAATAGGATTAGAAACCGAGCATCTACAAACAAAACTGATGCACTTGATAACATATCAACATCTAGAAGCAACAAGTGTGTGAATTCAATATTTCTATTCTACTTTCGACGGTTTTAAACTATTATTCTGATACCAAAAAAATCTGGGCTGATCCCTCAACGATAAATACCGTAACCTAAAAATGTTTTTATCTTCTCAATTTATTATCTCGATTTCCGTTCGAATCTTATCACTATCAAAAATTTTATATTTTCGACTTGTTTTGAGAAAAAATAACAGAAGCATCAACAAAAATTAATCCTGAAAATAACAATATTTTTAGGTTACGGTAGTTGTCGCTGTGGGAGATTCGGCCATGTCCGCTGTTGTTTCTTTTCGAAAGCTACGATTTTTTGCGCCAGAATAATATTTGGAAGTATTTTTCAATGAGCATCTCAAACGCATAATTCTTATACAGATTCCTAATAAATTCAAACTATAGAAAACATAGTAAGCGTTGGAGAAAAGACATAGAATACTGCAAATGACCGATCAACATGAACCCTTCCCCATCGAGCAGTCAGGTGGCTCTTTCACCTTCTACGGGAGCCGAGATGAGCAAACAAACAGACCGACTAGATTTGCTCTCTTCTTCTATTTCTCTCCTCGATTTCTTCTCTCTTTTCTCGTATTTTGTTGTATCCCACGATGCACCCCTGTTTGTAGGAAGGAAAGCAAGTTGACAAAACAATACGAATTGTGCATTTATACAGGAAAATGTATTGTGTACTTACTCATTAACACACAATTGATTACCAAAGTGATTAGCTCGCCTAGACGATGCGATAGCCTTGGATGAAAATGCCTAAGCTATGGTTGACGCCGTCGAGCCAACAGATTCTGCATCAGCCCCTTATTTTAATGATCGTCTAAATATATTACATCATCCTTCACACTTATCAATTTGAACTTCAGTACTCAACCAAAACCACAGCCACCAACAGCATCGGTTTTATCGTCCCGGACATGGTGTGTTTGGACACCTGCCTGATCCACCGAAGCGAGTTTTTGAGAGCCAAGGTGTGTTGATTCAATAGAGAACAAGAGGAAGAAAATATATTTTGCAGGAGGTTTAACCCCAGAAAGTGCACAACGTGTCCATCTGATCAACGCATTCCGCAGATATGGATATCTGGAGGCTCAGCTCGATCCGCTCGGTTTGAGAAATGTAGAAAAGTGAGTAACATTATCCAAATTTCAAGAATTCTGGTAAATAATTTATTAGAGAAATTAACAAGGAAAAATCAGATATAAGAATATCATCTCGTCTAGTAAACTCTCTTGTGCTTGCGACGCCAAGCTCCGTGGTTGTTGGCTCCGTCGTCACGTGTTGGGCACTTACAGTATTCAGCATCCTTTCCTGGGAGTCCGGCTGGTCCACGCGGTCCCTCCTCTCTGAAAATTATCATTGAATATGATAGGATAATAAAAAAAAGCAATTGAACTCCTAGTCCAGCGAATAAGGATGCTTTAGTACTTACCCATCTGGTCCGGCTGATCCTTGATATCCTGGAACTCCATCCTCTCCTTCCACTCCTGGTGGTCCGGCATAGGCATCTCTTCCGGCTGGTCCCTCTGCTCCATCTGGTCCTTGCTCTCCTGGTTGTCCACGTGGTCCTTGTCTTCCAACTGGTTTCTCAGCATCATCTCCCTTCTCTCCAGCAGCTCCTGGCTTTCCGTCATCTCCTGATGGTCCAGTTGGTCCCATCTCTCCTGGCATTCCTGGCTGACCATCTCTTCCTGGATATCCTGGCTGTCCTCGAGCTCCTCGCATTCCACGAATTCCTGGTGTTCCCTGTGGTCCTTGTGGTCCTGGGAGTCCTTGTGGGCATGTGAAACATCCCTGAGATGGTTGTTGCTCGACATCAGGACAATCTTGTCCATCGAATCCTGGTACTCCGTCAACACCATCTTCACCATCTGGTCCTTGCTCTCCCTCCCCTCCTTCTGGTCCAGGTGGGCAAGTGTTCTCAACAGTGCACTGGCATCGGTTGTTACCACCAGAAACATTTGGTCCGAATGGAAGTCCTGGAACTGGAAGTGGTCCCTTATCTCCTTGTGGGAAGTGTGGCTCTGGAGCACTGGTTCCAGTAGCTCCATAACCTCCATAGGCTTGACGACGGATACGGTTCGAAGCGGATCCAGCTCCCAAATTGATCATATCCCCCCAAATGTCGTTAGTAAGCAATTTGAAACTGTCAATCTCATTATCCAACTCTGTCCATATGGAGTTAACTTGTGAATAAATAGAAGCAGCAGTGAACAGAGACACCAAAAGAGAGGCTCCCGAAAAGATGAGAGCTCCCGATGTGGCCGTAGTGACCGACATTTCTGGATGAGATATTAGAAAAAGAACGATGCGAATGATTCAGAAGCTGAGATACTGTCGCACTTTTATACACGGCATGTGCGTAGCGCTCCGAAGAAAAATCGTATTGCTTACCGGCGCGGCGCGGACGCTCAATCGCAACAGCGGGATTCTGACCGCCCACTTTTCTTTTCGATGATGTTCACATAGGATGAGAAGAGAACGAACGACTGCAACCATTTAGGATAGAAGAAATATTCAGATTCCGGACTCTCCTTAAGATTCTGAAGATTAGATTGGGACTGGAGAAAGGAAAAGAGGTATTTGATACTTTCTTCCAGAGAAAATACGGAACCAATTTTGACAGGGATGGGAAAATTTAATAAAAGAGATCAGAAGTTCAGTACGAGGAATATCTAATTTACTTGATTCATGTTGAAAATATGAAAAAAATTGTACCTAGAAATCAGACTGAATTCCATTCCAACTTCAGACACCTTTTGATCTTTGTCTCTCCAAGTGTTTCAAAAGTACAAGCGTCCTGAATGAGTCATCGAATAGCTTCCGAAACAGTTCCTCTTCCCTCGCACCCTTGCAGACAAATTGGAGATAATGAAAGTAGTCGTGATTAGAACACAGTCTCGCGCCTTATCAACATCATTTTCTCACTTCTTGGCACTCAGTTCTTTGAACAAAAAAAGGCTGGCAATTCCAGTGTTTCCAACTTATCCAGTTTCCTCTCGAGAAGTACCTTCTTCCTGTCAAACACGAGACCTTCTTCTCTGTATTCCCGAATGTTCTCCGTCTTTTACGTGGAAAAACACTTTCACATCAGTCCTGTCAAGGCGACATGATGGCTGTTTCGCATCGCAATAAATTACGGTAATATGCGAATTTGATTGTCCAAACGATGTGTCATATATCATTCGGACAAGACACGATCTCTTCCTTTCCTTTTCCCAACTGATAAGAATATGTTCCTTTTTTCTCCTTATCTTCTGGGATATAGAAAAAAAATGTGCGACGATGGCGCTGATTTATTGACACACTCTTCCTATCATCACACTATTAAAATGTCCTATCATTATCACTCAAGTTGGAAGCTATGGGATGGGAAAGTCTTGTAAAGTCCATTTGGTTTGATTCGATTATGATAACGAGAACCTTCTTCCAAGGCACACCGCTAATCATCAAACATAATTCGATGATGTTAGTTCCAGAAAGCGAAACACGTCCGGGAGAGACAAACACAAAATAAACAAGACAGTCTGGGTGTTTAGATCAGTATCGAATTAATTTATGTTGCAAATTTGAACCTAATCGGTCGGTTGGATATATGAGAACATTCGATTTCCAAATAAATCTTCTGTTTATATGGATGTGCGCAAGTGAACTTATAAGTATGATATCTATCGAGTAGTAGTGATTATATTCAGATGGATCTTGAGCTTAATTCGAATATCATGATAAATTCAGAATTCCATGGTAGTGGTCAGGAACCTTCCTCAGATTTTGGAATTATTTTTTTTCTTTAAATCCAATAAGAACATTAGTTCATATCAATATCACCGGAAACGATGTTCATTATCTCCTGTGTATGAGATAAAAACAAAAAACCTGACTAGACACTGTCTGGATCTTGCTTCGCGTTTTGCCTGTTTTGCGTTTTTCTACCACCCGGCTAAATCCATAAATCTATATGGTAAGGTATCGTGTCTCTTTTGAACTTTACCGACATTTCAACACAAACAGCTTCCTCCACTCATTCCGAGATGGGGAATCCAAAATCCTTTGATTTCTGATCCGCCATTGAGAGATATTGGAATGTGGAATACCTTTGTGCGCGTCGCGCAGTTTTTACGGGATTTTGGAAGACGCCTGCCTGGAGGGGACTGGGGGAGACATTAAATTAGGGAGAAATGAGGGTAGATGGCTATCAGCAAGTACTGGGATTTTGAAAGTGGGATGCTTATAAGTTAAATAAGATTTTTTTCAGGGTTCCGGAATTGAATCCAACAATTTATGGATTATCATTGGACGAAAATGTAAAGAGTGGTTATTCGTTAAATGATCTTGCCGAGCAGCTTCGACTCATTTACTGCGGTCCAACGGCAATCGAATTCATGCATATTAATGTAATCTGAACAGAACCACCTACAGATGAAGACGTTATGATTTTCAGAACATGGAGGAACGACAATGGTTGGCACAAAACTTTGAAAACATAATTGCAGAAGAACTTCGGAAGGAAGAGATTGTTCGAATTGGAAATCTGATGCTGAAATGTGAAAATTTCGATCGTTTCTTGGCTACCAAGTTTCCCACTCTCAAGAGATATGGAGCAGAAGGAGCTGAATCGATGTTCGCATTTTTCTCGGAACTTTTTGAAGGATCAGCTGAAAAATCAGTTGAGCAGATAATTATTGGAATTGCTCATCGTGGACGCCTGAATCTACTCACCCAACTCATGGAATTCCCACCTGTTCACATGTTCCGTAAAATCAAAGGACGCACGGAGTTTCCAGAAACCGCAGACGCTTCTGGAGATGTTCTTTCTCATCTGGTATCCTCTTTCGATTATAAAGGAGCTGAAGGAAACGTTCACGTCACGATGCTCCCCAACCCCTCTCATCTTGAAGCTGTAAATCCAGTTGCTATGGGAAAAGCTAGAGCTCGAGCATGGTCGATGCGCAAAGGAGATTACTCTCCTGATGAGAGATCTGCTAGAACTGGAGATGGTGTTCTCAATGTTCTTGTGCACGGAGATGGAGCATTCAGTGGTCAAGGAGTTGTCTGGGAATCGATTGCGTTGAGTCAGGCTCCACATTTCAGACTTGGAGGAACTGTTCATCTTGTCACTAACAACCAAATTGCATTTACCGCTGAATCCAGTGTTGGAAGATCGAGTACTCACTGTACGGATATTGCAAAAGCTTTTGAGTATCCAGTCATTCATGTAAACGGAGACCATCCAGAGGAAGTTGTGAAAGCAACCAGATTGGCCTTAGCTTACAGAGAAAGATTCCGCAAGGACGTTTTTGTCAATTTAGTGTGCTTCAGACGATGGGGACATAATGAGCTAGATGATCCAACTTTCACGTCTCCAGTTATGTACAAAGAAGTGGAATCAAGGGAATCGGTGCCACGATTATTCCTTGATAGAATGATTGACGAAGGATTGACAACTGAAGAAGCAGTGAAAGAAGAATTGAAAAATCATACGGAGCAATTAAACAACGAATTGAAAAAAGTGGATAGTACTGCGCCAGTGAATATCAGTCATCGAGGAAGCTGGGAAGGGTTTAAACAAGCCCCAAAAGCCATTGAATCGTGGGATACTGGAGTTGCCACCGATCTTCTTCGATTTATTGGAGCTGGAAGTGTGAAAGTACCAGAAGACTTTGACACCCACAAGCATCTCTACAAAATGCACATTGATTCGAGATTGTCAAAAATGCAATCTGGAGAAGGAATCGATTGGGCGACAGCTGAGGCAATGGCATTTGGAAGCATTTTGTTGGAGGGAAATGATGTAAGAATCAGTGGACAGGATGTGGGACGTGGAACATTTTGTCATAGGCATGCAATGATGGTTGATCAGTCGACAGATCAGATTCATATTCCATTGAATGAACTAGTAGAAAAACAGAAAAATCAATTAGAGGTAGCTAATAATTTACTATCTGAAGAAGCAATTCTTGGATTCGAGTGGGGTTTCTCATCAGAAAACCCACGACGCCTGTGTGTCTGGGAAGCTCAATTCGGAGACTTTTTCAACGGTGCTCAAATTATCATCGACACTTTTGTTGCATCCGCGGAGAGCAAATGGCTAACATCATCTGGACTTACGATGCTTCTTCCTCACGGATTCGATGGTGCAGGTCCAGAGCACAGTAGTTGCAGAATGGAGCGATTTTTGCAAAACTGTGATTCAAGAGAAGACCAATCACCTGTGGATGGAGAGAATGTGAACATGAGAGTGGCGAATCCAACAACAAGTGCTCAATATTTCCATTTATTGAGACGACAGGTAAGTGGATTACTGTAGGATTACTGTAACTCTTACTGATCCAAATCTACCGTATTTCTGTAGTGCTGTAGTTTTTTTTGAAATTCCTTATTGCTTGGATCACTGTTACTCGTTTGTTTTCCATTTCTGAGTTACTGCGTTTTTATCTGAAACTACAGTAATCTCGAAATTTTAAATTTACAAAAAATAATGCCCGGATTACTGTTCACTCTTGAAAAAAAAATCCACGGTATCCCTTGACTACTGTAGCTCTTTCAGATACAAATCTACCGTACTGGGTTACTGTAGTTTTTTTTTGAAAATTCTCATTGCTAGAATTACTTTAGTTCGTTCCTTTGTTTTCTGGAGTATTGCCATTTCTGGAATACAGTGTTTTGTTCTGAAACTGTAGTAATCTCAAGATGATCTTCACATCTTGACAAGATTTCAAAATTTCCAAAAAAAATGCTGGGATTACTGTAGATTTTAGAAAATCAAATCTATCTTTTGATCACGGTAATTGCGGTATATAAAGACTAATTACCTAATTAACTATTTTGAAATCATCAGAAACATATTCGCGGTTTATTTGCAGGTCGTTCCCAACTACCGAAAACCTCTGATTGTCGTTGGTCCAAAGATATTGCTACGTCATCCGAAGGTCAGTCTTTCAACCGTTTCTCATACAACAATACCCATAAAAAGTTACATCCCCTACTCATCTGATCTCTCTTTAATCCCCTACCGCTACCACATTTTTTTATTGCAGGCGGCCTCTAGAATCGACGAATTCGGCCCAGGAACCACTTATCGAAATGTGATCTCAGAAGATGTTGCATCTGCTGGAAACATTAAAAAAGTAATCTTCGTATCTGGAAAGCATTGGATAGCTGTAGAGAAGAGTCGTGATGAGAGAGGACTGAAAGATTCGGTGGCTATCGTCAGAGTGGAGATGCTGTGTCCGTTCCCAGTTGTTGATCTTCAAGCTGTTTTCAAGAAATATCCAGCAGCTCAAGGTAAAACGAAACCAAGCCAAATTTCTCTACACTGGGACACCTATGAACCCCTGCTGAAATCAGCCATTCGTTGTGCTTCATTTTGCCTCTTCATCCATTCCGCTAATGATTTCACCTTGAGGTGATTTATGCACTGCAAGTTCTGCGCGCCGAAAAATTCGCTCTTCTTCTAAATACCGTTTTTCGCTTCCACCTCAGAAGTTTTTTATTCCTCATTACAATTGCAACCGAGGCCGGACGAATACGGTGACGACAAGATCAGACAGATTTCGGGCAAAAAAAAGCGGGTGGCCGATTTGAATAATGACTCTTTGCGCTCTCTGTTCGTCACAGACGACGTCGATTCTTTTTTTTAGTGCACTTTTTGATGAGAACTTGGTCGTTAAATTGGAAAAGAAATGGAGTAGATTTGAGGAGGATAAGCTTCCTCAAGTTTTTTGACAATCTATCTTACATGGTGGTCTAGATTTAATCGCTTGCAGACATTTACTAAATATCAAAGATCTTGAAATTAGTAGCGAATGTCGTAGAACCTGTAGATGAGCCCCCACACTGTCAAGTTTAAGCTCAATTATCTCGATTCCTATGAGACATATTGAAAATCTGTCTACTGATAAAATACTGACAATATTATGATAAATATCTTATCAGTTCATAAATTTTTGATATCTTTCATGAGAACCGAGATAATTGAGCTCAAACTTTAGGTATAAGGTGGACTTTTTTTTTCGAAAAATTACGGTAATTTTTTCTAGATCCCAGTTAAACTACAGTACCTCTTTTCCTTTTTTCAATTAGAATTTGACCACAATCAGCCCAAAGTGACCGACGACCGCTCACTTTGTTCCCCTAGTTCTCTCCTTTCAACTGTCAATCTCCGAGAGTGAAATATGGTGAAACTAGCAAAATGGCACGGGAGGTCTCTTTTCGCACCGAACTCCCTTTCGAAGATTTATGATGTCAGAATGACCAGGGAAACGGAGGAGAAGGACCCAAAAATAAAAACTTATTTTTGCAGAGTTCGTGTGGTCACAAGAGGAACCAAGAAACGCCGGAGCGTGGTCATTTGTCAGGCCAAGATTTGAGAATGCGTTGGGAGTTCGGGTAGGTTCAGAGAGTGGATTACTGTAGTCTTTGGGAACCGAAATCCAAAAAATTCCAATTTCAGCTGAAATTCGCGGGACGCAAAGAACTTGCATGGACCGCCACAGCTATCGGCGAACAGCACACCAAAGAAGCCGAGGAGGTGATTAATCAAACGTTTGCATAAGTCTCCAGTAGGCAGTCTCTTCTCCCCCGCTTTTCTTCCCAACAACGACTCATTTTTTGCTCCCGTTTCTTTCATTTCCGTCTTCTAGTAGTTTCTTTTCCCTTTTTCCATTGTTTTTTACAGAAGATTAGTTGTCAGTTTATTTTTTATTGCTCAACATTTCATGTGCCTTTTCTGTTTCTTTGTTTTTGTGATATTCTTCTGATTTATTTGCCGGGCAAGATTTTTTAAATATAGGTGTTATTTCTTTTCTTTTTCTTTTTTTTTTTTGCAGCCTGGAAGTCGAAACATCGTAATTTAAAAGAACAAAGAAGAAGAGAAGAAGAAGACAACGGGATGATAATTGAGTTATCATTAGCTGATGTCAGGGATCCCCGCGATGTGCGTAAACTACTTTCAAATTTTTGGAGAATTGCAAATGTATATAGTGAAGCCGTGGAATGCTACCGAATTCTGATTATGACTGTGTGATTCTAGAAAATAAGTTTAAAGCTAGATTCTTGGATTCATAGAAACCTTTGTTCTCATTTTTTCAAACTTTTGAATGACAGTTCCCTATAGATCCACTTGGGTAAGTAACTTCATATTTCTTCCCCCACTTGATTGTCTCTTCAGAATACCTCTTCTTGTTATTCAACACAGAAAACATCTGCGAACACATGCCAGTCTAGACATAAAGCAATTAACAGAGGGTACAGACAAGAAGCACATTCCTCTGCGCGAATGGTAACTGAGCGGGTCCTTGTAAAAAAATGCTTGTGCACCTGTTCCAGGCCATAATAATCTTCTTCTATATTATCATCGTTCCATTTCTTCATTCCTTCCGTTACCTTTTTGCCAGTGTCGTCGTCGTCCAATTCTAATTAAAGTCGTTAACGCCATTAGAAGATGATCTCTTTCTTCTTCTCTTCCACCGATTTGATTTTATGTATATCAACGTCCTTTTTTCCTTAATTTTCATTTTATTCTCTTTTTTACTTCTTCTTTTTGTCCCTGTTGTGCGCACCGTCATTAAGAATAGTTTAAATTACCTTGTCGCCTTTGGATCGAGTGAAAAAAAAGTGGGCGGAGCTTCATGAGGCTTCGTTTGGCGCCACATGTCCCGGGCTAGGAATACCCCCGGTTTAGACAATAGAGCGCAGATGTTTTTTGATTCTCATGGGATCAGCAGGTACTGTTTTTATTGGCTTTATTTTTTTGAATTCTATTTCAAGAGCTGGACTGATCCTTTGCTTCGATTTCCATAGATTCTCAAATTTTTACACCAAATAAATTACGCCTTCTTAAAAGCAACTTCATCTTCAGCCACTCTAAACTTTAATTTTCTGAGTTTCATGAGTTTCTAACCAACTTGCCGCATTTCCTCTAATAGAAGCCCACACAAACCATCAACTTTGAGCTCAATTATCTCGGTTCCTGTAAAAGATATCAAAAAGTCGTCAACGGACAAAATGTTTATCATGTCTCCATCAGTGTTTTAACAGTTGGCAAAAAATTTAAATCTTTCACAGGAATCGAGATAATTGAGCTCAACCTTGATGGTTTGAGATGGGATTCTATTAGAGGAAATACGGCAGTTGCAATTTTGATAATCCTTCGAATTCGAACTTGAAATATTTTAGAAAAATCCAAATCGGTCTTTTCTCTGGTATCTAGTATAACTCTAGCCAAAAAATTTTTTTTGAGTTTCATGAGTTTCAAATCAACTTTCCGTATTTCATTTAATAGAAGCCCACCCAAATTGTCAACTTTGCGCTCAATTATCTCGATTCCTGTAAAAGATGTCAGAAGTTTATCAACTGATAAATTATTTATCATAATATCATCAATATTTCATTAGTTGATAAGTTTTTGATTTCTTTTACAGTAATCGAGATAATTGAGCTCAAAACTGACGACTTGTGTGGGCTTTGGTTGAAATATTTGTCATTCTTTGAATTTGAATTGATTTCTAGAGAAATCCAATTTGATCCCTGTTTCTGATACCTAATTCAGATTGGCAGTTTTTCTGTTCCAAGTGGTCCATGGTGGCATCAGAAGTGTTTTTTAAGGAACAAGGGGCGGCGCCCTTTCTGTACACCTCTTCAACTGGAGATGTTCTCCAAACTTTTCTCAAGTGTTTTCTTTTTTCTTTCCGAAAAAAGGGGCGTGGTTTTGAGAATGACCAACCCAAGTATAAATGCTCCTTTCATAATTTTCCGTTTTTGTGGTATCTGTCCCATCAATCAACCCACACCCCATCCTTGTCTTTTACTTCAATGCCGAATCCAATTTCCTGTTTTGCCTGGGCTTTTTCGATGGCATCATGGTCCCGTTTTCTCGACCCGTCTTCATCTAATCCGATCCTCTTTTTCCAACCGCTTCTCACACCCACCCCATTTTCTCTTCTGTTTTTGGTGTCACATTAGAATAATGAACAAAAAGAGAAGGGTACTGGAGGGCTTGTGAAGTGCTCCGCAATTTCCTCCTGGACCCACAACCGAAGACCCCACATTGGTTCATAGAAGAGGTCCCAAAACATTCAATTTCCCGTTTTTCGATTCTATTTCAGACCGCCCATCGTCGTTGTATTTCAAATCGGACCGCCCGTAATTACGCACCTTCCAATCTATACGGTTACGTTGTGATCCTTTAATGACAGTCATTCCCCCGCAAGCTGTTTAGTATGATCACTTTTCCGATTCTCGTCTGGATTAGGTTAGGTAATAGAAGAAGAAAGAGAGAGAGAGAGTGTGTGTATATTTGAATTGAATATGCACTTGAAGCTTCTTCAGATGACGTGGCAATAGATTATAGGTTTTTGATTTACGGTAGTAATGAGGTAATGAGAGAAGAAGAGGAAGAAGAGATGGAAGAGAAGAACAAGAAGCAGGCTGCCAACATATGTTGAATTCTCACTGATTCATAATGCATATAACATAATTCTGGCGACAATTTGATGTGACAGCCAGCTTCATCATTTAGGTGTCCATCGGAAGAGAAAGGAAAAGGTTATATCAATTTCCTTTTCTTTTTCAGTTCGAAGAGTCCCTCAGTCTATATCTCAAATGTCTTATTCATAATCATCCTAATCAAAAATTTCCATAACAATACAGATACACATGTCACCCTCTTTTCTCTTCTATTGTATTCCTTTCTAGCAGTCAGTACTATGTGCAGCAGCAGTTCTCTTTTTTGCTGCGCTTCTCCAATTTTCACACTCTCCAATCCGATTAGCATAGAATACGTGTGAGTGAGTGTATGTATGATGTATACGACAGTTCAAAACTGCACTGTACTTGTGTTTTTTGGTTGTGTTATCTTGAAGCCAATTAGGGTTGATAGCTGTAATTGATATACCAGTAGAGAATTAGAAAGGTTGCAGGGTACTGTAGTTTGCCCTATAGACAGCTTGCTGAAAAGTTGGTTGATTTTTTCTGGAAAACGATATTTTGGGAATCTAAACGGTTGTTAAGTTATAGGACTTTTCTAAATTTGTTTCTATTTTCCATAAGTCTCCAAGTTTTTGATTCAACCGCTACCGAAAATATAGCGTCTTCAATTTTTTGCCCTATATATGCAGTTCAAGCTCAATTACCTCGGTTACCATGAGAGATACTAAAAAGTTGTTAACTATTAAATTGTTGATCAAACTATCAAAAACATTTCATCAGTTGACAAATTTTTGATATCTCTTACAGGTACCGAGATAATTGATCTGAAAGTTTAGGGAGGCTTCTACTAGAGAAAACATGGTAATAACCAAAAAGTTCCCAAATTTTGGATTCAAATGCTAATGAAAACTCTTTAATGTCTACTTTTATACCCCTAAAGTCCCCTTTCGCGTCTTTTTTCAACATTAGAATCCAGTTGTTCCATCTGTTTGCTATTCTTCTTATCAAGCGGAGGTTATCAGTTGCAACCAGGTGTCAATTAAATAGGATTTATTGGTTTTTGAGTTTAATCTTCTTCTTCTCTCCGCCTACTTTATCATTTGAGACAAACAAAAACGTGGAACTTTTTTCACTCACTTCACACCTATAACCATCAATCAATCATTGGCAAATTTCGTATACACTTGTCTAGTTTTCTTTTTTCTTTTCTTTTTGCAAATGATGCAAGATGAAAGCTGAAGCAACACTCTCGAGACACCTGTTACTCGGAGACTGGTGTCTTGGTTGAGTGTGGAGCAACATCTTAAACCACCCAGATTTAACTACTTTGAACTTTGAATCGGAAGTGTTGGGATTCTAGAAGAGCACCTGATGGCTTGCCACGTGTGTTGTCTCATCGCTTGATTATTGTTGAATCACTTTCTAGATGAAAAAGATTTCAATTTCTGTTTTACAATGAGAGATCAATCAAGAGAAATGAGGAGGGAGAAAAGGGAGGAGAAGAAGCTAGCATAGATGAAAAACCGAAGAAGATGGCGGAAGGAATGAAAAATAAAATAGAAAAAAAATAAAGGAAAAGAGACACTTTTTTCACATTCGTTTTTCACTCATTTAATTTGATAACAAGGGGGTGATAACATGAGGGTGTTCCCTGTTCCCTTTCATATCAAGAATATGGATTTCCCTTTTTTTCGAAGATCGGTAGACTGTGGCTTTTCTGGCTCTAGAATTAATAGCCGCCGTCGGCCGTCCCTTGGCACACCCCTTTTTTCAAAAAGGGATCTCGATAAACCAGAATGGTACCGCATTCAAACTTAATCCAGCTCTTCCGCTCCCTCTTCCCCAATTTTTAATGTTCCCGTAATTTCCATGACCCGTTTAGCTTCTACATGTGTTTTCACACTGTCCGATTACTATTCTCCCTCCCTTCCTCTCTAAATTTATTCACCTGTGCATTATTCTATTTACTTTCTCTTCCTCTCTTTCTACCATACCGCCCATATCCTTGTGTTCCTCATTCCCTTAAACTGTCCTCCAAAAACCTTCGTCCGATGATTTGTGATGAACTGTTTTTTTTTTCTTTACACCTCAACCTTCTCCTTTTTTCTCGCGTTTTGGATGCCATTCTCGGTTTCACACACAAATCTTCGTTTTCGATGGCGTCCTCTCTGAAGATCATAATCTCCTTTTAACCAATGTGGGCGGTCTCGGGTTGGAAAGGGTTGAGGCCTCGAATACTAATTATCGAGAAAAAAACGATTAGAACCGAAAAAAGAGGGAAATGGGAAAGAGAGAAGTGACCAGTTTTTTAAAGTAAACTGCCAAGATTTTTGGTTTGTTCGATTTTCGGCAGGTAGGTGTGGGATTTCAATTAGATTTTTTTTTCGATTTCTAGTTTTGATTTGCAGCTTAATTGTAACAGTGTTGATTATGGTTACTGTAAATAGTTTTAATTGATCTGATAGTGAGAAATACTGGGAAAAGTCTCCACATTACTAAGTTTGAGCTCAATTATCTCGGTTCCTATAAGAGATATAAAAAATCTGTCAACTGATTAAATGTTAATAATTTTACGATAAAATTTTGTCAGTTGACAAGTTGTTGATATCTCTTATAGTAACCGATAGAATTGAGCTGAAATTGCACGTATAGAGTGGGCTTATGTTGGAGAATTTACGGTATCTTAGAGGTCGTGGCCTCACTCCGTTCCAATAACGTTTATCTTGAGTCTTCTAGTATTTTTCTCAAATGTTTCTCATATTTCATCTCTCCCGAATTTTTTCTTTCCCAAAATGTTGTGTGTTCCGAAGACATCATCATTCCGATGGGTGAGCATTAATCCCCTTCAAAGGGTAACTCGATTTTTTGATGCTCCCTCTTTTACGGAATCCGAATTCTCAAGTTCCAAATTTGAAAATTTAGAGTTCACTAGTCACTATAGAAATTTGATTAGCCGCCACATGGATCATCATTATTGTTGCGTTGACGTCTTCTTCTTCTTCTTTCTCTTATTAGCTACAATCATCCATTGAAACCGCCTTTCCGAGTAACATTATTGTTTCTGTTTGATTGGGCTCACAATACTATGCTCATTTTTCTAAGAATCCAAATTCTGGATTCCTCATCATCTGTCAGATTCCTCGTTAATTCGTTAACTAATTTTCTACTAAAACCCATCACTAAAATCCACTTTAGAGGGTCATTCGAATCATCTGATAAAAATCTAAACGAGATCCTTATGCTGCTCCTAATCTCGATATCACTTGGTCACTTTAATGTGACTCCCCTAAATTTCTGCGTCTCTTCAACCTATGAACTATTTTGGCACAGTCAATTGGGGACATATGTCATGAAATATAGTGATTTTTGATGATGGCAGAAGGAGGAAAAGACACGATGAGTCTCGAAGAAGGGTTCAGTTTCAAATTACTACATTCAAACGGATATCTGTGAGATGATACTGAATAGTATTGTGTGAGTACGAGGAAACAATCAAAGCTCCGAAATTAGTGAGCATGAGTTTCCTGTTTCATGAGCTGGTATTCCTAGTATCAAGGTTTGTAAATTTAGTTCCAGGGCTACTGTTAATTATTAAGTGTAAATATAAGAATTATTCAGAATTAGTCTTGTTTGAACGTTTCAATATTTATTCAAATTATAAGTCAGCATCTTTTGTTCCAGTAGGATCCGCCTGATGGTCTTCTCCAAATCCATACACCTATCAGTTCAGAATCTGGATAATTAGTTTTTTGAAACGCCGGAGCTTATTGGGATGTTCAACTAGTTTACCTTCCTGTTTCTCTCTCTCCCTCTCCCACTTGCCCTTTTACAATTAGGAAGCACTATAGTCCTGGACCACTAAGCCCTTTTTGCTCATTTCCCTAATCAAGTCTTCTCTCTTTTATTCACTGTGTCCACTCGTTCTTTTACCCAAACATTTTGTACAATTCTCTCCTTCCATTCCCGAGCTGATTGCGCCATAGTTGCCTCCTCCAGCTCTTCTCCGTTTTCCTTGCCCCCGTGGATGTCTCCCGTCCGTTTCTCACTCTATTGCATTAAGGGACCATTGGAATTGGACCAAAAGACATATGTGTCTATCTCTCTCTCTTTCTTCCGACTCCTCCCTCTGAAGGCGTTGGGATAGGGGTAAGAAGAAGAAAAGGAAGCCAACACAACTCTCTTTATATATTTTACTCATCCTTCGTGCCTTTTCTTGTTGCGCAATGGGAACGGAGACTCCGCCCACATCTCAAACTCCGAATTCCGTTTTTCTGTTGTTTATTTTGTTGTTGTTTTTGGTGTTGAAACGAAGAATAGGAACTCAGAATTCTTACGAAACTCTGACCTTTGGGATTTCTGATTATGAAGATTCTATTGGTGACCGGATGTTTGTAAAAAGAAGGAAATGTGCTCAACAGATGTGATCACTTTCTTCGGATTCTCCAGATGACTGGGTTTTTTTCTTCTTTTCTGCTTTTTTTTCAGTTCCTGATGATGTCATATTCCAAATCGGGATGGTATTGGAGTTTCAGTCTTTCAGTTCTTTCCGTTCTTAGTTCTATTTTAGTGGCCAAAAGCAATAATCTTTGCACTGAGAATCTCAAAATTGTAGACAGATCCGAAACTTTTCTTATTTTCTCTTGCCTAGAACTTGTTAACGGTTTTCTCTGCCATTGGAAGCTTTCCCGTTTTTGACCGAATTATGATCCCTTGTAGGAGCGTATGTGCCAACGGTAATATCGAACCTGATACAGTATTTCTGATAAACCAGGACTTTTTAGGAGTATTTTTCTGGTTCATCAGCTAAGTTGGGTTTTGTATAAACTGTTTATGATAAACTGTTTATCATAAACTACAAAAAGTGTCAATTCCAAGCAACTGTGTTTTACTCCTTCCATTATTTTTTTTGTCTCTTTTTGTTCAAAAAAATAGTTGCACTCTGCTCTTCCTCCTCCTCCTACTCCATTCCCCTTCTCATGCATTTTGGCCGTTTCAAAAATCTTCTCACTCTCTACTTTTTTCTTTTTTCTCAACTCAATTCATTCCTAGGGGAGGTCAAATTACCACAACCCTCTCTCGCTTTCTTTTCGTATGATGTCTTCCGTTGTGATGATATCTTTTTGAGTTCTGATAATACTAATTTTTGATTTTCCTCTAGCTAATTTTGAAATCAGCTGAGCCTTATTATTAGACCTAATTCAAATTCTGTTATGAGTCAACAAACCGAAAAGGGAATCTTTATGGGTTGGTGCCAGGCACCAACTCATCTTGATGATCTAATTAATAGCCTTTTGAGTCTGTTTACTTCACCGACGATTTCAAAAAATTACTCTACTATGTACACAAAGGTGATGAGACTGTACTATCTTTCCTTCACTCCGATTTTAACTGAAAAATTCGAATTCAAAAAAGGTTCCCACACTGAATTGGTTTCTTGCCGGCACGCGTACCGCTCGTGGACATATACAAGAGTTCTTCGAGTTCTCTCTTTTTCCCTTTTTCGTCTTGTTGACTCACTTTTTTTAGCGGTTAGAAAAGATGGTATTCTTTTGAATTTCCTCTTATCGTTTTGCTACTTGTCACCGACTTTTTATCAATTTTTCGGGGGAGAATTTTATGTTGTTGTATATAAATTGGGAATTTTTCCAGAAGGAATTTTATTGTTGTGAGAGTGGGACAGATTTTGTTTCGAGTGAAAAAAAAGAATCGAATCAGTAGCAACCAATAGGGCATAGTTTTCAACCATTTCTGTGGTCGTAAGAGGGACTCCGACCGATTTTTTATTGCATTAAAGTTTTTTTGTTAACATCTATTTTCCAAATACTATTGCGAACAAATCCCGAAAAAGGCCCTTGAAAGTGAAAGTTTGGCTGAAAAGGTGGCGAGTAGGGACAAGGGTTTGGATTCCCGCGATATTGGAGCGGCCGACTGTGGTAGTTTACATACCGGAGATAAAATTGAAAGAAATCCGGAAAATTGGCAAAACAGGCGTCCTGCCTCTGTGGCCTAGGTTTCTCACTGCCCGGGAACTCAAATCTTCGTCCCTATTCGCTACCTTTGTTAAAATTTTCGACGGAGTCGTTCGGGGTTTTGATTAAACTTTTTTCAATAGAATAAGTAAAATACATAACTTTAACATTTTAATAAAATAAAAATTGTTGGCCGGAGTACCTTTTTGAATTGGAATCAAGAAGATTGTGATTATGGGTTCTTATCACTTGAAGACATCCTCTAAAGTGTTTTTGAATTGAATTATGTTAGCTCTCAACAACTTCACGCTTTTTTAACTTCTACCGCCTCTTCCCCACCCATATCAATTTCACTCCAATAGTTATTTTGTCGGTAAGATGAAACGATGAATCTTTCTTTTCTTATTATTTATGCAGACACGCTTACATTAGGCACACACACCACTCTTTCTTTTGATGATAACGTTCTGTTCCGTCTTTTTATCACCACTGACCCCCTCCCTCGTTTTTCGCGGCACTCTTCATCCATTCTTTTCCGTTTTTTTTGCTACTCCGTTCGTTTTTTGTCTTTTTTTGTCTTTTCAATTTTTATGTTTCCAGACCTTATGAATGGAGGCATGCACAAGTAAGAGCTCGCTGCTGCTTCATTCGCCGTTGCGAACGATTCCAAAGGTGAGTGGTTCTTATCAGAACCATTTTGAGAAGATCTGAATTCCAGCTTCGACTATGCACGACCATCAGTAGTGAAGATGTTGCATACGGAAGATGCAATCTTACGGATCAACATCTTCAAATCGAAGGAAAGAACTACTCAAAGAACACATTCGACCACATCTTCAGAACAGATGCCACCCAAGATGATATGTATTCTGCATTCCTCTCGGATATGATCAATTCTGTATTTGCTGGTAATGATGCGACAGTATTGGCAATGGGTGCCAAAGCAAATGGTATTCAAGCTATCTAGAAGACCAATTCAAAATCTAAATTTCAGGAAAAGACGAACGACTCTACGGGAACAGTGTATCAAGAAACGGGTTGATTCAAATGGCAATCACTCAACTAATGAATGCTATTGATGATAATAAGTGAGATTTATTCTGTGAAATTTCTCATCGAAAGTTTTGAATTTCAGGGATCCAGAAGAACGAATTCAAGTTCGAATGTCTGCTATCATGGTTTCACAAAAAGACTCTTCGATTGTTGATTTGTTGAGTCCATTCAATCAGATCCACGTCATCGAGTAGTGAAATTAGTGGATGATGCACGAACGGGCGTTTTCCTTGACAACGAGAGTGAAATTCGCGTCGAGACGATTGATCAAGCCCTATTCTATTTGAACACCGCGGTGGATCACCGACTGATTCGTGAGTTTCAACATCTGATCTTTTCCCAAATATTCGCTTTCAGAAGATGAGCAAACACATCGAACTAGCCACGTCTTCATCTCACTGAGTTTGTATTCGTATAAAATGGGTGATAAAATGCAAGGAGGACGTCGAAGGCTGTGCTTCTTGGATATGGGAATCGGTGAGAGGAATTCGACAAACGGAGGAATGACCATGCCTGCACTGGGAAGTATTCTGTTGGCGATGGTGCAGAGGAATAAACATATTCCATCTAGGTGAGTGATTGCAGTGTTTTTGGGGGTTCAGACCTAGTAGTATTTCAACGTTCAACTTCCGACCATAATCTGACCACGGCCCGCTATACAGCCGTTTTTGGGCAACTTCCGACCAGGATCTCGCCAATATCTGTCCAAAAGCCGAACCCCTCAAATTTTGATCAGAAATTACAAGCAGATGGCCAAGAAAGGGTATGAAACTTGACCTGGTTCTTTTAAACTCATTTTGGGCAGGTCCTAGTTAAAACTTCCCCAAAAACGGCTATAGTGCTGGCCATGGTCATATTTTGGTCGGAAGTTAGAAGTATTACTAGGAATGTTGAAATACTACAAGGTTGGAATTTTCTCATAAGTTTTCCGGAGTTTGGTAGGCTGTAAAGCTAAGCTAACGGTCTTATTGAAATCTGACCAACCTCCGACAAGAAATTTCCGGCGACTCCCGAGGGAACAGGAACGCCTGAAAGATTTCCGATGTCTTGAGAGATTACCTAATCAAAAATAAGGCGGGAATCTTAACAGAAATATATCGACAACGAGATCAGCTGCTCGTTGCCGTACTTCTCTGTCACGTTGCTTCTCATTTCTCCCATTATATCTCAATCAACCTTTTTCACATCTTCTTCTTCGATCTTCTACCGGCGGAAAGATTAAGGAAAATCATCTAGTCACTAGCTTATTTATTACCGCTTTTTATTGAACCAGTTGTCATTGGATCGTTTATTGCGCAGAGAAAGTGTCAGAGGGCGCTGGCGCTGGCCAACATGGGTCCGTTTGGAAGATCAAAGAGAAGAAGCCGCGCAGTCATTCCGCGCGCGAGGAGCCAGGGATTAGATGAATTGGTTGTCTTCGTTTTTGATTTTACTTTGGATATGGTACCTACTGATGTTTTTGGGGAGAAGACGAAGAAGATGGAGAGGAACGGGAAGTGATGACACTTCTTTCATTGGCTAAAAAACAGAGAAGAGTGATGGGAACAGGAAGTCGAATGAGGATAGTTCAGACCTAGGAAACATTTATTTGAAAAAAGTTATTTTTCTAATTCTTCTTGGTTCTGGAATCCCATCTCTGAGCTCCGGAATCCTGGACTAAAAAATTTAGTTATGCATGCTTTTGAAATTCGTAGAAGAAACTTTTTGGGGTCATCAATTAATCAAACTTTTTCTTTTCGGTGACTTTCTTTTCCCGGCTGCCGCCGCTCCTGGAAAAGTTGTTCTTGTGCTCCCTCGGGAACGAAATGAATTTCCTTTTTCCTCTCTTGACCACCCGATTCCTCGTTTTTCGCCTACCCTCCTCCTCTTCTTTTTGATGTCATCGTACAGAGAAAATAAATAACAAATTGTTGTTACTGCAAAAGAAGCAAACACAAACAGAAGTTCTTTCTGGGGAATTGAAAGTTTGACAAGTGTCTGAATGTGTCAAGCAAATGAAACCACGAAACTACTTGTTTTTTACAGGGACTCGTCGGTGTGTCAACTCATTCGGTGTGCGCTGAGCACTTCAAGATTCACAACGTTCCTTTTTTCGTTTGGATCCAAGAACGACGACAACGAGAATATTGCTCATTTGGCTTGTAAAATTGCGAGAACGAGAGTGAAAAGTGTCATGGGACACGGAAGGAAACCATCTGGGGTGAGTTCTTGAAACTAGAGTTTGCTCAATAGAGTTGGAAAGCAATCTGAGCTGAAAAAATTAATATAAATCTTTAGATCGTGTTTTCCTCTTTTTGCGATAGAGGAAGATACCGTAAACCCTGTATTAGTAGGACCCCTTAATTCGAGCCAATTTTTTTTGGGTCCTGTTAAAGAAATAAAAAATTTGTCAACTGATAAATTGTTTATCATAGTATGAGAATGTTGCATAGAAATTAAAATACCGTCTTTCCTCTTATTGAAGAATTATCTCGATTTCTGTAAGAAGTATCAAAAATTTGCCAACTGATAAAACATTAGTGATATTTTGATAAATATTTTATCAGTTGACTAATATTTTATATCTTTTACAGAAACCGAGATCTATGGGCTCAATCTTGACAGTATGAGTGGCCCTTCTATTAAAGAGTCTACTGCTATAGCTCAACTTGTAACTCTGGCAACTATCCGAAAATTAAAAAAAAAATCAGTTCCCGATAAAAGTGCATTTCTTAAGTACTTGACAACAATCAGTAGTTCTCACGGATTCCTCCTCTCTCCCTCCAAATAGTTTGTTTGATTAAGAAAAGGTCATTAGAAAACTGGTTATTTCTACACGAACATGCTAAGTTTCATTAATCATTTTCTAGAACATTCTCAAACTTTTGGATCATTCTTTGACCTTCAAAATTTCATTTTCATTTCTTCTCATGGAATCCGGTCTACAGGAATAACCTAAATATTAATATCGCGCAGCAAACATAATACCATAATCGAAATTTGATCCTCTTTTTTTCCGTATGTTGCTTGTATTATAGATTTTGTATTTACAAAGAAAAAACACAGCGCTTCTCCTTCCGCGTTATTTCTGTTCCGCTTTTTCTTTCCGCAAATCATATTTTCTCCATTTTACAGACATTCTCATCTGGAACTATGGATTCAAATGGATCATCATCGTCTTTCGGAACAACTACAATCACACCGGGAGGAACTCCTCGAACACAAAGAAGATTTGAACTAGAATCTGGTTCAGAATTGAGTGCAGCTGAAACTGTCATATTTTTGGGGCCGAGTTGTTCACGGACTACATCACCTGCATCCACAACAAGTGAGTTTCGGATGAGAAAAACCTATGAGAGAGTTTTGGGGGAGAGGAAGATTAATTGACTGAGATCTGATTTACGAGCTGCCCGCATTTTTTTTTCATTTTTCTCGTTCGTCTTCTCTATCTCATCTTTTCATTATCATTGGCTTATATATTTGCGACGGAAGGGTTATATAGTTTTAAGTGATTCTAGACTTTTCCATCTCATTTCTTCAAGTTCATCATTCGAAAATCTTTTTTGTTAAAGTCATATTTGAATTGTGCAACCTGTGCAATTTTCAGCTTGAAGTTTTTTTTTTCATTCAAAGTAACACAAAGCTTTTTAGAAGAATGGAAGTTCAATTTATCGTAAAAACCTGTAATAAAAAAACCCAATAACTTTTAACTTCGAGCCTATTTTCCTCGGTTCCTGTCAAAGATATTTGAAATTGGTCAACTGATGAATTGTTTATCATAATGTCAGGAGTTTTTGTTAGTTGAAGCATTTTTGATATCTTGCATATGAATTGAGATAATTGAGCTCAAAATGGCAGTGTGGGAGCCATTCTGTTACAGGTTTAACGTTGCTTTGAAAAAAATGTGGGTGACATAAATTACTGTAGTTTAGAGTCCAAAAAGGCCGATAATCCACATTTTATTGTTGTGGGATCATTGAGTTTACTTATTACCGTAATCTGAATTTGATCAAATTAGGTTAACTACGGCAAATTAGGGTTGTCACCTGTTGTTTTCACCATTCTGCACTGGAGATCGTCATTAAACTCATATGACTCACAATTCGAAAACTTATAGATCAATTATGTCTTGGAATTTTGTTTTTCTTATCTGAAAATCACGTCACATGCTATCCCTTGGGTGCGATATTACTCTTCATAGCATCATAAAACAATTATCCCCGGGAGGAGGTGCTAATTTCTATCTGGGCACTATCTGTCGATGTTGTTTCTTTATAAGACCGCCGGTATAGAAAGAGTATGAGTTATTCGACACTTTGTCCTCTATGAATTTTGTTTCTTGAGTTTGGAGCACTTCGGGGGCAGGACACAAAAACGAAAAAGTGACACGCCGAAACCATCATCAATCATTTCTCACTTCTTCAGTTCTTTTTGTTTCTCAAGAAGCAGGAGAAGACAGAAGACACCCGGTTGTCACATACGCATTTTTGCTAGCCGGTTTTCCGGTGTTTCTTGTTTTTTGTTGCACAATGCAACATTAATTTTTTGGAAAATTATTAGGTTGGCGGGAAAGTCTTTGTCACTTTTTCAATAGTTTATTTCTCAAAGAAAAAATAACCGAATAATTAATTATATTGTCCATCATTATCAACAACATGTCTCCAACGTTCCCTCAATTTATGGATTCCATTGCGGTAGAATCCAGCCGGGCGTGAGGCAAAGTATTGTTTGAGTGCCGCTTCGACCGCTCCACGGGAATTGAAGCTTCTTCCTTCGAAGGCACGTGTCATATCGCCAAATAACCAATAGTCGGAAGGAGCAAGATCAGGAGAATACGGGGGGTGAGGGAGAACATTCCATCCATATCCCATCAGCTCCTGCTTCACTTGTTTCGAAACATGTGGGCGAGCGTTATCATGTTGATAGTACACTTTCTTGTCTTTCAGGGCCGAACGGTCGACTGCTTTCTTGAGGTTTCGTAGTTGAGTAGTGTAGAGGTCTCCAGTTATTGTTTTGCCCTCGGGCAGAAGTTCCCAGTAGATGGGGCCGTCCACTCCCCACCACACAGAGAGCATAACTTTTTTCGGATGAAGGTCGGGTTTGGGGACATCCTGTGGGCTCTCTCCTTCTCCAACCCACTGGGATTTCCTGTGGTGATTATCGTAGAAGACCCACTTCTCATCTCCGGTTATTAGCCGGTCCAGCCATCGATCGCCCGCGTGGAGAGTGAGAAGAGTAATCGAATCGTCGACTCGGCGGTCAAGGTTGGCTTGAGTCAGGTGATGACGTATGAATCGACCAAAAAGTTTTCTCATTCCAAGAGACTTCAAACCTTCAAGGACTGTGCTATGGTGAACTCCGAATGTGACAGCTAGTTCACGGCTAGATTGAAATGGATCCGATTGCAATGCGTGCTTCAGCTTGTCCAAATCCAACTCACGGGGTCTCCCAGAGCGATCCTTTTCATCGAGCGAGAAGTCATCTTTTTCGAAACGATGGAACCAATTGCGAATAGTATTGTAGTGAGGGGCATGTGTGTTGTACACATTCTTCAAGAAAGTTTCCGAATCCTTCATCGTGGTGTGAGATAGGAAGAGGTAAATCAAAACATGTCTGATGTGAATAGCAGTGGGAACAAACATATCGTTTCAATTACAGATGAGGAGCAGGGAAGGAAATGGGGACTTGTTTATATGGAAGGTTCTTATCACCTTGTTATTCACTAGAGTCGATATCATACACAGCCTCCATATACGAGAACAGTGATTAAACAAACAGAGTGACAAAGACTTTCCCGCCAACCTAATATTTCAGATGAGATTCTCTCAGAATCTTGTTTATCTTGTAATCATATCAAACTTCCCATGATTAAAACTCTTCTAAGACTACTTGGTCACACGGAGTAATATTCCCATGGTCCACGGATCACAATATCTAATCCAACTGGTCCAATAAATTCTCATGTGCATAACCATGTGCATTGTCATAACTTTTATTCTACTTTTTTGTTTTCTTTTCATCATTCAATATACATTTCTTCTGGAAAACGTTTCGTGTGCAATTCGAAAGCTATAAAAGTTGTATTGGCTGGTAGAGTTAGAGTAGCATTTCGTAGTATACTGGATAGCTAGATCCAACACAACACAACTATAAAATCTCTTGTCTCCTCCCAAACCTCCGCTACCGCTGTCATCGTTCCATCAGATGCTCTTTGAGATTGTCTTCTGCCATAGATTGGTATCTCACCAGAAATTGGCGGTAAATCTGTTGGTGGGCGGTCTCTTGTCCCTCTTTCCATACCGATTGTAAACAGTCTCTGCCGCCTAAAAGGTCCGGTGAACAGACGACCCCTCCCTCCCCTCTCATAAAACACCTCTCGGCTCATCTCTGCTCGCCAGATTAGAAAGAGTTGCGCGAGAAGAAGAACGGTATTAGATTGGCGGTCTCTTTTCATTCCTAACACTTCTTGCCCATTCTAAGCATTATGTTGCTTTTTGAGAGGTCGTACCCTCACTTTTCTCAAGGTAAAACTCTAATTCATGAGTCCCACTCATAGTTAGGTTTCGAAAATTAACGTTTGTATTTTCTTTCAGTGCCGTCTACACCAACATCAATTCGACCACTTCATCGGACAACCAGGAATCACAGTGGCGTCGATCCAGTCAGCAAACCTTTGAGTGTTGAGACCAAGGTAAGTATTCTGAGTCTTTGGATAAGGAGTCCAAATACTGTATTACCTAATTAAATGCCCAACCAAATTGTCAACTTTGAGATCAGTTATCTCGATTGCTGGGAAAGATATCAAAAATTTGTCAACTGACCAAACCCTTCTGAAGTTATTTGTCATTCCTGAAACTCTGGCTCAAATTTACGACTTCAAACACATTTTTGAACCTAGCTTATTGTGATACCCAATCCAGGACCACTAGACAATATGCTCACTTCATCTCGAGCTTTTGTCGGTAGCTCTTTCATACTTCAAATGATACATCTAGCCGTGTGTCAACAATCACATTCCTTCTATTGTTTCCATATAAAGTGCCCCTCCTCCATCATTATAACAATCCTTCCGGTGTTCACATGAAGCGGAAGAGCCTTCACCTTTAGAAACGTGTCAAAGAGTGCTCCGCATCGTCGCGAAGATCTAATTAAGTGTGAGCAAACATGTGTGCTGCGGTGTGAGGAGAAAAGGGATGAATCAGAGAAAACTTCCCAAAGAGACATCCCTTCCAATGCACATGTGCAAATCGGTGCAATCGGATACCTTTTTGGCTGTTTTTGGAAGGATTTTTAGGATACTATGTAGTTTTTGTGGAATCTCCGAAAGTATATCAACATCATGTTTTTCCATGAGACTATACAAACAATGTAGTATTGCGCATATGCAACAATATTTACTCAAACGTCTCTCTTTTCTAGTCTTTTTTCGGACCGCTGAGGCTATATTCGGCATACTTGTCACGGGCTAAGCCGGGTCAAAATGAAAAATTCTCCGATCCTGTCTGTCGGGTCGGGGCAGATTCTGAAATTCAAAACTCTGAAGTTTTTGGAGAACTTTCGAAAAAAAGTCAAAGTTAGAATTCAATTAACTTTTCTCGAGAATTTTCAAAAAATCAGCTATCCGGGAGATCTGGCCGCACCAGATCTTTGAAGATTCTTATGAAACTTATGAATCTCTGAAAATAAAGAAAAGTACATGTTCGTTGTTTTCTATAGCATTTTCTATCTAAAATAGTTTATCTAAAATAGTCCATTTTCCCAAACAGTCCATCTCGATAATCGATTGTTTGTTGTCCGTCTCATAATTACGCAAGCCTCATAAATTTTCCACACCTTTCGCTTTGAGACCACGCTCTCATATCTCGAATCCATAAAAACGCAGTGTGGCGCAACACGAAACATCGGTCGGCACCTTTTGTATCTCGCCCGTCCCGTCCCACCAATTTTTATCTTTATTCATCTTTCCCTTTTAGTTTTCTTACCACCACGTCACACCTGTTACTTTTATATTTTTATGTCACGTTATCGTTTGTCCGAGTCCAACCCCGAGCCCAACCCAATTGACTCACTGGGAATAGGGTCTTCTTGCTCCGTTCCGGATGTTCCATCTCTTCCTCCCAGAAAGAAATAGGTCATTTGGAATGTAATATAAACTGGATGTTGGTGCAAACTGGTGAAAAGGACGACCCAATTTTCGGTCTCTTCTCGACCGCCGTGTCAAATGTAAACAATTTGTCTTCCGTACTATGTACATCTGATGATGATTTGCACTTTTGAATTGAAATTATGAAAGGGGAGGAGCTTAGCAAGCGGAGGAATTGTAGAGCGGCTCCTTATTTGACCTAATTTTCATCTTGGCATGGCCTGCCCGACAGGACCAAAACCTAGCAGTAGTAGGGATACAGTAACCCTCCGGTCCAGATCTTCTTCTCATTCACTTCCGTTATCGTCTGACTCTTCTCCAAAAAATCCCAAATCTTTTGCACCAAATCAAGTTGTATTTTCCGCCATAAACATCCATTTACGATCAATCTTCCGCCTGTTGGCCCGATTCTTCTTACTTACCACATACACCCACAAATGTCCTTCCCCTATGGAAATTGTAAAACTTGACAAGCCATAACTGTTTGCTGTTTGCTGGCTTACTGCCATTCCACTTTCTTTTCCCAGAAGAAAACTTTGAGTACTAAAGGATCTTTTAATTAGGGCATTACCCTAATTATCTCGGAGAGTACTGTAGTTATTAGAACAATTCTGCTATTCTTTAGTGTTCTTACAATGATGGCTGCCAGGTTTTATATTTTCATAATGGTCATCTTTACGATCCAGACCCATAACCTTTATTTTAAAAGCGTTCAATTAGCATTAGAGAACACTTGTGTTCAAAATTTCAACTCTTTCCACCCTTCATAAAATTCGTTTTTTTCCAGTCGTCTCCAACACACAACTGTCACGACGGTTGTATCCATTCGATCCCGCCCATGCTACGCGGACACACTCCATTCCTTTCTCCTCATCTGAAACTGTACGACGAGTTGTGCTCTCCACCAAACTCCTCGTGTGCATCACCTGTTCTCTCGGCTCCAAACGCATTTGGTGGAAAGACTGCAGAGGTGAGTTTTGTTTAGGGAGTTAGGTGTCATCATGAGCTTTTGGATATGAGACAGAAGTATCCGATGACACTGGCAAAATTGTGAGGTGACACTGAGTGGCACGTCATAACAAAACTTCAACTGGGTGTCTGGGTGTCAAGGTTATTCCAGACATCGCTGAATAGTGTGAAAATAATATTTTGCAACCGCAGAGGTGCTTTGAAATAGTCAGGACAGTCCTGGGGTTATGACACTTTTTGAAGCATCGTTCAACAAAAACTTACGGTGTTTCCTCTACCAACTTTGAGTCAATTCATCCCGGTTCCTGTGAAAGATATCAAAAAATGGTTAACTGATAAAATATTTTTGAAATTATGACTCATAAATTTCAAATCTCGTCTTGAAAAATCAAAGTATCTATACATAGTTTTACTAAAGTTTTTTTTCAGAGACGCGACGATTTTGGAATCATGATTGCTCAACCACATATCCCGTTGATGAAGGCCAAATCCAAGTGAGTTTCTTTTCTTTTCTTAAAATTTTTCTAAGTTCTGTAAGACCACCATGATTCCAATTTACGATGACTTCTCCGTCGTAGCTCCCCAAAGACAGCTGATATATATTTCGAATCAAAATCAACTCGATCATAGGAATCTAACGTCTTGTCAAGCATCATCTCATATATCTTTTATCTCTTCAAATGCTCTTTCTTGTTCTATTTCTATTGCACACTCACTCTCTTTCTAACACATTCCGTCCGTTTCACATACACACACACGCTCGAAAGACAAATGCATTTCTCATTTCACTTCGAACACACGACGACGGCATCACTTCGTCATTCCGGCAGCCGGGTGGCATCACGAAAGTGAAATCACTCTCTGAACTTCTCTCGATTCTAGAATTGTTGTCCTTCGAGGACAACAAAAAAAGGAGAAGAGATGCCACAGACTTCTGCATTATTCGAAATCCGAAGATCTCAAATCACGCTAATGGAGTATTTCAAGTACACTTGGCAGAGATTGATGTAATTTTTTTATGAAAATTAGGTGCAATAATTAGGCTATCTAGGAAACTTTCAATGAGTTCATAAAATTTATAAAACTACCCTTAAAAGAATCAAACTACCCTTAAAAGAATTTTGAATTTTCAGGTACAACTTGGACGATGGCAAAATGAAGCAAATAATGCAATGGATGGAAACATCAGAAGCGCCTCCAATCCTTTTTTCTTCTCCCTGCTACGAAAATTCAGCGACTAGTCTCGATGAACTCCGAGAATGCGTTGGAATTCTGTCACATCCCTTAGAAGATATCATCGAACAAGAAGAAGAATCCATGAGAACTTCCACAGCTACAACAGGCGGTTCGAAGAAAGATCATCCACTGAGAATCTTGAGCAAACAAGACCTGAACATAGACTCAGAGGCAAAAGATAAAGTGAGTTCATTTCTTTTTGTTTTCAGTTTAAGGGGGAAAACAGGTGGCTGCTTTCAACTCTTACTAATTGAGTTTGCTTCAGGACGAAACTGAACTGGAACTCGTGATGGCTGCCTCGTTGTCTTCGATGCGTTCTCATGATATTCTGGCAAAGTTGGAAGCGATGAGAAATGCACAAAGTGGACAGAATGGGCAGAATGGAAATATTGGAACGTCTCAATCCAATACCGATATGGATGTATCGGAGATGGATATGTATAGAAGAGCAAGTCATCTGGAGGAATATGCAATGCAAAGAGTGCGGGAGATCGAGGACAATAAGATGAAGAATAAGAAAAAAGTAAAATTGGGATTGAATTGTTGCCAGCAACAAAGCATGATCTCTTCTGGAAGTACTGTCGTTGATTGGAGTCAAATCGAAAGAAAGAAGTGAGTTTTCTTTTTTTTTATCCTGAAACAACTGAATACGTTTTTCAGAGAACGAGAAAAAGATGCTATGGAGGAGGAGAAACGAAAGGAAGTTTTGAGAGAACGAAGAGCAAAACTCAAAATTACGGAGCTTGAAATTAAGAGAGAACGAAACATGATTGACAAGGAACTGGATGATAAAAAGGGCATCGCCAACTCGATTGCTCGTCAACTCCAACACTTTTCCTTGTCACCATGTCGTGGTGGAAGGACCCATCGATCAGTGTCAACGCATCGAATCGATCCTCCGAATGCTTCTCTTCCATCGACTCCAACTATGTCTCACAAGAAAATGATTGGAGGAAGTCTCGCGAAATTGAGTGCATCTGGAGCTTCTGGATCTGGACCACCATCCTCTCCAAGTCTTGGATATCATCAGAGTTTGCCACGACATTCGAAACTTCCAACGGCGGTGAATGGAAGACGTTCATCGGCAGAAAGAGATAGGAAGACAAGCAAGAATTCAAGAAATGCCAGCTCGAAAGAAAGACGGTCGAGTGGAAGTAAAGAGGAGTTACAATGGAGAAGTCCTTATGCTCAGATGACATCTCCAAAGACATATGGAGGACCAGGAACATCATCTTCTGGAAGAGGATCAAGTGCTCCTGGATCTGACTTCGAAACTCCAGTTGTGTCGGCAACTGAGAAAACTGCAAATGGAACGATGCCAAGATCGAAAAGACAGAGTTATTCGGCTTCATCTGGATACGAATCTGCTAATGATTATCACATTTATGGTGAGAATTTCAAAAAATCTTGTTTCCTAATTTTCAAAATTTCCAGCAACGACAAACAAGAAAGCAAACATTCTTGAAAAGAAACGAAACGAAGAAAAACTTTTCCTGGTCCGCCAGGCCGACGAAATACGCCATCGACAGTGGCAACTGAAAAAAGAGCTCGAAGAAGCGAAAAGAGCAATCGGGCAAGAGGAGGATGCAAAGTGAGTTTAGTAGAAATTGTATAGACATGCAAAATATATATTTTTTTAATTTTCAGAATGATTGCCAATTCCAGTGATCAACGACTAAACGGGTTGAGTCGAACGACAATGGTTGATGCAATGCTTCAGGAGAATCGAATCCTTGAGAAACGACTAATTGCGTGTCGAAATCATTCAATGCTTGTTACCACTTTTATCTAGATTATTAGCCCCCATTTTGATCATACCAGGTGTTCTTTATCTCTCTGTCCCAGTATTTCATTTGTTGCCGTTTTAGAAAATCATCAGTTTTATGTGTGTACAATATGATTGAATCTAAATATATCTCACCAGTTATAAATAAACAATTATATGAAAATTTTTTTTGTTATTCAACAGATTTGCGGCGGTCCAACACTGACAACTTCTGATTTCTTCTTCTGAAACTCAAAACGCTTCCAAACTTCCAAACTACAACAGAAGACAGCTTTAGCGGCATTTCTGTATTGAGAAGACATGTAAAAACAGATGAACATGTGGGTAGAAGTGTCCAATGTTAAACCAAATGAAAATAGCATTGTGAAAAGATTCATAAATTCGCTGAAAATGATAATTTGAAGGACAAGTTTTCTGAAGTACAAGCTGGCGCACAGTAACCCGGACTGATAAAAACGAGTATAACTTTAGACATACATAAGTATCTTGGGATCAAAAAAATTGGGAGAAATATAGTTTTACTTCTGATTCGAAGCTACTGAAATTTTCGAACCGATTCTTCAAGTCCAGGTATTGCAATGATTGTCCAAAAATGATGTTGTGTTTCTTGCTCGCCGTTTTGATTTTTATGAGTTAAAGCAACTTTGATAAGCGAGAGCTCAGCTAAATTTGTGTACCTGTCGAGTGGTTTGCTTTGTAAAATAACCAATTTTCAAGGAAAACGTAAATGACTATTATACTGATTAGCACCTAGAAAGCTCGAAGTTGATCGAACAATTTAAGATTTGGCCAGATTACTGAGTAATCTGTTTAACTTTCGCACTCCAAATTTGAGTTCAGTACAGCGCTTTATTCAAATCTTATGGTTGCACAAACTTTAGTCCGGGTAACTATGCTCTATACTGTAAAACCGTACACGATCGCAGAATGTGGATTGAAAAACAGTTTAGCGAAGATCACAATTCCCAATGGAAAATCAGCAATGAAAAAAGTGATCGTGAGATATAATACAAGTTTGGTTTTCCTTCCGGAATTTTGATGTGTTTTTCCAGAATTCATCATCTTTGCTCTGTTGGTTTCAGTTTTCAAAAACTCTCTAACTAGAAGAAATGTGAAAACTGGGAATAGTAAACATGGAATCAACTGAAATGAAAAATCAAGAATAAGAAATTTTAGAGAAACAAACCTTGGACAATATCGGATCTATGAAACTATATATGCGAAAAACCAAATAATCATTTGCAGAAAACATATCGGAGTACTTGGATAAGAATTTGGTTGAAGTGATATTGGATTGAGAACAATGTATATTTTCCGGATTTTCGATCAACTTGTATTTTAGAAAACCAAGAATTGATATAGGGAGAAATAATGGAATTATACAGAGCAATACATAAACAACTGATGATGGTTTTGAAAGTTTACTGTATTTTGGATCAATCGGATTTCGAATAACTAAAGTACGAATGACTGCAATGGATAGACTGAACCAGATTGAGCATCTTCTGGAAAAGAATTGAAGAGCATCGAATATGGTTTTAATCAGTAAAACGGGATAAGAGTCTAAAATTGGACATGGTTGATAACTATTATAAATCGAAACAATTTCTAATTGAATAGGGAAAAGAAGAAAAAGAATGTCTGAAATGGCAACGAATGATAAAAACCAGTTAATAGAAGATGTTCTCATTGAGGTTTGATAGAGAATTGCTAGATGTAAAACGTTTATCAGTAGACAAGTAAAGGATATAATAGGAGCAGATTTCATTATGAAGAAAACAAATTTTCTGTGAATTATGTGAGTATTTTTGCTGGTTTTAAAGAACTTACGAAAATGCAATGAAAATTGAGCATAGCGCAGTAGAGTTTCCATACTCTGAATAAAACGAAGAGGGGCATTTGTCCATTCTTTCCAGACGAAATAAAGTATTGCCGAATAAGTTGTTGGGCTTTTCATACCGCACATGATTGGTTTTTCTAGTAAACAACAACTTTTTATTTTCTAGGTGCTAATCAGTATAATAGTCATTTACGTTTTCCTTGAAAATTGGTTATTTTACAAAGCAAACCACTCGACAGGTACACAAATTTAGCTGAGCTCTCGCTTATCAAAGTTGCTTTAACTCATAAAAATCAAAACGGCGAGCAAGAAACACAACACAATTTTTGGACAGTCATAGCAATACCTGGACTTGAAGAATCGGTTCGAAAATTTCAGTAGCTTCGAATCAGAAGTAAATCTATATTTCTCCCAATTTTCTTGATTCCAAGATACTTATGTATGTCTAAAGTCATACTCGTTTTTATCAGTCCGGGTTATCGTGCGCCAGCCTGTATTTCAGAAAACTTGTCCTTCAAATTATCATTTTCAGCGAATTTCTGATTCTTTTCACAATGCTATTTTCATTTGGTCTAACATTGGACACTTCTACCCACATGTTCATCTGTTTTTACATGTCTTCTCAATACAGAAATGCCGCTAAAGCTGTCTTCTGTTGTAGTTTGGAAGTTTGGAAGCGTTTTGAGTTTCAGAAGAAGAAATCAGAAGTTGTCAGTGTTGGACCGCCGCAAATCTGTTGAATAACAAAAAAAATTTTCATATTATTGTTTATTTATAACAGGTAAATTCAATCATATTGTACACACATAAAACTGATGATTTTCTAAACCGGCAACAAATGAAATACTGGGACAGAGAGATAAAGAACACCTGGTATGATCAAAATGGGGGCTAATAATCTAGATAAAAGTGGTAACAAGCATTGAATGATTTCGACACGCAATTAGTCGTTTCTCAAGGATTCGATTCTCCTGAAGCATTGCATCAATCATTGTCGTTCGACTCAACCCGTTTAGTCGTTGGTCACTGGAATTGGCAATCATTCTGAAAATTAAAAAATATATTTTGCATGTCTATACAATTTCTACTAAACTCACTTTGCATCCTCCTCTTGCCCGATTGCTCTTTTCGCTTCTTCGAGCTCTTTTTTCAGTTGCCACTGTCGATGGCGTATTTCGTCGGCCTGTCGGACCAGGGAAAGTTTTTCTTCGTTTCGTTTCTTGTCAAGAATATTTGCTTTCTTGTTCGTCATTGCTGAAATTTTCTAAAATTGTGAAAGGCAAATTTTTATAAACTCTCACCATAAATATGATAATCATTAGCAGATTCGTATCCAGATGATGCCGAATAACTGTCTTTTCGATCTTGGCATCGTTCCATTTGCAGATTTCTCAGTTGCCGACACAACTGGAACCTCGAAAGCTGGCATTTCTTGAATTCTTGCTTGTCTTTCTATCTCTTTCTGCACATGAATGTCTTCAATTCACCGCAATTGGAAGTTTCGAATGTCGTGGCAAACTCTGATGATATCCAAGTCTTGGAGAGGATGGAGGTCCAGAACCAGATGCTCCGCTCAGAAAATTCCCGGGATGTACCCTAGGTTATCTCGGGGATCCTATCACACGATCTCTGCTGAGCCACTAAAGACCTACAAAACGAGGTCGATTATATAGTGAGGTCCCCCGGATGTACCGACATCTGCCGGGTTCCGCCGTCCACTATGTTTTGTGTGCAATTGGGGTGGGGCTTAGGGACAACGGCACTCCGCCGTTTCCATTCTATCAGTTGTCGAGCGTTTCTCACCAAATTTCTTCTATTTTATATATTTTTGTAAGATTCGAGCAGATAAAAGAATCCTGCGACTTCAGTAACCTTACAACCTGAAGCACATTGTAAAAAACGAAAACAAACAATATCCAAAAACTCTCCAAAAGCAGTGATTTCAATGAAATACTCAATTTCTAAGATTTCAGACGTTTTCTTCCGATACCCGCCTATTAAGATGTTTCTCAAGAATTCTTACAGGCTGAGATTAAATTTGAGATCAAAAAGCAGCAAATTGAGCCCAAAATCATCAGACTTTGGCTTTCCGGCTTTATTTTCCAGTTTCGGCTTCTCTCTCTGCAAATCCTCTTCTTCAACGTTTCTTTTTCTCGTTTTTGTAAACTGCATTTTTTTGAACTTGCTGAATTATTTGACTTCTATTGAGAAGGAAACCATTTTAATTGAAGATCCACATAAACACATGTAACCCGAATCATTTATCTAACTTTACCTGACAAAAAACAATAGTAAAAATGATTTATGTTACAGTTTTGAAAAAAAATTAGGAAAAAAGATTATGACCGGATAGTCACCAACAGGATCATTTGTTAGTATTGTTCACGGCTTCTGTTGTAGACGACGTGCTGATCGACGAACGGAATTCTGAAAGTAGGCACTATTGTACGGTTTTTTCTATTAATCAACGAACTGATTGCTCCTGCTCTGGCTCTTCTGTCACTTCTTCGAGAGTTGGTACTGCCGCCGCTGGTTTCCTGCCTCGTTTTGGAGTTGTTGGAGCTGAACTCGATGCTGCAGTTGCAGAAGAAGTACTATTGTTACGCGGGCGACCGCGTTTAGGAGTTGTCATAGCTTGCTCTCCTTCTCCACTTTCCGGAATCGCTTTCAATGTAGCTGTACGAGAACGTCCACGCGATCTTTTAGCAGGTTCCTCGCTGGAAGTCTCTTCTGGCACCACAGGGAGACGCGTCTAAATTTTTTGGAATATTTTCAAAAAACAATGTTTTTAGTTACCGCAGATTTTTTGGTTGCAGACTGGACACTTCCCGATTCTACTACTGCAGGTTTTCCCGCACGGCGCGGAGTTGTGGGAGCAGAAACCACGCGTGTTGGCTTCTTCGCAGATACATTTGGAGTAGCTGATTCGGGAGCAACTGAACTAGAGCGTGCCTGTAATTAGATTAACTGGCTTATTTGACACATTATTTTTAACTGACCGGAGTTCTTCTTGTACCACGTTTTGAAGGTGTCGCTATAGCGTTGTTACTATTCTCTCCATTAGTCGCCGTTGTTGTTTCACTTGATGGCTGATGTACCGATGTAGCTATCTTGTCGGGTTGTCTCGCAGGAGTTTGACTACGAGAATTAGTCCGTGAGCGAGTTATACGACCAGTTGACAGGGTTTTAGTAGTTTCGTCTTCCTGTTTTTGCTCATTTTCTGTATTACATCGAGTTCTTGTCCTGGATGAAGATCGTGTCACAGAGCTACTCCTCGATAGAGACTTCCCTTTGGTCTTTGGTTTTTCAGGTGAAACTTGATCATTGTCCACAGCGCTTTTTGTTCCAGAGGTTTCGTTTCCAACATCTACCGGCGTCACTGATCGAGATTGGACTTCTCTCGAACGAACTTTTGAACGAGTATTAGCCTAAAGACGTTAGATTATATATCAAAGATTTTTTTTAACGAAGGAAACTCACAGATGGTGGACGCTCCACATCTTCGGCATTTTCTGATGATGGCTTTTGAACCACTGATTCCTCATCTCTCCTCACGACAAACGTATTTGAATCATAGGAAAGTTCAGCATCACCAAGAGGATGTGTTTCCTCATCTTCTTGAACCTCAAATGTTCTATCGAGAGCAATATCCTGTGCTGGATCTGTTTCCATTTCAACAGCAGCGGTATCCTCTTCAAAGCTAGGAAGTTTCAGTGGGCTAGATAATTCACAATCTTCGTCTTTTTGAACTTCGAAACTACGTTCAATTCCATCCCACTCTGGTTCCCCATATTCCATTTCAACTGATTCAACGACTTCGCCTGGAACGATGTCCGCGTTGATATTTTGCAGTTGGGCGTTTTGGACTTGTATCTCACTTGGTGAAACTTTGTCAACTGTATCTTGATCCATCTGTTTCTCCCTTATGACAGTGCTGGCGTGTGATTCTTCTTCGTCCATTTGAGCTTCCAAAGTTTGCTCTTTGAGCTCGTCCAGTACTTCGAATAGCTCCGCCTCTACTTTTTCCGTCTCATTAGGTTTTGAAATGCTTCGGGATCTCCTCACAGTAAGCGTATCCGCCTCTTCATCGTCTTCAATAATCGCAAAGTTAATCTTGGGTGTCTCCGATGGATTTTCCTCTAAATCATTTGGCTCATCTTCGACTGCCTCAATACTATCGTTTATCCCTTTTCTGACACTTGCATGAAAACGGATACGCCCTCGACTAGGTGATTGCAACGCTTTTGCTGTTTTCAGAATACTATTTTGTTTTGGCAGAATAGGTAACTTCTGAGTTTCAGTTGGTGAAGCCATATCTATTGGCTCCACTGGACGTTTGTAGTAACGAGCAGGCGTAGCGATCATTTGACTCAAAGTACAGTTCTTCGCGGATGTTTCTGGTTCATGGTTCTCATTTTCTTGAACTTTTTCCGGTTCCCTTTGTTGGATACGTTTGGCGGTCTGGAAATATCGACTTTTATTAAATTTGGATGCATGAACAAACTAACAGGTGGAACAAACGTGGTTGGACTAGTCCCCATTTCGTTGGCTTCTGATCTCCTCTTTCTCCCATTCTTATCGACTGTAGCAAACATCTCCGGCATACTTTCCTCGTCTTTCTTTTGCTGTTTTTCGAACATTTCCTTTACGGATCGCTCGATTTCTCTTTCTTTCGAACTTTTTTGCGACGCAGTTTTTTTGTTTTTATGTATTGTTGCAGGAATGAAATTGCTCAGTAATTGATGTGATTCAATTGCTTCGGAAGACATTAGATCATATCTTTGGTTTTCGAACAAGAAAGCTTGATAGAACTTTTCCGTCTCGGGGTCGAATGTGGGAACTGAAAATAATGATAAAGTTTCGATAATCCCGAAAACACTTACCTTTTTTATCCTTTTCACTTTGAGAATTCATTCTCTGCTTGAATTTTTCGATATCAGTTTGTTTGACTGTTGCAGACATGTATGCCTCTCCACGCCACAGTTGTTCATATGTGATTCCTTCTTCATCCATTGAAAATATGTTCTTGTCCGATATCTTCTCAGATGACCGCTCCTTGGCATTTTCCTTCAGGACTGATTTCTCTTGATCCATTGCAAAGTAAATTTTCTCCAAATCCACTTCAAGCATTTGGTTGGTCATTACTTTGATAATTTCAAGAGCTAGCTGATTATCCGTTTTCTCTGAATGGTACGGATTAGCACGAAGCCAATCATAGATATACTGAATGACAACTTCTCGTTTAATTCGTTCCGGAATAGCGAGATTGAGAACGGATTCGAGAAGATCTAACGGTGTCGGTGGATACCAATTATCATGCGGTGAATCATTCCAAAACTGAGCTCCTGAAGCCAATCGGTGCATATTCCTCACAGCCACTTGGACAGGGAGAGCTGTTCTGAAAGTAAAAAATGTTATATTTCATTGCTAGCGAATATGACAATTACCTATTGATGAGAGCTGAACGTTTTCTTTGTTCATGCATCTGCCGCATGCTTTGTTGATCTTGATGGTTCACTGGCACTATTCCAACGTTAATGAATCGACTGACGAGTTTGGTGTGATTGAGCATGCACTTCACAGAATGAGCCACGCTTCGGAGACGGGCTGCATCAGCAACGCGGATACTACAGCTTTTGATATACTCATAAACTATTCGGAATAACTTGATTCCCTGGTTTACGGTTTCTTCGGCCAGTGGAGAAAGTGAACAAGTGCTTCCTTGGAATAGCGAAACAGTTCGGTCAGAAATTATTCTTTTGTAATCGACTGCTTCGAAAAATGCCCAATCTGCCACCTCGATTTTGATTTTGTCGCTCAAATCCGTTTTTTTGATGAGACCAGTGAACTCTTCAATCTTTCCGTAATACATCATAGCATTGAGAACCACACGAATATTCATTGGCATTGTTTGATCATCACCAATCGATTCAGAAGCGCTTGCGTTTGGAGATCCTGTCAATATACTCTTTCGAATGAGTCCGGCAGCAATGATGTGTGAGGCCATCAACTCTGGAGATCGAATAATCCATGGAAGCTTTTCGGAGCATTTTTCAAGAATCTAGAAAAAAGTTCAACAATTGGATAGTCTAAAATGATCTCTTACCGTTTCTTGAATGCTCTGAATTTTCATCCAACTTATGCGATTGTTCTCAGCGACGAAAACGAGACCATAGGACATTGAAGATGGATAAAATAGCTGATCAGCGTCTGAGATCATACTATTGAATCGAGACATGCTTGTCGAATCCAGTGTGAGAATCCCAATATCATTGACATGTAATGAAGAGATTTCCGATCGAATGCATGACATGAATGGGCATTGTCTGAGAACCGAATTATCCGGTACTACTCTCCCAGGAACTCTTTTGTAATACCATGCGTCGATATCAAAAATTGATGCTTCAACGACGAAAGTCGGTAATCCCGTGGAACTGGTTTGAGCAGCTAACCTTTCATAAGCCAGAAAAACGTTGCTACGGTTGGAAGTACATCCGAAATTTTGCGTAGTGTTGAGAACTGAGCAATCCATAGAACTATCGTTCCGTCGTCTTTGAACCAACCCATCCGAGCTACCTCTCTCGGAGACGATAGTTTTTACGGACAACCAACGCTCTCCAAATCGAATTTTGTGTTCAAGAGTTACATGGAATTTAACACCATTGTACTTTTCAGAATCTACTACTCCGTCTTTGATGAACGAACCACGCCATAATTGAATCATGATTGAGTGATTGGACGAACGATCGACGGCGGCGATGAAATATTCATACTTATCCGGATCGTCTTCGGGCTCCATTGGTGCAATTTCATGAATCAGTCGATCGTGCCTCAATTCCAGCAATTCCATTTGATTCGATGGATTCAATGAGGCCGCAAGAATACCACCCATTGACAGTCCCACTAGAAGAGTTCGGCTTCGTGGCATGAGCGCCAGTGCTGAAACGTAAACACCGCTTGTGGGATACTCTCTGTAAGCACCGTCATCGCAAGAGTAGGTGAAGATGTCGTCGTTCACAAAGCCAGCTGAAAAAGTGTATTATCAATGTCAAAATAAAAAAGTTTTACATACCTAACAAATCCAACATCCTCTTCTTAGGAATTTGAACGGTAGAGTTCTCTTTTGGTGTGTTTCCTTTCATCAAACTCGTCAAGTAGCATTTCGTACTTTTGCATCCAATAGCAATAACATGAGGCCATTCGAGCAAACGATGATGTAACCCCAATGAGCCGTTTTCTTTTCCTTCTTTCATATCGACGTTTGAGAAAAGAGTTTTGACGACTGTTATTCTATTCGGAATTTCCATCAAGCCAGTGATTGCCATAGTTGGCGAATCCGGAACGATTGACAGTGCCGCTATGAAGTGTTCAGAGCCCCATATCATGTTACTATCCTCTACACCAATCAAGAACCCGAACCGACCATCTGAAAATAAGATACGATGATGTTTGCAACATTCCATTTTATTTATTACCTGTCGTTGGAAAATAGTCGACATCGATCAGGATGCATCCGTCAGGGAAAGTGTATGCGTGTGTTATTCTTTCTAAATCAACATCGAATACTTGACAAGTGCTATTTTTGAAGTTGATGATGTACGGAAGTTGCCGTCCAATCGAATTTTTGATGACTGATTGCTTGTCACCTCGTATGCATTCATAGGTGCAGTACGGTTTGAAGATGGACGAGGAATCCATCCTGTAAATAGCTTATCGGTATAAGAAGGGTGATAAATTCCGGCAAAAATAGAAGACACCGAAACTGTCAAGTTTCGGCAAAAAGCAAAAAAAATCGAGAGAGGAAAGCAAGAGAAAGAAGAAAACGGCGAAACAAAAAACGAAATTCGCGAGCAAAGTTTCCATTGGGTCTCGCCACGATCAAATCGAGAAACGGTAGTTTTAAAGGCGCATGTTGAGCGGCTTCGAAGAAAATTTTCAGAAATTTTTTGTTTTTTTTTCATTTTTTTTCGGTTTTGGATCAAAACTTTTGATTATAATATTATGTATTCTCTTCTACTGTTTGAATATTTCATTATCTCAATTGTAGATGCCGCCATTGGAAGCAGGCTATGATGAGTCGATCAACAATTCGAAGGATTCTGTGGACGATCATGTTAGTTTAGTTTTTTATGTTCGTAAATTCCCCATGTTAAACTGCAGAGATGGAACAAGATCTTTCCGAATTGTGTCGCCGATAGTAACATGTCCGCGGCCTTCATGAAAAGAGCAATATACGTGGCGTTTTCTGTAATTCTTCATCGCCGAAAAATTCTTCCAGCGGAATTTTTCTCGAAGAATTACATTACAAGTAGGTTAAAAATTATATAGGATAGTTTGAAAATGTTTTCTTTCAGGCAAAATGAGTTGCTTTACGTTGTGCTTCAAGAATGTGAAGTCCTATGCCATTTCTCAGTGGCTCAAAGCGTGTGGAGATGCTTTACAGAAGAAACATCTGAAAGAACTTTGCCTGGTGGTCACTAAGAAAGAAGGCGAAGTTGAAGCAGTGGAAACATATTCGCTGAAATTTTGCTACTACGAAGATGGAAGAGTCGCCGCCGATCTAGGAACGAGATACAATGAGGAGCCCTCTACCCCGTTCGAAAAGTTGACCGAACTAGAGTATAAAGGCACTGGTTCAGTTAGAGATCAGCTTGTTTTACTTGTCCGCAGTATTATTTATATCACACAAAAAGTTCTCAAGCCTTTGCCACCCGATTTCGCTGTCAATTTTCGTATAGAATACGCAGAGGGTACTCCTGATGATTTCAAAGTCGACGGTTTCGCTGATACGAGCAAATTCTACACATTGCCAGAGGATATTCAATCAGCAACACTCGGACATCTTCGTCCAGGACATCATGGAGCTTTTATGGATTGTTCCAGCAAGTACATGGAAGATGCATATAAGGCCGAATTGGATCTGAAACGTCATCTGGATGAAATAGCTTCAGCTCTTGGGTATGATTCGAACGAATCGATTTATCAAACGATGGAGACCGGGAACGTATCAAAGGATTCGAAACAAAATATCACTCCAGAGAAAACCAAAGAAGTAGAATCACCAGAAGCAGTTCCGATGGTAGGTTACTAATCAGCATTTAACCTGAATAATATTACTTTTTCGTTTCCAGAAACCAGGTGAAAGTCCTATAGTGGCCCCAAAAAAGACGCGTGCATCCGGCAGATCTAAAGGCCATGTTAACGATTCTCAGCAATCCCCGTACAGCAAGACTCGCTCCCGAAAGTGAATCACGTTCCCGAAAGTGAAATATCCTTATTGATCCCCAATTTTATGTTCATAGTGTACGATTGAAGCTCTTGTGAATTGATTGCTTCTGGTTTTGTTTTCTTTTGTATTCCAGCATCTTGTTCCATTTAGTTTTCTTGAACTTCAAAAGTTAGCTTGTGGTTTTGTTGTGTTTAATAAAAGTTTTTGAAAAAAATACGATCAGCTCAAAATTTTTAGATTTTTTCTGAAACTTTCAGAATAGTTAAAGAAACATTAAAGCCTGAAGAGATATGCAACGTAGAAGTCGGACGATCCTTCAAGCCGTTTGAGCCCTAGCACGTCGGCCGACTAAAAAAGTAGGCGTGCTTCTATAGAAGCTTCTACCAGGCACATCTCCTGGGAGAGCATTTGTACGAAACAGTTTTCATCTGTAAAAATGTAGGTCTAAATTTGATTATTACAGAATATGAATTTTAAAATTTTCAAAATCATTTTCACCTAGGCTGTCCCAGCTCGAACTACTTCACTTTTATACCTTTTGAATCTTTGCCCCTAATGATCTGAATTCTCAGTGAAGATATTCAGAAAAATGTACTAAATCAATCTTTTGCTCTTATTTTTTACAGTAATACTGAGCAGTTTTCTGGATTATCTCTTTTAAATTGAAAATTAAATATGATACCCATAAATAAGGAGCATATCTGACTTCCTCTCATACAGTGCGTTGCAGGTTCTGAGGTCAACACATGTTTAGGGTCATAACTTGAAAGCTGTTAGAGGTATCGGCCTAATTTTTTTTTAATCGGATTCGAGACAACAAATTAAATCTAGTGGACAATGTTTGTAATGAAACCTTGAAAACTACCCGAGTTATCTGGAAAAGTCTGAAAATATGCCTTTTGCAACCGTTGCAGGTTTATACGTCCATTCCGAAGATCAGTAGATCACGACCTCCAGCGGAGACGGAGGTGTCTAATTCTGATTCTTCCTTCTTGGAAAGGGGCTTGGAAAAGAGAAACATGAAATGGAAGATGTGAAAAAAGATTTATTGAAAAAAAACATTTCAAATATAGATATTCCTGAACATATCAGCAAAAATTATGAAAAATGAAAAGTTTCAAAAGTGTACTGATTAGCCAGACTTTCGCCTGTTGATCCCTTTCGCCACGTAGAGGCTCAGTACATGAAAGGGAAAATGGGTTTTCACTGGGGGAAAACACCAACACAAAACCCCATGTCTCCTAGGAGACAGTTTTCTAATTTTCAATAGTTCTTTTTCACTCCTAAAAAGCTATACGATCGCTATTTATTGTTTTTGTTCATTTTGTTTCTTTTTTCTTTGATTGGGTCTTTTGCAAAAGGGGGACGTTCAGTGAAAATAAATTCACCTAGCCATGAACCACCAAACATGGCGACCCTGAGGGCCTTTTGTAACTTTTTTCGCATCCGACCAATCGAAAGAAAAAAGCAAATGAAACAATAAACAGCTTACGCAGGGAGCTTCAGAGCAGTCAAAAAGTGCTAGTGAAAATTATCAAACTAATTCAAAAAAGTGAGATTTCCCAAAGAACTGTTTTTTTTTCAATACGTGGAATTTTTTCAACGTGGACAGAGGTGCGGGGCGTGACCTAATATTGATTGATTTAAAGGTTTATTGCGTAACGTGTGAAAAGTTTTAAAAACTCGAAAATTGAATATAGATTTACGTAACCCATTAAAAAAGTGACAAACTAAGGACGAACGAGCAAGAACTAGGTTTAATCGCGGCGAAGGTGCACCATCTGTTGTTTTATTTATTGGGCAATTATCTCGGTTCCTATAAAAGATACTCGAAATTTGCCAACGAATAAAATGTTAGTGATATAAACAATGATAATTTTGTCAGATACTTTTTTGGAATGAAAATCATTCATGCTAAGGTTATTTTGGTAGATCATGTTAAACTTTAACACCTTCCCCCAGTTGGTTCCGATGTACTTTTGAAAGAAGTTGAGACAACGTACTTTGTGATCGTCGGTGTCGGAGCTGGGACCATGATTGCTCTTTTGATGCATGGATCATCTTTGAGACATCTCTAACCCGTCGACTTCAAAATTCAGTTTCTGGTTGATACCATTACACGACTTCAAAGAGTTTAAAACGACAGTTTTACAGTGATTTTAGTTGTACAGAATCAAAATTGGACACCTCCGTCTTCGCTGGAGGTTGTGATCTACTGATCTTTGGAGTGGACGTATAAACGTGCAACGGTTGCAGAAGGCTTATTGTCAGGCTTTTCCAGATACCTAACTCTGGTAGTTTTCAAGGTTTCATTACAAAAATTGTCCACTAGATTTAATTTGTTGTCTCGAATCCGATTTTCAAAAAGTTAGGCCGATAACAGCTCTCAAGTTATGACCCTAAACATGGGTGGACGTAAGAACTTGCAACGCACTGTAGAAGCCCACCCAAAGCGTGAAATTTGAGCTAAATTATCTCGATTCCTGAGAAAGATCTGAAAATTTGGTCAACTGTTAAATTATTGGTGATGTTATGGTAAATAATTTATCAATTAACACTTTTTTGACAGAAGTCGAGATGATTGAGCTCGAAGTTGACGGTTTGTGTGGGCTTCGATTCGAGGAAATACGGTAACCTACTGTTTTGGTGTACCTATTCATTTCAGATTCATGAATCAGAACTGTAAATAAATTTCAGATCACACAGTTTATTATAGGAAACAGATTGTGATGAAATCAGGAAATGTAAAAGTGTTTGGAGAAGCATTTTGGGTCAAAAATAATGATGTGAATGCAAACAAATTGATCATATTTTTGTACAGAGAATAATAATTGTTATATGTTTCAAAGGGATATGAAATTTAGGCATTCAGTCAAAGGAATCGGGCATTGGATGCACTTCTGACGAGAGCACTGGAGGGGGATTGAGCAAGTGGGAAACCATCTGGTGGAATGACGGAAGCAGACGCACGGATCTTGTTTCGCATCTTTGAGAGGGCATTCTCAGCGATTTCAGCTCTCTCGTCGGCTTGTTCGAATTGGGCTTGGAGCACCTTGTACTTGTTCAAGTTGCTGGCAGCAACCTCCTCCTGTAAAAAAGTTTGGTTTGAATTTTAAAAAGGAATAAGGAACTGAAAAGTAGTGAAAGAAACTTACAGCCTCTTCAACCTGTCTCTTGAAAATCTTGAGTTTAGTCTGGAGCTTATCAACCAATTCAGTCAGTCTCTCTTCGTTCTTCTTCTCCTCGATAACTTGGAATTCAACCTCCTTGACACGTCTCTCAGCCTTACGCCAGTTCTTCTCGGTATCTTGATGACGTCTTTGCTCTCCATCCAATTCTTGTTCAATGGCACGGATTCTGGCTTCCAATTGGGCGATGATCTTCTTTCCTCCCTTCAATGCCGCGTTCTCAGCGTCATCAAGTCTGATCTGCATTTCCTTGATTTGAAGTTCAAGTCCCTTGCGGATTCTTTCTATGTGCATCGAGTGTTCTTGTTCTTGGCGGAGCTCTTCAGCGAGACGGGCGGCGTCAGCAGATGCCTTCTGTCCTTGTTCTTGTGCGTTCTTGAGTTCAGTGACAAGCTCTTCGAGTTCAGCGTGGACAGCGAGAAGCTCTCCTTCGAGCTTGCGACGCCATCCGGTGAGGGATGACACTTGGTTGGACAGGTCGTTGTTCTGCTCACGGAGCTCAATGCAATCAGCTTCAGCGTTACGACGAGCTCTCTCAGCGGCTTCTGCTTGTTGAGCCAACTCGTCTTTCTCGGCTTGCAAGATTCCGTTTCTCTTCTCGGAAGCCAAGAATTGCTCGCGGAGCTCGTCCTTCTGGCGTTGTTCCTCTTCGATTTGGACTTGAAGTTCGCGAACAGTTTCCATGTACTTCTTGATGGTCTTCTGGGCATCAGCATTAGCGCGGTTGGCATGATCCAAAGCGATTTCGAGATCGTTGATGTCGCTTTCGAGCTTCTTTTTGATTCTGAGGGCTTCCTCTTTTTGCTTGGTCTCTGCTTCGAGGGTAGCTTGCATGCTCTCCAAAGCTCTTTGGTGGTTTCTGCGAGTGTTCTCGAACTCTTCCTCCTTCTCTTGGATACGCTTCTCGATTTCACTGCGGATCTGGGAGACTTCGATTTGAGCTCTGAGAACCTTGGCTTCTTCAGCTTCAAGAGCAGCTTCAGCCTCGTCGAGAGCCTTCTGGAGCTCCTCCTTCTCGACTTCCAATCTTCTAACAATCTTCTGAAGTTCAGCGACAGATCTTCCTCCTTCTCCAAGCTGATCGGTAAGATCCTTGACTTCCTGAGCAAGAGACTTGTTCTCACGACGAGTGCTGTCAAGGTACTCAGCGAGCTCATCGTTGGCAGTCTTTGCCTTGAAGAGATCAGTGGAGAGTTGACGGTTATCACGCTGAGCAGCATCAAGTTCGGAGGCGAGGTCATCGGTCTTCTTCTTCCACTCCTCAACGATCTTCTCGAACTGACGACGATGCTTCTCATAGTAGGCAACTTGAGCGGCAGCCTTCTCAACATCGGATTGAGCGTCATCCAAATCTTGCATCAACTTATGACGGACCTTCTCTTGAGAAGCGATCTTGGCAAAGAGACCCTCGTTGGTATCACTCAATTCTTGAACCTTGAGTTGGAGAGCCTTCTTGGCGGCCTCGATCTCCTCGAGTTTGTTAAGTCCCTCGGAGTCGAAACGAGCCTTCCATTGTTGGATTTCAGCATTGAGCTTGCTGATTTGACGGGTCAGATCAGCCTTGGACTCGGCTTCTTCATCCAGATGCTCACGAAGAATTTCGTTCTCGTGTTCCAAATTCTTGGCAGTGGCAGCAAGAGCTTGACGTTCACGACTCTCCTCTTCGAAGTTACGACGAGTTTCATCGAGTTGAGATTGGAGGGTGGACTTGAGACGGTGAAGTGAGTTGACTTGGTTATCCATCTCCTCAAGAGTACGGTTCAAATCTCCATTCTCGTTGTTGAGACGGTTCTTGAGAGCAGCAAAGTCTTGGAGTTGTCTGGATTGCTCATCAGCCTTGGTTTGAAGTTCCGAGAATTGAACTTCAATAGTCTTGTAGCTTTTTTCAACTTCTTGACGAGCACGAACTTCGCTATCAGTGGCATGCTGGGCTTCTTCAAGATCACGTTGAAGCTTGGCTCTCTCGGCATCTCCCTTAGCCTTGAGCTTCTGGAGAGTTTCGAGTTGCTCAGTGAGCTCAGCAACTGCATCAACTTGACGCTTGCGAAGAGATGAAACAGCAGTTTCGTGATTCAAGGCGTCTTCCTCCTTCTCACGACGAAGCTTGGCAATTTCAGCCTCGCGCTTCTTGTTAGCCTCGAGTTGAGCAGCAGAGAATCCTCCCTGTTGCTCCAATCTCTCGCTGATTTCCTCCAACTCGCGTTGAAGTTCGTTGCGAGTTCTGTCGGCCTTTTGGCGAGAGTTTCTCTCGGATTCGAGTTCCTCCTCAAGTTCGGCGATTCTGGCTTGGAGTTCCTTGATTTGGCGTTGAAGTTTAGCAGCAAGAGCTTGTTCCTCAGCAAGCTTGGTGCTAGCATGATGAAGATCATCTTCCTTTCTCTTCAAGGTGTTCTCAACATCTTGCTTCTGCTTGGTGATCTCATCGATGTTCTCTTGAGCGACCTTCAAATCTCCCTCAACCTTTCTCTTGGATTTCTCGATATCCGAACGAGATCTCTTCTCGCGGTCAATAGTTTCCTCAAGCTCATCCATTTGTTGCTCAAGCTTGTTGCGGATCTTCTCGAGATGGTTGACCTTGTCTTCCTCGGATTGAAGATCTTCGTTGAGTTTGCGGTTGGACTCTTCCTGATGCTTCTTCTCCTTATTGAGCTTAGCAACAGATTCGTCTTGGTTGGCCATTTCATCTTGAAGAGAACGGATTTGGTGGTCCCGGCTCTGCTTCTCTTGTTCAGCCTTTCTCAAAGTGAGCTCCAAATCTTGAACGTGCTTCTTGGTGTCAGAAAGTTCTTGCTCAGTCTTCTTCTTCTGACGAGTGAGATCCTCATGACGCTCTTGCATATCCTCAAGTTGTCCAGTGATATCGGTCAACTTGCTCTCAAGAGTAGCCTTCAGCTGGTTGAGCTTCTCATTTCTCTCCTCGGCGTCAGCCAAGTTGGCCTTCTCAGTTTCAAGGCTTAAGAACAAAGCATTCTTCTCCTCAACCAAATCGGCAACTTGAGTCTCCAATTGAGAACGAGCAATCTCTCCGCGTTGAACGGCCTCCTCGAGCTTCTGGATCTTTTCGGCAAGCTCTCCCATGGCTTCTTGTTCTTTTCCGGCTTTGAGCATTGGCTTGACCTTTCCGAACAACTTGAACCATTCCCAGGTTCTGAGAGTGCACCAAGCACGAACATTGCGTTGAACAATAAGCAATCCAGTCTGTTGTTCGTAACGACGACGGACTTCAGCCTTAGCGAGGTAAGAACGAATACGAGATTGGAACATGGTAACGATTCTGGAGAGAATCTCATCACGCAAGTCTTCAAGCTTGGCAAGAACTCCGGCCTTGAAGAAGATCTTGGTCTCTCCGATCTTGAATTCTTCGTCAGTCAAGTTTCCATCATTGGCAATCTTGTCAAGGATTCCGACGGAAGCCTTCTTTGGATCAGAATCCTTAGCAGCATCAGCAGCAAGGATAGCATAACGGTGCTTGAAATCTGGGTAGAGCATTCTGTTCGGGAATCCTTTACGGCAAATTCTGATTCCTTCCAACACTCCGTTACAAGTGAGCTGGTTGAGAACGAGGGCAGAGTCAATGACTCCAGATGCTTTCTTCTCGTTTGGAATAATACAACGGATGAAATGTGGATGGGTTTGATAGAGCATATTCATCAAGTTGTTGAGAGACTCTCTGTAGATCATAGAGACAGTAGCGAAAGAAGAAGACTTTCCACGCTTTCCTCCTCCAGATTGTCCAGCCTTGGCGGCTTCAGCAGCCTCTTCCTGGGTCTGGTAGTCTTGCCAGATGTCCAACATCAAGTTGTTATCAACAGAGTGCTTGAGAAGAGCGACAGCAGTGTCGTTGAGTGGATCCTTGTTCTTCTCAAGGAAGTTGTTGGCGTTGTAACGGACAGTTCCAGCGTAGTGGACGATGGCGAAATGAGCATCTCCTTGCTTTCCCTTTGGTGGTTTTGGCTTCTGGAAGTTTGGATGCTTTCCAAGATGTTGATCAAGAAGCTTCTGGGCGTAGGTCATATCAGTGGCCTTTGGAACAATGCACTCCTCATCAAGAATTGAGATGATACCGAGTGGCTTTTCGATGAGCTCGATACAGGCTTGAAGATCGAGTCCGAAATCGATGAAGGTCCAGGCGATTCCTTCACGCTTGTATTCTTCCTGCTCAAGAACGAACATGTGGTGGTTGAAGAATTGTTGGAGACGCTCGTTGACAAAGTTGATCCAGAGCTGTTCAAAGGAGTTCAAGTCGAAGATCTCGAATCCAGCGATATCGAGCACTCCGATGAAGTGCTTGCGCTCAATTTCCTTGGCATCAAGAGTTTTGTTACATCTGTAAAATTGTTTTGACTATTTTTTAAATATTATATTGCCTACAAACCTGTTGATGATCCACTTGAACATACGAGCGTAGATAGCCTTGGCAAGTCCAGAGACAGCCCAGCTGACTTGTTCCAAGTTCTGTCCCTTGTTGACCCATTCGGTTCCGACACGGACACGTGGCTTGGTCAAAGCCTTGAGGAACTCCTCAGCGTTGATTCCAAGCATGGCAGCGGCGTTGAGAGCATCCTCCTCACCATCTGGCTCGGCTTGTTCTTCGCGTGGACGCTGCTTGAACTTCATTTCTCCCATATGCATGATACCAGCAGTGGAACGGTAAAGATCCATGGTCTCTTGATCTTCGAAGCCCATGATATCGAAGGCTTCTTGGGTGAGTCTCATCTCTTCCTTATCATCCATTCCTTCAATGGTAAGCTCGGCTTGGGAGCAGAAGTGATAGTAGGTGATGTCATTGTTGAGCTTCAGCTTTCCGCGGAGGCTTGCGTCGTTACCAGACATGATTTGGTAGAAGATGTGGTAACAACGCTCTCCTGGAGCTTGACGAACGACACGAGATTTTTCGAGAAGATCTGAACATGATCAAAAAAGAAACTTAATAAAAATTGATTTCAAAACTTACAATGCTCAATATCTCCTCCAGCCAACTTTCCGGATCCGGAGAAGTGAGTTCTGATGAACTTTCCGAAACGAGACGAGTTGTTGTTTCTTACGGTTTTGGCGTTACCGAAAGCCTCCAACACTGGATTGGTCTGAACAATTTGCTCCTCGAGGGTTCCTCCCTTCTTTCCCTCTTCCTTCTTTCCTCCGGCAGCAGCTTGGGTGGCTCCGACGATGGCGAAGTAGGAAATAACCTTCTTGGTGTTCTCAGTCTTTCCGGCTCCGGATTCTCCGGTAATGAGCATAGATTGGTTCTCCTTGTCTGAAAATTTAGCTTTTTGAATGAATTTTTAAAATGTATCAACGAACCTTGAACCATGTTACGGTAAGCCTCATCAGAGACAGCGAACAAATGTGGTGGCATCTCATTACGTCTCTTTCCCATGAAATGCTTGATCACAGATTCACTGTAGATTGGGAGCCTTTTGTATGGATTGATTACGACACAGAAAAGACCAGAGTAGGTCTGAAATTATAGTCATTCTTTTCTGTTCTTATCAATTCAATCCCTTACATAAATCATCAAATCCTTGTAACGGTCCTTGAGATTTCCCAAAACTGAGGCTTCGTTCAAGAATGTCAAATTAGCCATATCCTCGGTTTTGTCGAACTTTGGAGGGTTCATCTCTTGGCATTGGTCTTTTTTTACAGTGATTTGGTTTCCCTTGACAGTAACCACGGTCACTTGGTCGCCAGTGGTGGATTGGATCTCGGCGGCGACGAATCCTAAACTTTTGGAAGTTGTTTTTATTCATTTTTTTTTTCATTTGGGTCTTTTTTATGTGGACGGAAACCTTTTTGATTTACAGTATCTTCCTCATCCCCCAGTAGGTATCCCGGTGGTTTTCTCTGATCTACCGTCAAACCTGCAATAGAAGGGCCTCCTCACTTTCAACATTGAGCCAGGTTTTCTTCGATTACTGTCAAATATATCAAAAAGTTATCAACTGATAAAATGTTGATCATAATGTCAGGAATGCTTTGTCAGTTGATCTCTTATTGATATCTTTTACAAGAGCCGAGAAAAATTAGCTTAAACTTGACAGTGTGTGGGCTCTTCTGATACATGTTTTACGGTATAAGGATACTTGAGGATCCCATGTAAGTTTATTTTTTTATATAATTTTTAGTTGCGATAAATAAATTTTCAGTTCCAGTCTGTTCAGTTTATATTACCATTACTTTGAAGTTATAGCTCATAACTCCTAGGTCATAAATTTCAGCATTTCGTCTCTATCAACATGCACACACACATTTTGTTGTCCATCAACGAAATGTGGGTCGTCAAACATCTCAATCTTGAATTCTGAGAAATCTCATCATGATCTTTTCTTCTGCCAACACCCAACATCCTCATCATCATCGGGAGAAGCTCCCGCAGCATAGCGTATCTGTCTGCCGCTCTTCGTGCCCGCGAAAGATTACAAAGTGCCGTTTGTATTTGTGTATGCTTCATCAGATGACCGAGGGATAGCAGAAAAAAAAGAAGATAGAGACAACCTCAGATGTTCAGAAATCCGCCACCACTGACTGGGGGTCGATGAAGAGTGTGATGTATCGGAGAAAGAGCTCGACGATCAGAGAGATTCAGACAAAAAGCGTAGGTGAGGGAAGATGGATGTGGACACTGGGCGATGAAAAAAGAGAATAGAAAGAGGAGGTGTAATAATAGTTAATGGGAATGGACAATTAAAGGACTTCTTAACTAGGAAAAGCTAGGTAATTAGCTCAATTGGAGCTCGCAAATAAACAAAAACAAATGGAGTTATATTTGAAACATGAATCAGATACGCCTACAGTAATCCAAACTGTTAAAACCAGAACTAAAAAGAACATTTTTGAAACAAAATTCAATTGAAGTTAGTTTTCTAAAAATTTCCAACAATAATTGTTCGCAGATCTGCAAAACAATTTTGATCCCGCATACCGTAAGCATTCTAACAGAATGCCACCCATAACTTTCAACTTTGAGCAGATTTATCTTATTTCCTGTAAAAGATAACAAAAAATGGTCAACTTACAAAATGCTTCGCATATTATAATAAAAATTTTGGCAGTTGACCACTTTTTGATACATTCCGAAGGAACCGAGATAAATGTGTTCAAAATTAGAAGTTAGGGTGCTTTTCTATTACAGGTTCTATGTACGGTACACGTTCTACCGAGAAACCGAACAGACTGATTCTTTTTTTCAACAACAGATTATGCCTTCTAACCTAAAAAACATTTCCGAAACAATCAAAAAAAGCATCACTCACCATCTTCTGGATCTGGAATCCAGCAGTTCTTCTTGGAGTCGAATGGACGGGCGGCAGAAGCAGCCTTCGCCTCTCTCGACATTCCCAAGAATGGGAATCCTGGATCATTTTCGAATGCGTCCGGATTGCCAGACATTTCTAGATGGACCTAGTGTTCGTGGGTTTGATGGCTCCCTGCCCTGTAATTAAAAAGTTCTTAGAATAATTGAAGTTAGAAGCGAGTGATTATGTTTCACTTCAAGCAATGGAGCATAAAAGAATTCGAAAAAGAGAAAAATTACAGAAATAGAAAATGGATTAAAAAAAAGTGGGTCGGGTCAAAGAAAGGTGGGAAATGAGAATGTGGTTTCAGGTTTCGATAAGATTGAAACAGAAGAAAAAAGGGTAGAGAAGAAGAAGAAGACCTCAATCATCTTTTGAGCCATCTTCATTTTCATAGCATCAAAAACCAGAAGCATGAATCTTCTTCTTCATCACCTTCACCTTCTTTTTCTTCATATGTTTCTTCTTCTCCTCCCACTGCCCCGGTAGCTTCTCCCCTCCCCTCCTAATATCAATTGAATTGTATTGAGCCGGGGCGAGTTGTGGGGGAGCAGCAGAATGTGTACAACACACATCATCTCACTGGAAAAGATAAAGAAGAAGAAGATTCCCGGGAGTACCCGCCCTCTCTGCACTCTCTCTCCATCCTCTTGCTCCTTTTCGTCCGGATCCCGGGAGCACAACCAACACCTACACTTTGATGAGAGAGTGAAGAGAGACAAAGAAATCTCGAAGGGACACAAATTTTGTTTTTAACAAATCGCCAAGCGATTCGAAAAAGAAGAAAGAGGAGGTGAAAAAACTAGGTGCTATTGTTAGCACCGGGGGAACGGAGACTCAGCGGATCACAAATCGGTTATGAAATACGTTCTTAAAATAGGAGTGGTGGGGAACACGGATCTCTATTTCTTTTTGAAGAGCACATTCATAATGTTGTTTGAGACGAGTATCCATAGGTGGGTACATCTAAATTTTGTTGGATTCAATAGATCTGTACAGGATTGAAATGAACAATAAAAAAGCTTTATTCCTTTCAGATTGGAAATATAATTATAAATTTCAAAATTAGTTATTGTAGTACGGTAGGCCAGCATGATTTTGAAGCTGCCGAAAGAAGAGGGTATGGAAAAGAAAACAGTTCAGGTATTTGATCATAGAAAAATTATCCTAAAGATGTGTGTTTTGAAATGAAATTTTCCGTATGTTTTCAGTCAAAAACATTCCGGAAATATCACAATTTTACAGAACATTTTGGACTATTGCCATTTGATCAGAAAATTGGTCAATTTTGGCGAAACTGATAGATTTTCATGAATTTTGAACAAGAATTCACTGGATTTTTAAAATAAAAGTTTCGGAAAAAAGGCTGAAAACGAGAGAAGGGGCTCCCTTTAATTGACGGGTCTTTCAGAGCTGCCTCGGAACAATACATAGAAAGGGTCGGCCCTTCTATTACAGGTTTTACGGTATTCTGATCATGGAGTAATTCTGAAACAAATTTTATTTAGCAATCTTCTGTCTATAAGTTATTCTTCGGAGGGATGTTGTACTGCTATCAAAAATTGAACCTGACCTGAAACCTATGCCGTCAGAAATCTCTAAAAATTTGTACCCATTTTTCAAGTACCAACGCATTTCAATCTTTCTTCTTTTTTCATGCAGTTGCATTCTTTTTTTGTTTTCCACTTCAACCCTCATCGTCACCTCTGTGTTGATTGACCCATATCCTGCCATCACGTACCAAGTTCAGATTGGCGTAAAGAATGGCAACAGTTGTCGTTTATCACATGGCTCTGATTCTCTCGGACCCTATCCGTTTCTTATTATCTATCTTTTCGAAAACAACGTGTTGATTGGTCTTTCAATTCCTGCAACATATGAAGCAATGACCAGGTCGCCGGAAGTGCACAGAGTTGGAATCGGTCGTGTTGGAAGAAACAAAAAACATCTGGACATAAAAAAACTTATGTTGCAGTGGGGTAGAGCAGAAAAAAAATGGAGCTTCTTGAATGAATAAAAAAACTGAAACGAACATTCTACGGATACTATACAAAATTCTTCAGAACTATATTAATTCTTTTAATCTCTCATAAAACATTTGGAGATTTTAACCAGAATACTAATAAATACATTTGGATGGTTATCAACAAGTTTTCCATAATTCGTTTTTCCTAATTTGTCAAAAATCACTGAAGTGTCAAAAGTTTTCCTGAAAGTCAAAATCTCTAAACTTTCGTCTTGATAGTCATCCGAACCCAATACCTTGGAAGCTGATGCTCATAAATTTCTGAGTTTCTGAAATTTTGAAGCCTTGAAAATCTGACGTTCTGAAATCTCGGAAGTCTAAAAATCTGAAATTCTGAAAAACTGAAGTTCTGAAATCTTGAGAATCTAAAATCTGAAAGCTCTGAAATTTTGAGTGTCTAGTCTAGAAATCAGAAAATCTGAAACTTTGAAATCTGGAGAGTTAAAATATTATAAATTCCGAAATCTTCAAAGTCAAAAAATCCGAAATTTTGAAATCCTATGGCAAAAGATATGGCAAAAGTTTGCCAAAAAATATGACAAAAGTCGAAAAATGGCAGCATAAGGCCTATACCTAGATGGAAGTTCTTACTGTAGACTTGGTATAATGTGTTCAACAATTTTACTGCTCACAATATGAAAAGTTCCCAGAAAACCTCATGCTTTCCTGAAACCAATTACAATTGCGTCTAAAAACGTTTTGAACCAAAAGTTGTCCGTCAACAGTCCGTCGACGGTCCGTCGGTTGTCTTGAATGCCAACTAGCAGTCATTCGCCAGTTTGCAGTCTTTAGCTGCTATTTAGCAATTTTTAAGCACCAGTTTTTTGCCTGTAAAACCTAACATCAGTTTTAGTGACCTCACAATTAGGAAAATTGATCTGAAAGTTTAGATTTAATGCTAAACTAGAATTAAATCTATCATAGACCTGCTGCATCAGTCTTGGTAAAAACCCAAAATATATAAATTACCGTAAAACCTCTAATAGAACGACACCCGGATCGTCCACTTTGAGCCTATATATCTCATTTACTGTGAAAGATATCAAAAAGTGGCTAACTAGTAAAATGTTGCTGATATCCTGATAAACATTTTACTAGTTAACCACTTTTTGATATCTTTCAAAAGAAGTGAGATATATAGGCTCAAAGTGGACGATCCGGGTGTCGTTCTATTAGAGGTTTTACGGTATTTCCTTGATAATGACAAAATTAAACGGGAAACTACAGTTAGGGATTTAGGATTTATGATCACTGAGAGATTAGATTTCTCTAACCATTGGCAGAAAGCTATCAATAGGGCGAAATATGCTAGTTACTCTATTTTTAAAACTTATCATAGTAAGAACGTTAGATTAATGTCATTACTATATAAGACTTTTATGCGACCGTATTTGGAATATGGAACGGTGGTAGCCAGCCCTTCTAAAAAACTGCTCATTGACAATATAGAGAAAGTGCAAAGCTCCTTCACTATAAAATTGATGAATAGAATAGTGGGTAGAAACTTAACGAGAATTGATAAGGATTACAAAACATCTCAAGACAGATTGACCGAATTCAGCCTAGAATCACTACAATCTGGACGGGAAAAGCTTGATCTGAAAATCTTCAACAAACTCATTCTAGGTAAAATTAATATAAATCATTTATCATATTTCAAAATTAGATCGACAAAAACGCGCAGCCGCCACACCTACCAATGGAGAACTCCAAAGTCTAAACTTAAACAAAACTTCTTCACACATAGGGTTCTTAGTAAAATGATGAGCTCTACAAAACGGATCTAAAAGCCTGCTGCTGTCAGAAGTTCGGAAAAAGATTTGTTATTATCCACTATTATTCATGTCTAGGTTAGGAAATATCAATTTTATGTCACCATGTCCCTTTTTGTCTATTTTTTTGTCTATTTATTCTCTTTTTCATTCTTTTTTCTTTTTATTCTTCCACGTATTTTTTACGTAATAAATACAATACAATACAAGTTTATACATTGGCCACATAAAAAGTAGTTGATTTCTATGTTGTCAACGTATCTAGGTTACGTGAACTCGATTTATCTTCCAGCCAGATCAGGAGCAAGATATGGAGCACTGATAAGAACCCGGTATAAATAGTTGGCGCAGTGACCCAAGCCTTCACTGAGTTCCAACAACTCCTTCAACAAATCGACATGGCTCAATCCGTCCCACCAGGAGACATCCAGACCCAACCAAACGCCAAGACTGTCTTCAATGCTCCGTATGATGACAAACACACCTACCACATCAAGGTGATCAACTCCTCGGCTCGTCGTATTGGATACGGTATCAAGACGACCAACATGAAGAGACTCGGAGTTGACCCACCATGCGGAGTTCTCGACCCAAAGGAGGCTGTGCTTTTGGCTGTGTCATGCGATGCCTTCGCCTTCGGACAGGAGGTTGGTTTGGCACATTCAATTGATATCTTTTATAATTTATTCTTTTTCAGGACACCAACAACGACCGTATCACTGTCGAGTGGACCAACACCCCAGACGGAGCTGCCAAACAATTCCGTCGTGAATGGTTCCAGGGAGACGGAATGGTCCGCCGCAAGAACTTGTCAATTGAGTATAACCCATAGATTTTTAGATTTTGGCTCGTTTGCGAGAATAATGAATGTACGATTTCTGGTATCCATTTATCTATTACATGGGAAAATAACATGTGTCTGTGGCACAGGGTTTGATAATATTTGAAATCTGAAAACTTGATGCTTGTACTGATCTCTTGGAATCATGATTCGAATCAAAGATGTCAGGAATTCCGACTTCAGGGCATTTTTCGAAAATCAAATCCATTTTTAAATTAGCACCAATATCATAAAATATGCTTCGGAATGACAGTAATTTTTCAAAGTTTACTTCCGACTTCCGAGTTCGAAAATTTCATTTCCTGACAACTCCGCTTGGAATACACGTGTTTCGCTGGCCTTTTTCACACTACTCACATAAGTAGCTCACAAATCAAATCGTTCAGTATTTGGATGTTTTCTTGCTCTTTAGTTTTCACAGTGACTCAAAGCGAGCAATGTAACAAGTTGTCTTAATTGTCACTCGTCAATATACACTCTTGTTGGCACTGTGTCTGATCTTCGCTTCTATTTACAAAACCTAGAATAGCGAGAGTATAAAAATGAGTGCGAAATTGTTCTAACCAACCCGATCCGTTCAAAATGACATCAGCAACTACTGTAACTATTCTTTTCATTCTCGTTTCATCTCATGTTTCCGATGCTCTTTTCAATATAATTGGCAGCACTCAGTCGGTTACTGTAACTGGAAAATTTGTTTGTGAAGGACAACCGGCTAATAATGTTCTTGTGAAGATGTATGATGATGGAACCAGTGAGTTGTGTTTTTTCTTCTTTTTAGAATTTCATGTGTTTTACAGTTTATGATTCAAAGTTGGGATCTACGAGAACGTCTTCAGATGGAACATTCTCTGTATCTGGAACGTACACAGATATCACTACATTGGATCCAAAAGTGAACATCTACCACAGCTGTAATTACAATGGACCATGCTCCAAGAAAGTGCAAATCAATATTCCTGATTATGCCGTTGCTGATGGAAGTAGTGCAACAACCAACTACGACATCGGAACCTTAAATTTAGCGAACCAATTCAGTGGAGAAACCACTGATTGCATTCATTAACTTTTTGTTTTTTTTGAATAAACCGTAAACTCTGTTCATTTCTAATTTGTAACCAGAAAAGCAATAGGGGGCAAAAAATGCTACAAAAATGAATAGAATGGGATAGAGGGAGAGAACACCTGGAGGAACAGAAAATCAGAGGATCTAGAGTATTTTTGGAAGAAAAGAGTGGTTCACTTGGTGAACAATGTTCAAATTGTACAGTTTTTCAATTATGTACAACTAGAGTAGCTACCCGGAGCATAGTGCACACTCGGGGACCTAGGAGGCAAAGACAGACCGAGAGAACAAAATCTACAAAAAAGAAGCAAATAAAAAGATCTACACAAAATGTACAGGGAGGTGGCAGTGGAAGAGGAAAATTATGAGTTTTGTTATTATTGAGTACTTGGGAACACTTTCAAAACTTCTCCCATTCCTTTGGTTTTTCCTTGACGAAGAATGATCGGGGATCCTTCGCGGATGACTTCTGGTTGATAGGCGAAGCACATACGGACAACAGCCCACTTTCCAGGGCGAAGGCAGTCGGCGTCGTTGATGTAGGTGATCGTGGCAGTAGTGCATACAGATCCAATGAATACTGAAACAACAAGACATATGAATCAATTTCTAATATCTGCTGAGTTACCTGTTGCCTGGAATCCTACACAAATGTATTTTGTTGTATGGCATAAGAGCAAAAGATTGGCTGAAAACTCGAAGCAGACTGGCGGTTGATAGTCAATTCTAGACAGAACCATTCCCTGAAAATAAACGATGAATAAAAGTCTTCAGTTATCACAACTCACTCGTCTCAATGTCACACCATCTGGAAGATTTAAAGAAACAGATGCTGCTTCGCCTGGATTTACACACCCAACTGCTTGACGACTTCTTCGTATTGAACCGACTGTGACTTTCTCGAAACTGCCGTCTTTCATCGGTCCAACTAGAACGTCGGCTCCCTCATGCAACTGTCCTTCAGCGAGCATTCCTCCAACTATTTGTCCCACGTGTGGAACGTTGTATAGTTCTTCGATTGTGAAATACACAGGGAGTCCCACAAGTTGGAGTCGTGACTCTGCAGTTCCAGCGGTCGAAAGGCAGTTTAGAAGAGTTCTCAAATATCTGAATCCTTCTCCAGTGACAGAGCTGACTGCGAGAATCGGGACGATGCTGCCAACACACAATTCTTGGGCCCCTTGGACTGCATCTCTTTTTGTTTTTACTCTTTTTTCACGAGCAACCATTCCTGCTTTTGATACTAGAGCCGAAACATCTTTAATAATTTTGTTCAATCCCTGTCGATCGACAAGATCCATTTTAGTGATTAAAACAAACATCGGGATGTTGAGAGCAGCAATGAGTCCGAGATGTTCGCGAGTTGCCCACGTGATTCCGCGATCAGCAGCTACCACAAGGCAAGCGAAATGAGGAGTGTATCCGGTCAGTCCGTGGATAGTTGTTTTCTGATATTTTGCATCTCCAGCCAAATCAATTAGGGTCACAAGTTTCGATGATTTCTCGACCATCTCTTCAAGACTGTTCTGGGCATAATTGACTAGCTGAAAATCAAAATTTTAACTACATTCAAGTATACTATGCCTACCTTTCCACGGTTATCGAATCCGATGACGTCGTTACAGACTGAACTAGTTTTTCCTGTTCGAACTTCGTGAGGAAATCTGAATATTCCAAGTCGCGCTTTTCCATTTCCATCGTCGAGACATCCCTGGGTTAGCACTCCACACAATGTCGATTTTCCTACGTCACATCCTCCAACAACCGCAAGTCGAACTTCTATGAACTGCTGGCTTTCCGGAACCTTGCGAATCAGAACTTCGACAACCGTTCTTCTGATATTCGATAGCTTAACAGTGACGTCTTTCTCGGTCAGGACCACCATGCTCGCCCCGAGCGCTTGAGCCATAGTTTTTAAGGTTCCAAGAGAGCTGCGGAGTTCTTCATCGGTCAATCCCGACATTGCTCCTCCATCTTCTACTCCAATCTCGTAGATAGCTTCACCTTGACCCTCCCGGAGTCGCCATTTCATTTGAGTGATAAGATGTTGTATTCGAGAGTTTGTTGGATTAACAAGTTTGGCTTTGTATTCGATATTTCCCAACTCCGTTTCAGGTGGCAGCCGGTTCTCAGTATCAGAATCGAAGCAATCATCAGTTGGCAGTGAAGAGCTGAGAAGTGTTGGTCCCGTTTCAGATATTGACTGTTTTCTGAAAAAAATGTCTCCCAGGTGCTGAATTTTCATTTAGCAAATGTCAGAGCTAGGGACGTAATTTCAAGGACTATTTTCTATTAGCAAAAACTTCTAGGAACCTACAAAAAGAACTGGTTTGATAAGACATAGTTTTTCGTTCACTGTAACTACAGAAAATAACTATGAGAGATCCGATCTAACGAGTAATCATGATTGGTGACATACCTAGTTTTGTAGAGTGGTTGATGATTCTGCTCATCGCAGAAGTGTGAAATCATGAAATCCATTATGAGATTAGTTATTTTTGAGATAAGATGAGGATATTCAGTTGGATACCTACTGCTGACGCCGTATTCGATCTTTCATTCGTTTTGTCTGCGTCTGAAACATTGAATTTCAAAGAAAGGCGGGGATCGGGCACTTGAGGAGATAACGTTGACATTTCGAGAGGGTTTTGAACTAAGTCAGTTGTTAACTAGTTCGGTCAACAATTCAAAGGCATAGGGAAAGGAAGAGAACGCAGAGAATTGACGCAATGAAACAGAAAAAAAAATGAGAAGGGAGCTGATGTTGTTTTCGTCGGGGGAAGAAGAAAAAAAAAGCAAAACGAGAATAAGGAGAAGGAGAAAAAGAACATAAAAACAATCTCATTCGACTTTTGGACTTGAAATAGATTGACACTAAGGAACGGGAATGCTGTGAAATATCGATTTCGCGAAAGTCATTATGCACACAAAGGCGAACAATGAGCATTTAGAACGAAAGAGCAAACAGAGAAGAGGGAAGAGGAAAAAATGAAACGACCAGACAGATTGGCGAGATATGAGGAAAATTCAAAACGACTGATTGGCATGGAACAGCTGGAAGGAAAAGACGTCACAGGAAGAAGATACAGAAAAGAAGGGTTGAAGTTGAAGCTTGGAAGACAGATGATGAATCGAGGGAAACCTGTTTGGCGGTTGATTACGATCGAACGGAAGGAGGAGGAAGTGAGTGTTTTCACACGAAGGTGGGTGGGCTAGTGTATATTTATAAAGCATATATTTATTATATATTTATTACATATATTTATTTATATGTATATTTATTAGCAGCAGTTAGTAGTATTTTTATATTTGATTCTGGAGGAGAGATTTTTAGCACGGATGAACAGAATATTTGATTGATTTTCTCTATCAAGTGTTACCCAATACTGATTCTGACAAAAGCCAATACTTATTCTCACGATTTCAATCAACATTTTTCAAAGAAGAAAAATGTTGAATTTATAACAGATGGGTGATTTATGGACGCCAGCATCTGAACATCTGCTCAGGGAACATTCGAACATGGTAGTTAAGTCAAAAACGATTGAACTTGAAGAACAAATATTAGTTGGGATTTATGTGGAAGCTCATAATTTTGTTTCGAACGGCTGTTTGCTGCAATATTAACGCAAATTAACGCAAATTGGAATGAACAGAATTGTGCATTTTCGAAGACATATGTCTAAGATTGCACAAGATTGCGAAATATTTCTGATTCATGAAATGTGTTTAAACCTGACGCAATATTAGGTAGTAATTACTCATGACACGAGATGGTACTTCAAAACAATCTTTCTTAAATTCAACAGTTTGAACAGTCTAATAAGGGTATCAGTGATCGGGTTCTTATCAGTTTTTTCCTGATGGAGGTAGCAATCTATCACGTGTTTTTATCAATGAGTGTATTTGACAACTCCTAATTGCTGATTTTTTTGAGGAAATGAAGAAAAAGATGAAGCTTAAAAATGAAAGCTGAAAAAAATCGCAAAAAATTGCTGCTAAAAAACGCGCTGTTGCGTTATATCGGAGCCTCGTTGTGAAATTTTTGCGCTCGATTTTCAAAAAAAAATTGTTTTTTTTCTGTGTTTCGCAAGAATTTGTCATTTATTCAGGTCGATTATAATCAAACAATAGTGGGAGCTGATGGCAAAGTTTTTACGCGTTAGTATCCGAAAATTTCAGCCACTCTCGAAAATAAAACGTTTATTTACAGCTTCACATTCGAGGCATTCGAAGTGTCGGTGATGAAGATCATCATGTTCAAAAGATTGATTTTCTTTCGCCTTGCACACTGATCAGTGGACCTAATGGAACTGGCAAGACCGTAAATTGCGGTGAAGTATATTGGGAAATGAGAAAGATTTTTTTCAGACCACCATCGAAGCGCTGAACTTCATCACAACTGGTCAGATGCCGACAGTGAAAAAACAGGCTTTCATTCACAGCAGAGATGTAAAATTGAGAGAAACCTACTTTAAAAATGTTGAAATGTTTCAGGTTGCTCGAAAGACCCGCGTAGATGCATCAGTTGTTTTGGAGTTTATTGATGTGAAAGGAAGAGTGTGTACTGCTGTTCGGAGATTGGTCGCTACCACTGGAGTATTTCTATCTGAAAGTTGCAATCAATATATTTTCTTGCTTTCAGACCAAGAATGCCGCTCAGGCTGAGGAGCACACTCTAGCGATCAAATATCCTGATGGCACTACACAAACTTTGAGTAGCAAAGTTTGCGACTTCAACAAAGCCATCCTACATCATCTAGGCGTTCCAAAAGCTATTTTCAAATACGTCATCTTTTGTCATCAGGAAGATTCGACATGGCCTCTGAGCGAGCCGAAAGAGCTCAAAAATCGTTTCGATGAGATTTTCCAATTGACAAAATTTGTGAGAGCTCAGGAGAGAATGAGAAAAATCGTTGGAGACTTCGTGAGTCAAAGTGTTCGTTTCTTTTACTTTTTGATGTATTTTCAGGCGAAGGAGCTGAACACTCATGAGGTGTCAAAACAGCTCTACGAATCTCATATCAAAGAGAAACTGAGCGCTCGTAAGATTCGTGACGATTGTGTTAAGAAAATAGAAAAAGGGAAAGAAGCTACGAGCGATTTGAAGCGAAAGAAAACTCAGGGTATCAAAAGATGCGAAGAACTGAAAATAGAAATTCAAAAGTTAGACGACCTGAGCATCTCTATCAGTAAGAATACCATTTTCTTGTTCAAAGAACATGATTCTTGTTTCAGAACAGAATGAGGCTGAACGCGGAAACCTGAAGAAACAAATGGAGTTGATTCGTGTTGAACCATATTATGGAACCGAAGAAGAATTGAGAAAGCAGTTGGAGGAGTTGAATGATGGAGGGAACTATGCGGATCAACGTGCTAAAATCGACAAGAGAATTGCGAGAAACAATCAGGAAAGACAAGAATTGTCCAGAAATAAAACGGATCTGGAGAATAAAATATCCAGTTTGAAAGCCGAAGCAATAGTGAGTATTTTATTGAAAACATTGGTTAATTTGAACATGTTTCAGCATTGCGAGGCTTTGAAACATGATCTGCAAGAGCTGGAATCATCTCTTCGGGCTGAGCTTGATCTTGAGGAGGATGCTGCTCTTGATATCGAAGTCGAGCACGCTTTGAACACAAAGGTGAAAGAAATGATGAAGAAGTGTGAGATTGCGGTTGAAGACTACACAAAACTCCAATCAACTCATCGATCTGCTCAGGAAGCTGTCACAAAAATTGAAGTTGAGCTGAGCACAATGAAAAACGAAAAATTGAAAATGGAAAAAGAAGTCGATCAGCTAAAATCGAAGATTAGACAAGGAGAAAACGCAACATCTGGAATGAAAGAGCTTCTCAAAAAAGAAGAGCAACTTCGTAGGAGCTTGGATGCGCTTCCGGACGTTGATAAAGATGCACTCGACGATTTTAAACATAAAAGAGACAAACTTCTGAAAGAAACGGATGTGCTTAAGAAAAAGTGTGCTGAAGCGGAGAAGAACGCCGAGAACGAGAAAGAAAAAGCAACCCTTCTACAGACCGTGTCTATTGCTCATAAAAAGATCACTGCATACAAACGTAAGCATGAGAACAACTGGAAAGGACTTCTTGGATATGTTCCGGAATTCCCTTGGAGTGAACGGTTATCGACAGCATTCACCAAGCTACGAAATGATAAGAAAACGATGGAAGAAGATTTTCGGGATGTGCAGTTGAACGTGCAAAAGCTGGAAACGATGCAGCAAGAGTACAGAAAGCAAGAAAAGAGTTTGACTGCCCGGGAACTCGAATTGAGCGAAGAGATGTCTGAATCATGCCCGTATAAGCACGAAGATATTTCCGAGAAACTGGTGGATTTGCGTAAGCGGCTGAAAAAAGCTCGAAAGGATCTGGCGCCAATAAGTGCAAAGTCTGATATCTACGATTCGTACATCGAGGAGTCGAAAACCAACGGATGTTGTCCATTGTGTGAACGTGATTTTTCTTCGAAAAAGGCCATTTCTGAATTCACGAAAAAACTCCAACATATGACTCTGAACTTACCCGCCGAGCAAGAAGAACTCGAGTCTAAAGTGTCCCGAATGGAAATGGAAGAGGTTCAACTGGTGAAATCTGAAGGACAAGCAAAAGAGTTGGAAAAGATTGTAAAAGAATTGAAAGTGAGATAGTAGCATCAAAAAGTACGAATTGATACTTTCAGGAAATTCGTCAGAAGAGGACAACCAATTCTCGCGAAATGGAAGAAGAAAAAGAAAGCTTGACTAAAAATGAAGGACAACTTGAGATTCTGAATAAGAAATTAGGTTTTGCTGAAGAGCTACAAACCGATGTGGGAGTTGTTGAACAACTCTGCGAACAAACTAACGATAATGAAGAACGTCTTGCGAATTTAACCTCGGAAGTCAGCTTCAGTGAAGGTCCGAGTTACAGCGAGCTTCGTACTAAACTGGAAGAGAAAGAGAAAGAATATCGCCGAGTTGTTCAAGAAAGCGACGAGTTCCAGAAGTCCACCGAAGAAAGGAACAAACTTCAATCAAAGCTAAATGAACTTGGAACCCATCGTGTCTCTTTGGGAGAAGCTGCTGCCCAAGCAGGAGCGTTCGCTGAACAACTTGAAAAGAAGAAGCGTGAAATTCAGAAGTGTGTTGATGAGATGGAGAGAAAAAGAGATGAAGATCTGCCAGATGCGAAGTTGACTAGAGAGGAATTGATTCGACAGCTGGCTTTGAAAGATGAGGCTCGGAAAAAGGCTGAAATGGAAATGCAACTGAAAAGGAAAGATATGCAGCAGAAGCAAGAACAATGGAAGATGTTGGTGAGGAACATTCAAGAGAGTAATAAGGGTGAGAGAATGCTGGTCGAGCAGGAGATGAATGTGAGGTAAGTGAATATAGTTTTTTGTTCAAATTCTATAATTACTAATTAAGATCTATCAATGAAAAACTGGAAGAAAACCAACAACGCCAGAGACGTTTCGAGGAAAATATTCGTTCATTCGACAGCGTCCATCAACAGGAATTGACTCTCAAAGATCAACTCACCCGAATGAAGATTGAGAAAAAGTTTAGAGAAGTGGAACGCACATTGACGTCATTTGTCGATCAGTTCAACGAAGAACATTTGGTAGACTTGAAACGAGAGTACTGTCAGTTACAAAACGATTTGAGACTGATTGGAAACGAAGAAGTGAAAATTTTCACCCAAATACAAGAATATCAAAAGCAGGTTGATGCGGCAGAGGCGAAATTGGCTACGAAGGATTACCAACGAGCTGAGACGAATTATCGAGATGCCATCATCGAAATTACGATTCTTCGTGAATCGATTCAGGATTTGACAAAGTATCGAAAGTGTCTTGATGTGTCCCTCATTCAATTCCATACTGAAAAGATGGCAGCAGTGAATGTTATCATTGACGAATTGTGGAGAAAAGTCTACAATTCCACAGACATCACTACCATTAGAATCAGGTTCGGGAAATCGAAAAATCAACTATTTATTTCTATTTTCAGATCCGATACTGCATCTGAGGGCGGAAGTAAGAGAGCATATGACTACAATGTTATGATGGTCCAGGAGAGTGGTACTGAAGTAGAGATGCGTGGAAGATGTAGTGCTGGACAGAAGATGCTCGCTTCTCTTCTTATTCGCATTGCCCTTGCCGAAGTTTTTGGTGGATTGTGTTCCATGATTGCGTTGGATGAGCCAACCACAAACTTGGATGAGTGGAAGGTTGATGGAATGGCAAACGTTCTTAGTGATCTGATTGAAGCACGACGGGGTTATGACGACGATGGAAATTTGAGAGGGCGTGATATGCAGGTATGAGCTTTGGAAGTTTCTTTTCAGTTGAAAGGCACTCTTTTAGATGGTCATCATCACACACGACGAGCGTCTCGTCAACAAAATCACTCTCAGCTGCCGTCCAGATTATATCTACTGTTTGGGGAAGGATGAGCATGGAGTCAGTTTCTTGTCGAAACGATTCCCAGACGGAAGAATGAAACGAGTCAACGAGTTGCACAGACGCTAGACAATGATCTCGAATAATGCATTTTTCATAAAAATAATTTTAATCGCCCGATGTTTTATTATGTGCCTTTAATTTGATATCCCGAGTTTCCCAAATTGATGAAATACCTCCCTGTTTTATGTTTATTTTTACGAAATGAACCCGTTGTATAGAAATGTGTTTCGCAAATGTTTTGCAAACTAAAACGTACCCCGACGCGTTTCCTGCGCACTATTGATTTTTACATGCTTGAGGCTATATATTTAGCTCAGTTTCAATTCGAAAACGTTTTCAGTATGTCAGATGAAGAAGATGACTACATGTCTGCAGATTTTCTTCAAGGTGTCAGTGATCAACCAGTTGGAATCGCCAAATCGAGAGCTCACAAGCGCCAACTACAAATCCATTCAAGATTCGAAGAATCGAGAGAGACTTTTAAGCCGAAAAGACCGATAAGTCATGCTGAAAGAGGTTGGTTTTATTCCAAATTTATGTACTTTTTTCAATCTAATAATCAAGTTTTCAGAAAAAGAGCGAAGAGAAGAAGCACTGGCAAAACCCATCAGCCAAGAGTCTAAGGGGTTTGCCTTGATGGCGAAAATGGGTTTCAAACCAGGAATGACACTGGGAAAGCAACGAGAAGACGAAATTCGGATAACGGAACCGATTAGTGTTGACATCAAGGGAAACCGAAAAGGACTTGGTCATGAAGTAGAGGAAGTTCAAGAAAGGAATGATCGAGTGGAAGCTGTGATGCAGAAGATGAAAGAGCAAGCGGCGAAACACGAAGAATTGATTGATGATTATTCGAAACGAAGGAAAATGGATAACAATGCGAAGCAATTGGTCAAAGATATCAGAGCATGTCGAAAAGTTTGTGAAGAACTGGATCATCGCATCGGAAAAAAAATTCCAATTGTTGATTGGTTTTGGAGGAGCTATAAAGTTGTCCAGGAAGAAACTGAAGCTCCTAAAGGATACTACAGAAGTCGAGAAACGGAGAAAGAGGAAGAGTATAAGTATTCTAACGGGTTGAAGGCTCCCGTAGATCCAAATTATGACGTGAGCATGCCAACAGAAGAATTGGAAGACGCGTAAGTCCATGTTTCTTGTGAAATATTTCAATTCATTGTTTTCTTTTCAGCTTGTCGAAAATCAACACCTATCTCCGAGATGGGCACTTCTACTGTGTATGGTGTGGTGCCGAATACTGTTCACCGGAAGACATGGCTGAACACTGTCCCGGAAGCACTCGACGGGCTCACCACGGAGATGATGATCACGAGTAGAGCCACTGGACCATTTGATCTCTTTTCTCTTTTTAAATTTCGTAATTCATGTTTTTATATCCAATATAAAGATTAATTTGATACAACTCGAACTTCGTGTACGAACATCGTGTCTCGCCACAGTTTTTTTCCTCACATTCTTGTCTGTGTTCTAATGTAGGTGGGAACGTATCAAGTGACAACTGACCACTAGCCAGTCAGCTTGAAGTGGCGATCGGTTGCCGGGCGCAGCACCAGTACCCCATCACAGCGCGAAAAGCTTCTTTAGCGATAGAAGAAAAGAACACAAACAATTGGAAGAAGAGCAGAGGAAGAAGAATAAGAAAGTCTAGTGCACACACGACACTTGTGGTGCAGCTTCCTCCAGGTCCAGTGGACAGCAACATCAAGTTCTTCTCCTACTTCATCAATCCCCTCCCATTTCAATCCGTTGACAATCATTGTGTTATCATGGCATGGTTAGTAGAGACTGTGCTATTCCTTTTCGCCATTCGGCAAGCTCTTCCACAGGATGTTTACGGAGCACCACAGGTAGGCTGGAGACTGGATGAATCTTCAAAAGAATTCAAGAAGTTTTTATTTTGAATATTTCGATTCTAAAGTTAGTCGTATAACCTGTAATACAAGGGAACCCTAACTTTTAATTTTGAGCCAATATAGTTATTCTTGTCAAAGATATGAAAAGTTGTCAACTAACAAATTGATTATCATAATATCGAAAACATTTATTCAGTTGACACATTTTTGATATCTCTTATAGGAACCGAGATAATTGAGCACAAACTTGACAGTGTGGGAGCCCGTCTATTATAGGTTTTATACCGTAATCCAATAGTAAGATGATAAAAAATCAGAGATCTATTGTAATCCTAGAAACATTATTCATAAAGAAATGCGCCGATTTCCAATTTTCAGCAACCTTATCCATATGTGCAACCTAGCGCTTCATCAGGATCTGGAAGCTATATTCCGAATCCACAATCCAGCATTCACACAGTTCAACAACCGTACCCAAACGTTGTGAGTTAGAATTACCGTGAACACTAATAGAACTCCACCTCTAGCTTTCAAATATGACCTAATTTACCTCGGTTTCTGTGAAAGATATCAAAAAATAGTCTACTAGCAAACAGCTTGGAGGCATTCTATTAGAGTGTTTACGGTATTTTGAAAAAGTCCACAACCTCTATTATATTTTCATTCAGGACGTTGTTGAACCAGATGTGGATAGTGTCGACATTTATGAAACCGAAGAGCCCCAATTCAAAGTTGTGAACCCATTTTTCCCATCATCAGGAGGATCAGTGGAGCCAGGAACTTTGCCTCCTCCAGTTGCTCCACCACAAGTACCGGATAAGCCAGATAACAGTTATGCAATCAATTACTGTGATAAAAAAGAGTTCCCAGATGAGGTTCTCAAACAGTACGGTTTAGAGAGAATTGATTATTTTGTTTATAACACTTCTTGCTCCCACATTTTCTTCCAGGTGAATTCAGTTAATTTTATTTGAGAATTTGTAATCTGTGAATTTCAGTGTTCCATTGGTCAAACCTTCTTGCTCTCTTGCACTTCTCAGGATCAAGCATTCGATAAGTCGACCGAAAATTGTAACTTCAAAAATGCGGTTAAATTCTGTCCGGAATACGACCATGTTATGCACTGCAGTACGTCTTCTTGGATAGAGCTGAAATAGAATAATTTGATATTTTCAGCCATCAAGGACACTTGCACCGAAAACGAATTTGCCTGCTGTGCAATGCCACAAACTTGCATCCACGTCAGTAAAAGATGCGATGGACATCCGGATTGCGCTGATGGAGAGGATGAGAATAACTGTCGTAAGTACCACAGAAATTTATCAGTTTATTCCTTTTTTATTAAGCTTCCTGTGCTCGAGATGAATTCGCTTGTGTAAAAAGTGAACATTGTATCCCAGCCAACAAACGATGCGATGGAGTTGCTGATGATTGTGAAGATGGATCGAATCTGGATGAAATTGGATGTAGCAAAAACACAAGTAAAATTTTTGTTCTAGTCAAAAAAGTTGTTCTAAAATTTTCAGCCTGCATCGGAAAGTTTGTCTGTGGAACGTCTCGTGGAGGTGTTTCGTGTGTGGATCTGGAGATGCATTGTGATGGGAAAAAGGATTGTTTGAATGGAGAGGATGAGATGAATTGCAGTGAGTTTTCTGGAAAGAAAATCAGAATGATGGTTTCTTGGTTTTTCTGAAACAGTATCCTTTTCCGAAATTTAGCAAAGATCTTGAAAATTACCGTAAGCACTCCAATAGAATGCGACAACTAATTTTCAACTTTAGGCCAATTCATCTCGGTTTCTCTATAAGATATCAAAAAGTACTCAACTAACAAGATGTTTATCATGATAGCATTTTAATGTTTATCATAATAGCATTTTGTCAGTTGAAAACGTTTTGATATCTTTTAAGAAGGGTTCTATTAGAGGGTTGTTACGGTATCTCTCTCGGTTTCCTGGGGCTCGCAGATTACCAACGATTTTGACTCACCAAAACCTCAAACAATCAAAATATGTGTTTTTTCCAGAACAAGAAGGAAAACAAAAATATCTTCTTTGTGAAAATCAAAAACAATCTGTAACCCGTCTACAATGGTGTAATGGTGAAACAGATTGTGCTGATGGATCAGACGAGAAGTACTGCTATTAGATCCTAATTTATTTCCTCCTCTAATTTAATTTATTAATAAATCGGTGAAACCTATGTATTTGTTTCTTCATTTTTCTTCAAATAGAATCCTGACTATTTGACAAAGCGATTAATTTCTTTTCGAAAAAGAGTTTCAATAAAAAAGGCAGGAGGAGGACTGGTTATTGTCATCTCTTCCGTTTCTCTCTGTTGTATCTCTTCTTCTCTTATTATTGTCATCTCTCTTCATTTTTTAACTTTGACACCGAAAGTCAGTCACTTTTAACCTCGATGCGAGTAGTCACCACCACTCTTTTATTGGGATTCTTTCTCCTAATCTGGTTCCCATTCGAGTCTGAATCCCTGGAATGCATCAATTCGACGTCTTACATGGATCGTGTTTTAGTGAAACCCAGAAGCTCAGAATGCCGATTGAAAACGGCTCTTTGTGTTAAGACAATGCAGATTAGTCAAAATACAGGTAAGCGTACTGGATAATAAAACTGAAATGCTATATTGATGGTTCCCTCTTTGAAAAAAAATACAGGCCGCACAAATACCAGGACTGATATAAACGGGAATATAGTTAGACATAAGTATCTTGGAAGTTTGGTAGAAATATAATTTTATGTTGGATTCAAAGCTACTGAAACTTTCAAAGCGATTACTCAAATCTAGGTATTGTTATGATTATCCAAAGATAAACAGCGTAATGTTTCTTACACCCCGTTGTGATATTCATGAGATGAAGCAATTTTGACAAGTGATAACTCAGCTCAACGTTTATCGAATAATTTGAAACTTTGTCAGCTTACTGATGAATTATTGGAGCTCTCGCACTCTAAACTTGAGCTCAATACAACGCTATACTCTTTGCTATTGCAAACTTTTGTCCGGGGTAATTGTGCGCCATCTTGTGGCTCATCTACCCACAGATTACATGTTGATCATTTTATACTAGGTCATTCTGTGTTATTCAATTCAGTTTACTATAAGTTGAGCATTTGCATAAAAAATTTATTGTTCGGGATTTATAATCCTGATTGTGAGATTATGAAAATCAAAATATTAAAAACAAAAGTGTTTTGGCATACATTTGGGAGATTTGCAAACGTTTATTGAATTACACCTAGGAAATTGTTTGCCCCCGAATTGACTTGTGACCCGTTTTCCATTCAAAAATGTACTTACCCTCTCGGGTACTCTGAATAGATCAGTATCGTTGAAACATCAAATGTCAAAAGTCAAAATATCCCTTGTTGCACATGAGGGGATAATCCAAACATCGGTCAATGTTTCCAAGTTTACCGACTAATCCATATTGCGTGCGTTCCAGATGGTTCTCCAAAAGTATTATCCATTCATCGGGAGTGCTTTGAACTCGAACCTCCACAGGCATACAGAGAAGGAAAGGGATGTGTTGATTCATACGATGATGATGATCCTATTTCGAGAAGACTCGGTGGGTTTTTAGGAACAACAGACTGTTTTTCTGGAAAACTGTTGAGCTGAACAGCTAACATTGTTTGAATAGTTAGAACAGACCGAAAAACAAGAGTTACCGGAAACGCTCCAAGCGGATGAAACCCTACCTTGAGCTAATTTATTTCGATTCCTATTAAAGATATCAAAAATATGACAACTGATAAAATATTTTTGACATTATGACAAACATTTTGTTAGTTAACCACTTTTCGATATCTTTTACAGAAAATGATATCTATGGGTTCAAAGTTGACAGTGTGGAGGCAGTGTTTACTACTGTACAAAAAAAGCCATTAAGTGGGGTTGAAACGAAATAAACAGTCAACACGATGTTATCAAATTAGTTAGCAAAATCAAAGAGAATCAGACATTTAAAAAAGTAAAAAAGTAATCAAAGTTTTCAGGGCCACACCTGATCACGTGCTTCTGTTCACAGGATCTATGCAACTTCTAAACCAATTCTGCTTGCTTTTTCTTATTCTCGGTTATGGTACAAAATGTCTTTCATTGAAAATTCTTGTATACTCTCCACGAATGATACCAAGTCATGTCTCATTTGTGGCGAACATTGCAAACCTGCTCAGTAATAGAGGTCACAAAGTGGTAAGTGGTTTCTAGATAAAATATATTCATCTCAAATTTTCAGGTAGTAATAGATAATATACTCCGAAACGACATTTCCAAAAAAAATGACTTGAATGCAGTTGAGAAGGTTTTTGAAGTGGAAACCGCTGAAAATGTTCCTGAATTGTTGAAACATCTGCATATTCCTATGAAATTTTGGAAGATGAAAAATGAACCAGATGAACAAAAACAAGTTATGGGAAATCTTGGACAAGTGTTTTTAGAGCAATGCAAACATTTGATGATGAAAAAAGAAATATTCGAACAGCTTTCTGAATATGAATTTGATTTTGCAATCCATGAAGTTTTCGATATTTGTGGAATCGGAATTTTCGAAAAGTTAAAAATCAGAAAATCAGTGATTCTCTCTTCGACAGGAATGAGGGATATTGTCAATGAGGCACTTGGATTATCTGGACCACTTCAGGATTCTTGTAGGTTTGAAACTAATACTGAATGTTTCTAACACGTAATTTTCAGCCATCCTTTCTGATTATGGTGGTTCTATTCCTGTTTTCGGGATTCGAAGAAATCTGCAATTTCATTCAGCATGGAGAAACTTCTTCGAAGTTCAGAGCAAAGTTCTTGGACATTCGTTGGGATTCAATAAAAGTTTTGAAGTTTTTGGTTGTTTGATTTGTGTTTGCAACTTTTATCATTTTCAGAGTCTTCTCCGGTACAGTAATCTCATGTTTGTAAACACTCACGAGCTCGCTGACTGTCAAAGATCATGGAGTCGAAGAGTTCATGAAATCGGAGGAATCTCATTCAAAACTCCCAAGCTGTTAGAGGAAGTGAGTTGGGAATAGTGTGTGTTTTTCGAATGCGGCTAATTTCAAAAAATTTTCTAACGAAATTTTGAATAGTAAAGGTTGTGGTCTAGAAAACTCAACTTGCAAAAGCTAGCACATCATGTAAAAATGGCCTAGAAAACTCACCAGGTCAATATCAAATAATTTCTAGTCCATTTAACATTGTGGTCTAGAAAACTCAACTTGGAAAAGTTTGGTCACCATTTTAAAATGATCTAGACAATCCACCATGCTGATATAAGGACATTTCTACATGGTGGCCTAGAAACATAAAATTGCAAAAGTTTGGCCATCATGTTAAAATGGCCTAGAAAACTCATCAGGTGCATGTTAGACTACTTCTGGACCATCAACTACGATGGCCTAAAAAAAGGATTTTGAGAAAGTTAGAGAACTCTATTGATCGCATGAAACCGGTTTGTGTTATATGATAAAATAATTTCGAACGATATTTGTAATGAAAAAACGAAGGTACCAACTTCAGGAATATACAGAACAGTTCAAAAAGTATGAATCGATAATCCTCGTATCTTTTGGAACAACTACACCTTCTTTTCTAATGCCAAATGACTACAAAACAATTCTTCTCCATGTATTCAAGCGGTTTTCAAAGACACTGGTAATTTGGAAGTACGAAAAAGACGACGATTTCGAGAAGAATAACTCTGGGATGAATATTATTTTCAAGAAATACATTCCCCAGATAGATTTATTAGGTATGTAAGATTATCGAAATTGACATCAACCACAATTTTCTTCAGAATCTGGACATATTTCTCTTTTCATCACACACGGAGGTCAGAATAGTCTCTTGGAAGCCTTTCATTCGAACACTCGTACTCTTATAATCCCTTTATTCGGAGACCAACATCGGAACGCTCAAATGGCGCTGGAAAATGGGCTGAGTCATGTGCTGAAAAAAAAAGATCTGACGAACCAGGAACTAGTCGAAGAAACAATAAAACAATCATTGCAAAGTGAGAAAAAGTGAGTGAAACGAAAATTTTCAATGAGGAAGTTATAATTTTTTGCAGTCTGGATATCGGTTTGCAGAGAATTTCGATGAATTTACGGAATGCCAAACAAAGATCAGAAACAATTTAATTAGCACAATCGAATCCACTTATACCCAGAATCCGTCACCTCCCAACTTTGAGAATTATCCAAAATTCTACTCATCAGACGACATTTTGTTCATGATAGACTCATCGTTTTTGTTTTTTGTATCTCTTCTTATTTTCATTTTAATGAGAATACTGTTTTTATAAAAAAACTTTTTCAAACATTTTTTCTTCGTGCTTCAATGATTTTAGAAAAAAAGAAACAGCTTATTATGGAGCACAAAAAAAGAACTCAAAGACACAGATGTGTTACTTTGGTGTCATGCTCCTTGATTCTGGAAACCCCACATTTGATTAGTTTCATATAAAGCTCCGCCTAATCCATTTTCCCTCGTATAAAAGTCGGAGGATATCGAAAGAACAAGTGCATTCAGGTGTCCAAGATGTGGTGGACATTCGCATTTCTCAATGTGTTCTGTCTTCATGGATTGGCATTTGATATTCTGGTTTATGCTCCAAGAATGATGCAGAGTCATGTGTACTTTACGGCGAGAATTGCGAATGTACTCGCTACAAGAGGACATAAAGTGGTAAGACTTTATTGCTTACTTGTAAACCGGGCCCTACCATAGTTTTTTTTAAAGAATCAATGTTTTCCGAACATCCAAATCAGATATGATAGAACTAGACGAGCACTACAAAATGATACAATTTGAAAAACTGTATCCTGTCCATAAACAAAGTTATATCACATAGTGACTGATATGGGTCGGGCGAGGTGTTGCCTGTTTTTTTTGGCCTGTTTTATCTGTAACTTTGTTCACAGACAGACGAGATGTTATAGTATCGTTTTGTAGTACTCCTTGAGTTCCATCATGTCTAGTTTAGTTGGTTCAAAATATTAATTCTTAAAGAAACTATAACAAAATAAAATAATTTCTGGTTTCAGACAGTGATTGATAATATCTTCCGGTATGATGTGGATAACGAACTATCATCGGATATAGACCAGATTCTAAATGTGGAACCTAGCCCTCAAGTCACACAATTGCTGAGCACTGGAAGTTTGCCGACGATTTTATGGAACTCAAAGGCTTCTCCAGAAGAACAACGAGCCGTGAGTGAGCTTCTAATATTTTGATGGTTCTAAAGATTTGATTTCAGATAATGGAGGGACTTGGTCATGTTCATCGTCTCCAATGTGCCCATCTGATACAGAATACAACACTGATTCCTAAACTGCAAGAAATGAAATTTGATTTTGCAATTCATGAAGTCTTCGATTCTTGCGGAACCGGTATTCTGGAAGTGATCGGTGTTCAGAAGACAGTGATCGTTTCGTCGACAGGACCAATGGATGTGGTACCTATCTCTCTTGGGATTTCGGATACGTTGAGCACACCTTGTGAGTTGTATTCCCACTTTGAATCCAAGTTTTTGTTTTTAGCGCTGTTGTCGGACTACGGTAGCTTTTTATCCTTTTACGAGAAAAGAAGAAATCTGAAATTCTTGTCTGCAATGTTGAATTTTCATGAGATGCAAGATGCCATGATTTCTCCATTATTCAAAACTCATCATGGATTAAAAAGATCTTCTGTAGAAATAATGAGACAAGCCAATTTGCTCTTTTATAACATTCACGAAGGATCAGATGGAATGAGAATGAGAGGAAGGAGAAGTTATGATATCGGAGGTATTGCATTCAAAGGTCATAAAAATTTAAGTTCGGTAAGAGTGGTTTATTGATAAATCGAGATGTTGAATACAATTAGTTCAGGAATACCAAAAACTCCTTTCTGATCGTCGTCCCAAAGTTCTGGTATCTTTTGGAACTGCTGCCACCTCTTCCCATATGCCTGAAAATCTTAAAAAATCGCTTTTAAATGCCATGAAACAAATGACAAACGTTTTGTTTATCTGGAAGTATGAATCAGAAGATGATTTCACAAAAGGAGAAGAGTCGATAACAAATGTGATCTTCAAAAAATTCATGCCACAGACAGATCTTTTGGGTTCGTCGGAAAGAATTTCTACCGTAAAACCTCTGATAGAAGGGCCCCTGACTTTTAACTTAGAGCCAACCTTCCTCGATTACTGTCCAAGATATGAAAACATTGTAAACTGATACATTGTTTATTATAATATCACCAATATTTTTCAGTTAATACGTTTTTGATATCCCTTTTGGGAACCGAGGTGTGGGTGCTTTTTTATTACAGGTATTACGGCATTCACTTCAAAATATGTTTTCAGCAAGTGGCAAAATCAATCTATTTATAACACATTGCGGACAAAACAGTTTGCTGGAAGCATTCCATTCTGGAATCCGAGTTTTGGCTGTTCCACTTTTTGGAGATCAACATAGGAATGCAAAATTGGCGAAAGAAAATGGATTGGTTGAAGTTTTGCCAAAAGCTGATATTGAAGTCTCTTCTAAAGTAATCAACGCTGTCAGAAATGGTTTGCTTCCTAATGAAAAGTAAGATTTAAAAAAAACCGATAACCTAAAAAATTTAATTTCAGAATCGAGAAAAATCTGATCCGTGTGTCTTCTCTTCTTCAGAATGCTAAAGAAAACGCAGAGAATCTCCTGATATCGACTATTGAGACAACATATTCAACAGATTTCCCACCCAATTTCTCAAAATTTCCAAAAAACTATCACCCAAACACTTTGATTCGAGTTATTGATTCAGCAATTGCTATTGTTTTTGTATTGGTTGGATTTCTAATTGTCAAAACGTTCAGAAAGAAATTAGTATGATTGATTGTGAATAAAAAAAAAACAATTGAATTCAAATGAAATACATTTATTGTGGCACTTTTCGAATATTTCAAAGCAAGATCTCTCATTTAGGCGGCTACGATCTTCACAATGATTTCTCCTTGTTGTGCTCCAGCCTTGAATGGAGCCGTTGCATCGGTTTCCTCAGCTGGCACTTCTGCGTATTGGATCACAATTTTGTCCTCTTTGGCTGGTCCCGGAAGGCGATTGATGTCCAACTTGGCCTTTCCTTTGGCATCAATGAATCCGTAAACTGGGCGCACGCGGTAGTGGTCATTGTTGGATGATTTCACTTTGAAAGCCAAACGAGAATCCGATTCGGAGACGATGTTGTGTGTCGAGTTTCCTCCAGAAGCCGGGAAGTTTCCAGTTGGTGGGTCGACGTTGATCATTTCTCAAGAGGATGCTTACTTTCTTCTGTTCCAGTAGCAGGGAATATTGATTTTCAGCGAATTCTCGAAGATCGTCAACTTTTAGATGGCCTTTACTGATAAGAAAACGAATTGGGTTGAAAGTTTTCCACGTTATTAAAATAAAATTTATTAGAAATCCAACTTTTTATTCATTTTAGTTTTTACTAGCAGCCTCGAAATGTGGGCATTTTTGTTCCTATGGTACTTTTATGTGATGAAAGGAAATTTTCGAAATAGAATTATTCAGGATGACCCTAACGATAGTAACATTCTTAATGATTGTCGGAAGATGTACCATTCTGATATATCTTGTCTTCTGTGTCCCGATTCTCACTACAATTCTCTATTTCATATTCAAAAATGATACTGCAGCGTCTAGTTCTGTGAGTCTTCAAAACTTCGGATTCGATTTGAACCTAAAATTGATTAAGAATCAAGAATTATTCTTTAAAAACTTTAACTTTGGTGGTCATCGTGGATCTCCTGAAAAAGCTCCAGAAAACAGTTTAGCGAGTTTTCTGAAAGCAAAAGAAGATGGTTGTGATTTAGTAGAATTTGACATTCACATGTCATCAGATGGCGTTCCCCTCTTAATGCATGACGATACAACTGAAAGGACTGGAAATGCAAATTTGAAAGTGGAGGAAACCAAATGGGAAGTGCTGAAAGGAATCGAATTGAAGCCTGTCAAGAACATGACTGATAAGATTCCAAAGTTGAACGAAGTTATTGATTGGTGTGTTGAGAATGGACTCAAAATGCTATTTGATATGAAAAACGATAACATTGCATTGATTGAACTTGTAGCTGAAGAAATTAGAAAACGAAACATTTATGATAGGGTATTGGTGAGCAGTTTTAATCCAATCGTTCCATGGAGGCTGAAGAAAATTGACCCGAGAATCATTACAGGTTCAGATAAAATTTACATTATTCCAAAATTAGAAAACTTTTCCAGGAATCACTTTGGATCGTTCGTATTACTCGTATAGTGATGACTTCAGAAAAAGTCCATTCACCACTAACATCTTCGCTCATTTCTAGAACGAAATTCTTGACGAAATCAACATGATTATTCAACCACTCTATATTCTACCAAAATTTCTAGGAGTTGATGTGGTTATGATGAGTTTTCGATTGATTTCAGAGTAAGTTGATTGAAACGGTGAAACTGAAAATATGTCATTTTTCAGAAACCTCATTCGAGAATCAAAAGAAAAAGGATTCTCGGTAATTTCATGGACAGTCAACGACGATGATTACATGAGGATCTTGGCCAAACTCAATGTTCCTTTTTTAACTGATATCAGTTCTCAAGTTGATAAAAAGATTTTTGAAGCGAATAAAATTATTTAAAAATTACTGACTTTTTAAATACTTGTTTAAAAAAATCGAAGGGTCCCCACACTGTTAAATTTGAGATCCTTTATCCCATTTGCTTGTACCGTAATAACTAAATTAGAAAGGCATCCATATTGTCAAGTTTAAGGGCAATTATCTCAATTCCTTTTCAAGACATCAAAAATGTGTCAAATGACGCAATCCATCTGACTTTATGATAAACAATTTATCAGTTGTTTATAACTTCATCAGAAACCGGTTCAAAGTTAAAAGTTAGAGAGCCCTTCTATAACAGGTTCTACGGTATGTGTCCCCTGAAAAACTGGATTTCAATTTCTTTGAAGTTTCTGAAAGTTGAATATTTGATATTTACAAAGTTATTTATGAAATAAAGCTCGAATTGGAAAACAATTGAATTTAACATATCAAATCTCAAAACAAGAAAGCACACCGAAAGAAAGTTTAAAAAAGAGATCAGTCTGATAAGGAAAGACATTGCGAAAAATTGTTGTAAATTTCTTTGATAACCTAATCAAAAACTGTATAAATGTATCTGCGGACAGGAGGAAGTACAATCTTGTTTCCCAATTCATCGTACTCAACGTCTTCTTCATCTTCGTCACTGAGCTCTTCATCAGATCCCTGCTGTTGATCGTATACTCGTTGACCAGTCTGCACGTATTTGTCAGCTTTCGATGGATACGTTTGGGTTATTCTAGAAATTTTTAATTTTGTCTTTAATTTCTGAAAGGATCAAAAAACGAACCTATTCACCATAGAACTTTTTTGTTTCCATCTTTCTTTAAGCATCGTTTTCTTATGCTCATCAACAAACAAAAATATGATTCTGTCCTCCAGGGATTGTGACTGTATCAGCCGCTTCACACCTTCTTCCTCATCTTCCACAATACTCATCGTTGCCACGTGGGGATCTACCTGACGGATTCTGTACTGCGCATCGATACTTCTCAACATTCTGTCAAATACAAGCTTCACTTTTGCTTGAACAATAGCTACACAGAGTCCCACGACCGAAAGTCCAACTAGAGTCATCGCCAAATTGAAAATGATAAAGTTTGGAGTTTTAGTGACAACGTCACCTAGACCGATGGTTGTGAGGGATGTAAAGAAAAAGTAGAATGCGGTGAAATACGTCCATTCATATTCCCATAATCTGGAAGATCCAAAAAATCTGAATTTAAGAATGATTGAAAACTCCTACCTGACAATAAAAGCAGAAATCATAATCCAGAGAAAGAAGAAAATAGCCGCAGACTTTATTGGAACTGTTTGAACTTGCTCTCCCATAGGTACATCAATATCAAGAGGAGTCAATGGATGATTTGATTCGATCTGAATTTAACATTGTTTTAATCACTTCGATCTTTTTTCCTACATGTTGCGCTGGATTAGATAACTGGGTGGTTGTCCTGTGGAGTAATGGAGCCGTAGATGACATAGATAATTCACTGCCAACACGACGAATCCGTTCCCGACGAATCCGTCGTTGCATATCTCTTTGGAGACTTCTGAAAAGTTCATTAAATTTGAAATCTTCGAATCTATTAACCGCTTACTTTTGACAAAAGTTTTCATTGAACCGATTCCATCCATACTCAATCCATGTGAAATACAAGAATCCCCAATCAAGAAGAATTGTAAAAACCAACGGGATTCCAACACAGGCATACATCATTGAAATAATTCGGCCACTTTTAGTGAGCGGATGAAAGTTACCGTATCCAATCGTAGTGTATAAACTAGCAGAATAATAAACACCGCCCCACAAATTCCATTTTGTTTCTTTCATTTGTGGTTCGACTATCGTAACACCCATTTTCTGTTCGTACCATTCCAAAGCATGTCGAGATTGCTCTAGCTTAAAGTGTTCTCTCGACGAATTCCTACCACGTGGATTTGTATTGTCTTGTTCAATTTCTCGAAGTCTAAAAACACAAACTCTGTGGCTTGCACATCAATTTTCCCATCGATCATTCCGACAGATGGGTGCAACAAACCTTTGAAATAGTTGCTCTTGATAGATCTTTCGTCTCTCGTACACATCTTTTTCGTGTTCAAACTTTTTGATGAGCTGTGTCGTTTCATAGCCACCTGCAAAGAATATATAATCCAGATGTAGAGGGAGCATAAGAAAAGAATGAAATAAACCTTCAATGGCACTGAAAATGACACCTCCAAATAATGAGAAAGCGAAGAGAATGACGAGCCAAGCCATATGTCTCCACATGGTTTTATTTCGAGCATCTTGATTAGCAATCATAATTTTCGCTTGTTTTTCTTTCTCTTTGGCTGCCAAAACTTCTGGATCTTCCTGTTGTGGAAGCTCTTCTGCGTCCAGAATCTTGTCCTTCTTTTTCTTTTTCTTCTTCTTTTTTGATTCATCTTCAATAACCACTTTTGTATCACTGATTTTATCTGCGTTGGTGGCGTTCTGAAGTATAAATTTAGTTTCAAGGTAATGTCTTTTGGGAACTGGTGTTCTTTCTGAATACTTTTAAAATCTATTTTCAAGGTTTCAAACTTCCGATTTCTGACAAGGGAATGTCGTTCAGAAAGCTCTTCAGAATTGTCTCTAAATTGGCTCATTTATAGAATCGAGTATGGGCTTTTACGTAATAATAGTCTCTACCTGCAAAAAATCGCTGAAACTCGAGAAAAATCGATCTGAAATTATAGCATTTCCACCAGTCTCATCGCCTCCTTTCTCCTCCCCTTACTTCACTGCGTTGCGTGCAAGAGTAAAACATGTCTCGGTAGCCTAGTGGCTAGCAGGGAGGACCACGAAAGCAGCGATTTTTGCAGGTAGAGATTATTATTACGTAAAAGCCCATACTCGATTCTATAAATGAGCCAAGTTAGAGAAAATGCTGAAGAGCTTTCTGAACGACATTCCCTTGTGAGATTCTTAATTTTGAAACTTCCAAATATCTGATTTACTAAAACTTCAAAAAAATTGGAAAGTTAAAAATCCGAAAACCAGAAATTCGGAGAGTAGAAAAATATTCAAAGTTTCAGGATCAAATGAGTTTCGGCTTTCTCAATTTTTCAATTTCCGAATTTCTTAAACTCTGAATTTTAAAAAACTCTGAAAATCGGAATTTTAGATTATAGAGTTTCGGAACTTCAAGAATTTGTATCACTTTTCTGAATTTTAAAACTGAAATTTCTGAATATCTTAACTTCCAAAATTTTATGTTCCGGAATAATCGGAATTTTGAATTTCTATATTTCCAAATTTTAGAACATGAATAAAAGTGACTAAACATCTTCCGGA